TTTTTTAATTATTTATTAAAAAAAAAATTAAAAAAATTTATTCCCATGGCCAACCTAAAAAAGGTGACCTTACCCCCCCCCCCCCAACGGGTCAAAATGTCAAATTTCCAAATTTCGAGACCAAAAAAAAAAAAAAAGTGTCCTCTTACCCCCCCCCCCCCCCCCCCCCCCCTCCATCCCTATCTAAACTTTCTTTCAATTCCCGTTGTTTTTGAAAGTCATTTCATGAATGGTCTAGATCTCTACTGCTATTGATAGGACTCAAATATAATTATGTACATGGCTAAATCATGCAACACAACCGTACCAGGTTCAAGAAACACGATCGAAACTACTTTTGATAAATCAAGTCGGGCAATTTCAATACCCTAGTTTATATCCCATAGAAATCATGTTTGGGTTACTTAAAACGTCACTGTCATGTTCGCTTGACAATGCTATTGAAATTGTCTTAGGTTGATTTATCTTAAAGGGAAAGTCCACCCCCAAAATAAGTTTGTTTCGATAGAGGCAGAATAATAAGAAAATCAGGTGAGTGAAAGTTTGAGCAAATTCTGAATGAAAATACGAAAGTTATGAATTATTGAAGTTGTGATCAATCAAATACAAATTGGCAACTCTGTGACTTATTATACGAGCTCTCCTTCATTTGCTTTGTGCATAATATTCCATAAAATCATGTTTTCTTCGTTATTGATGACGGAATATATATTTGTTCCTTGCAGGGGGAGTATAGAAACATATTTGCAATTATTATATTTAGGGTGCATGTATGGTTGAAATTTTTCTTGAGGGAAAATGAAAATTTTAGATTTTTTTATTACTGAGCAAATGGAAGTTGAGCTCGCATGATACGTCATAGAGTTGCCAATTTGTGTTTGATTGATCACAACTTCAAAAATCCTAACTTCCTTATTTTTAATCGGAATTTGCTCAAACTTTCACTGACTTGTTTCTCTCATTTTTCTACTCCTATTAAAACTAACTTAATTTCAGGGGTGGTCTTTCCCTTTAAGTAGTTGCGATCCTGTTCAGTGCAAACAACACATTAAAGAAATACACAAACGATTCTATATTTTTTAATGCTTTTATTGTAACAAGAACAGAAATTACCTGTCGTACCAAGCATCAACTCTGATGTTCCCTCATTTTTTTTTTAATTGTTCTATATTTGACATGAAGGATCAAAATATAAAGACTTTGTATTCATTTGCCTCAACATGGGAAAGGCTATAATAAACTTCTGTAACAGTATTTTGATCACACTTTCCTCCTAAAAATACACATCTTCATGATTTTACAACTCCATAGAACACATTTCCAAAGTGGTATCTTAATATTAGTCTTTAGAAATGTTGAAGTTGAACAAGTTGGATTTTTGCAAACCTCCGCATCGTAAACCATTAGAAAGAAATGGTGGATAGGTTTTGCATGGTTTTCCTGCCAACAACGAGGATATCTTCCAAATGTAAATGCTTTAATCAGGTTCAACCTATATAACATTTTCTCAATCATTAGAACATGAAAAAGATCCTCTAATTCCAATGCAATGATTATCACCATGTAATTCCTTTTTTGACATGGGATACACAGGGCCCAGTTATTCACAAGGTTGGATAAGACGTGAAGATATAATCCTCTTGTATCACAACTGTTGATTTCTTTACAAAATTTCTTTTCTCTGTTATAATTGAAACCAAAATTTAGTATATAATCATTATCATGTGTTTGTTTTGTTATCAAATCAAAGATGATTATAAGAGGTTTGATAGACAGAAATCTTTCACTTTCTCCCACTGATTGAATACTGATGTTATGTCTTTAACTGCAATATATTAGGCTTGGTACGACGTAATCATTAACTTTTAAAACTCGTAAATACCAGCGACAACAGCAACATACGTCAACAATGCATTTTTTTTCATCATTTTCAAAAAATGTTCAACTACCATATTATAAGTCTGTTGTCCCACAACTTGCACTGAATAGTTCAAAGAATCATTCAATTTTAGGTTTGTCTTCTTTTTCTTCCTCTTCTTCTTCGTCGTCGTCAGTTTTTTTTCTTTTTCACACACCTGTGTTATGAATATAATAAGTTACAAAAACAGTTTGATAATGTATAGTGTATGAAAACGGTCCTTGTTTTCAATATAGGCTACCAGACAAGGAAATGATTTACAAAAAAAGGTTTTGAAGCAAACACCTGTGCCATTGCGTGCCTTGACTATGGCTCAATGAAATGATATTATCATGGAATCCCTTCCCCTGCCAACCCAAAATACAATCTGGTAAAACAGAACACTATTGTTACTTTCCTTTACAAATGAGTAACAAAATGAATTTATAGGAAAAAGGAATTATTTTCAAAGATATTCCTATTATTTTTCATCAGCTTATCTAGCCGTCAAGACACGCAATGTTGCTTCATCCTTGAATGTCACGAGTTACAGATGTCAATAAATATAAAAATAGAAATTATCACTGGTTGAGGCCACTTTTATAATGCTTCGTTTCAGTGTGTGAGAGTGAAATCTCAAAAAAATCATGATGCTTTAGATTTTTCACTCCAATATATCCCCCCTCCAAAAAAAAAAACAATTTTAAAAAGTCAAAAAGTTGTGATTTTTTATTAAATGAACCAGAGCCAACATAAAGTGTAAAGACTTTGATGAAAACATAATTGAATGTTGTCTCAAATCGACAATGATGGAGACAAAGTGACATAAAACTACCATGGCAGTTTCTTTTTCATCCATTTTGGAGAATTAAAGGTAATTCCAAGTATAATTAATTAATTTCCTGAGGGCAAGAAGGGGATTAATATATTGCTTTTTATAAGTATTCAATTCCCTTCTTGCTCTCAGCATAATTAACTTCCCATAAGCCCAAAATACTGGCATATACTTTAGCACTGGCAGACCTAAATTTAAAAAAAAATCCTTGAAAGTTTTATTCATGACACTTGTTTTAAACAAACATTTCATAATGTAAGGCTATGAAGTATATAAAATACATCATTAAACACATGAAAAAAATAAAGATTTGATCACAAAACAAGATTGGTTATTCTTGGTAGAGTGTTGTTGAAGTTGCTTCTTTTTTAAGGTTACAGTATTTTTTTTCACAGCAAGATACAAATCTCAATGTGACTTCTCCTCATTTACCGCAGGCCTCATGCGACAAGTCTCGGTCCTTTAAAAAAATTATTGCGCGCATCACGCTACTGCCCCACGCACGCACGCCACTCACCGATATAATAAATAAAAAAATGGTTCGACATTAAATTCCCATCAAGTTTTCCCTGATGATTTTGTATAACTTACAATATACATGTACCCAGAAAAAGAATGTTATGGCCAGATGTACATTTCGGGCTAGGTTTTAGGTCTATCCTTATTCTAGCGCCCCACCCACCCACCCAGACTCCCTTCCCCCCCCCCCCCCCCCCAGTTCCAAAATTAGTCAAATGTTAACCCAATCTCAACAACTCAATTTCACAATTTTCTTTGGAGTACTAACATGAAACTCAAAATGATTTCATGAAGTTCTGGCAGTAATGTTCCTGCGCACCTTGGCTGCGCAGAGTCAGCTGGTTATGTGTTCACCATACATACCGCCTGAAGTTGCTGGTGCTGTGCATAGCAAATACATGATCAGCTAGCCCTGCATACCTCAGGTGCGGGTGAACATTACTGCGGAACATTCAAAAAAATTCTGAATGATTAAGGCATATAGATAGTACCATAGATTAATCTTTTTCTGTTAACACATTTTGCTGCCCTCTGCTGCCCAACTTTATGTAGCAAAGATATATAATTAGATAGAAAAATATAAACTCTGAGGAATATCTCCCTTTCTCTCTCATGAACATATGAAACACTTGATTTTAAAGCAAAAAAGATATTTGCATCAATCATTTCCAACTCGCATGCTCGACAGTTTCTAAATGTGTTTCCAGTTTTTAATTACTAATTTAAGCGATAACAAAGATTAAGAAATATTAACAAATGATATGGCATGATTATTGCTTAATAATGCCCTTCAATGAAATGTCTATTCCCCATATCGTATACCATATTTTTGTTTGAATACCTTTACCAACCAAGTTCTAATAAAGAGAAAGGGCGTCATTAGTAAGTGGTAATCACTCTTTCAAGTGTTCTGCATAGATAAGTTAAAAGATTGAAATAGTCTACCTCGAAACATATGTACTTATGAATAGAAAGAAAATAGACATCTTAAGTGAACCCCCTACCCAGGTTTCCCAACAACATCACCATTGGCAAGTATGAATAAGCTACAGAGAAGCAGGAAACAATGTAAGGCACGATATCCATGCCTGCCTTCAACATGATTTACTACAAAGCAAACTCCTATTCCCAGCCCAGCCCAGAGCAGGGTTTCATGAAACCGTCACAAGTACATGTTCGGCGACATTCCATTCAAATATGTATTTTTCAGTAGGACGTCGGCGAACTTGTACTTGTGGTACTTTTGTGAGACTATGCCCTTATTTCCTAAACGAGAATTAAATAAAAATATCAGCCATTCTAAGATTGTCGGTTGTTTGTCTGACACTACAAGAATATTGAATGATTTCTCAATACCTTAAAACAGGTCATACTTTTAAATGTGCATGTATTTGGTGACGAGATGCTACCAGTAAGTCCCTTTCAAGTTCAACTTGATAATAATCTGGACACACATTGCACAAGTTATAAGTTAACAAGGTGTCCAAATTCATGACAGGAAACTACATGTATCTGATGAATTTACTGAATACCTGAACTTTTTAACAAAATATATAAATACTGTTGAGCTAATGAGTAAATATAGGCTTACATATACATATTGCAATAGTAGGCTATAGCAGTTCATGTTGAAACTCTACGGCAGAATTCAACATTCACGATTTGTGTGAACAGCAGCTTTCAAATTATTGTCATTTGCACATCATCACACAAATACAAAAACATCACAACAAAATGAAAAAGCAGTAATCTGATTACAAAAATGGCTTTATCAACAATTTGGCATTTAGTTAGAACCCTGCATACCTTTTCTTGGGATTCATTTTATGAAGAACAAAAGGGAAATATTACAAAGAAGTGTTTTTAGAATGCAAGCCTGATTAAAAAACAAAAGCAAAGTCCAAACCAAGTTTTCATAAATTAATAGTGTAGCCCAATGTAGCACTTGGGCTACACAAGGAGTTAGAAGGCTGAAATGGCACATTAATATTGTCAACCACACACACACACACACACACTCTGCAGAAAGAGAACATAATACACACACTCACTCAAACACAATCAAAATGCACGGGTTTGTTCCCACTAAATTAGGTTAGTTCACACAACCTTTTAATGTGTGAACACATTATTGTATGTTTATCGTGATGTTAATAATCCAACACTTTTTAAAACCGACATAAATTTTCTTCAATGGTCATTTTAAAATTAACTAAAAAGCATTGTTCTATAAGAATTTCCTATCATGAAAATGTCTGTTTTGAGGTCAAATAAAGTATTAATTACACTTCTTATCTTACTTGATATGCCAATAGAAGGAAGAACATGAAAAATTAAGCTTACCAGCACACAGAGATGTTATGTAATGACATAATTATGTGCTAATAGAAAAACAATGATTATTACATGTATTATTATCATTATAACCAACTTAACATACATGTACAAGAAAGCTTACATTCTAAACTGCTGTTCACAACTTCACGTAATGAAATGAGAAAAGTGACAATTAAAGAAGTAGAACAGAAAAAGAAGGAATGTTTGAATACAGAAAAGTAGTTGATATTTGTAACAATCAACAACCTCCATGCAGTACTATATATATCTCAGTTCAGACGCAGCTGATCACAATATGAAACCGACCTCAATACATGTCTTCCCTTCTCTCTCTCCCACTCTCTTCAATACTATTTACATGAGTGCATTTGATCTGAATATAATACTTCTCCAATTCCACTCCCTCTCTCCCTCTTCCAAGTGAGACCTAGCGGTATATAGTCGATACAAAAATAGCTTTTTGGTGGAAAATGATTCTTTAACATAGCTCACAGACATAAGTTAGACAATCAAGATTAAATCTTGTAGTTAGTAGACTTCTTGTTTGGAAAATAGAACCAAGAAAAGACAAATTGAGATGGTTTGGGTAACAAATACAAATTGTGTAACTCTTTTATCTGCCACGGATTAAAATCTTCAGACTGCCACATTGTACTTGTGAAAAAAAAGTAGAATGTGGCAATCCACTCTGTGTTCAATTAGTTAACCAAAGCAAATAAAGAGTTGACAAGTTACGTAATATATTGTATCAGTGAGTGCGTGAGGAAGGGACACAAGCGCAGTTTCGCACGCACTGGACGTTTCGAACAGCCATACTTATACGAGTAAGCTGCGTAACGCAATCTGGCACCGCTGCAATGTACTATCTTCATACAAGCATGCTGTTGGCTCTAGCATATGCCGACCCATTCCTATATTACCGCCAAATGCCGCTACCAATGGTAATAACAATGTTTAATGCTTGTTCTCAAGTCTGTCCAATAGCCATGATGAAGCACATTGTTTTTTTTTTTTAATTGAGTTGATTCATAACAAAACCAGTTGTCATTAGAGTAACTAAAAATGAGATTGTTTGTGGAACTACTCTATCTGAAACATTTATCTAGCATACACAAGTAGTACCTAGCAAGTTTTGAAAGAATAATAAAAACGTTTTCATTTCATGAAAGCTGTCATAAGGTAAGAGTTTATGTTTTTCTCTTTAAATATCAAGTTCACACTGAAGAATATGTAAGCTTCTTTTATGTATACAAAGTTATTCTAAATATACAAGCTATTTTTTCATCTCATCACATCTTTATCAGGACCCTGGCAAAATGGTCGACTACATACATGCTTATATTCATAATGGTGGAATGTTTTTTTTGTATGTCACATGACCCCAAAATCATCCATATTCCAAAAAGGCACTAGTTTAATAAATAGAAAGCTTGTATTCTTCTTTCATTTTGATATCATGCAAGCAGCAGCATGATTTATATAAAAAAGAATTAAGACTCAGACTAGACCGAGGCTAGGGCATTTTCCCATAAAAAATGGGGAAAACATAATTTTAATGAATTTTTATAAAACTTTGCCGAACTACTGTTTCCCTCAAAGGCAATTTTCATTCATTCTCCATAGCACACATTATAAAAAAAAAAACCCTTATCATTAGACTTATTCATTTTCGCGGAGCAGAAAATACTGTAAATATCGCAAGAACTCACTCGCTATCTTTCGTCTTTTTACATGCATTATAGTAGTGATGTTCTTCAAAGCGCTGCCGCATTCTGCTAGAATGAGGGGTAGAAGAAAAAAAATTCCCCATGAAAAGTTAGAATAATAGAGACTCATCGCTGTTATATTGTTGACTGGGCATGAGGCCTGCTCAAAATAAAGGAGAAATTTCCAATCATCTCTTCCAATATTGTTCACAAAGAGAACCGAAACTCTTTAATGACGCACATACAAACATAAAAAAATATAGTCAGTTATGAAGGAGACTAGAAACTGCTCTGCTAGCATGCTATATGCATGCAGCAAACACGGTTCAAGTTTGGCTGGCAAAAAATAATAATACGTAGTTATGAATGAACATAATAATACTTCATTTTTCGACAAGATATGTTTGAATATGCAGGGTACATACTCAAAAGCATGTCAATAAACATGCCTTTTATATTTAAAATAACTATTGTTAAAGTTGAGATTGCAGGAATAGAAATTACTACCAGATTTTCAAAGATGTATAGAACATGATGCTGTGCACATCAAAGTCAGTATGAGTAATCTGATGGTAAAATCTATTACCTGTATAAATAACTTACAAAGCAATAGTTTGCAATGCAAACAGTTGAAATAGTACATACATGTAGTAAACACAGGAGAATCGTTTATGATACTTTAAAAGAGAGTTTTTGGCACTCTCCTCTGACAACACATACTTTCTGTTTTTACTCGTCACAAAAAATGATGTAATAACTCCACAAATTTATCTGATTCATAAACGACGCATCCAGAGCCATAACACACGGGGGATGGAGGTTTCCAAAGGAATAAAATAATGAAGATGATTGGGACGGAGTTCAAAGTATCAGATGGAAATGGATAGGGGGGGGGGGGGGGGGGTCAATGACATGTGAACCCCCCGTTATGGCTCTGGTATGCGAGATCCCAATTGCACAGTTAAAACCAATACATATCAGAATATGAGAAACAAATACATAATGATCCATCATGCTTTCTTTCATCAATCACTTATAGACTGATGAGTTATGAAAACAAAGTTAAGAAACCATAACAGATCACCGGGCAGACGATATTGTGGAGAATCGGTTAGGTTTAATCCCTGCATAATAATAACAATGGTAAAATATAATCACAATTCCGCTGATCAATGCTTCTTCGTTATTCATCTCATGTTTACAAAATGGATCTTTGGTTTTTCAAATGTCCCTCAAAAAATGGAGAAAAAAAAGACAAGAAGAATTTGGATTACTTTCCTTCTCCAAAATGACTTCATCCAGTACAGACACAGGTATGCTGATACACTCTTCAGATGTTGACACAGCAGGTTATAACTTGAAGAAACAGTGAACTTCTTAACGTTTTATATTTTTATGGGAACAGATGCCATCCTATACATGAACGCTAGCTACGCTTCAAGGAACAAGTTTTTTTAAATAAAGAAAAATACATACCACTCTATTATTTCTAATGCCTGTTAGGAGCAACATCGATTATAACTTCCACAGGTACAAGAGTAAAACAAGGAATAGAGCTGCATAATAACATGGGTAATAAATTTAGGAAGCTTTAGACTAATCTGTTCACATTTGTGACATGGCTGGCATCTGTTCCTCTTCTGTAAGTGCCAAATTATTTTCTAAAAAGTTCACCATCTCTCCTATGTTCTTTATATATATAACCTGCTCTTTTCATATAAAAAAAGAACTGACCGACAATATTTTTTGAACAATTGTAAGTATGGAACAACAGAATTCATACTATTCTACGCTTAAATACATACTTCAAGTGAAAAAAAAAAAATTCCAAGCATTCACAACAATTTTTATCTCAACAAGTTCTAAGCATCTAAAATACACATCCATATATTCAGAGTACATACGACTAACAATCAAGTCTCGATGATGATACAATCTGCATGTCATCAACTTTTATAAAGAAAACATAACCAAAATACAATAAAAGTGATAGAAAACAGTGCTTTTAAAATCAGATACTCTTCATTCAAGGCTCACTGTTACCTCTCTTGAATAGAAGAAAGGGCTGCACATGCAATCTATAGTTATACTTATAGCAATATGCATGGATACTTCCTTAGTAGGATGCTATAAATAAATGTTATTCTGGACCTCTTGACAACCAAAATAAGATCCAATAGTCCTTTGTTGCAAGTTATACAAAAGAATCCAGCTTTAAAGGAAATTATGTTACATTTTAATGCATAATGGAACCTCTGATTATTTCCAGGCAGCATACAATGGATGCATGCATGAAAATACAGTACAAAGCAATTTACATACATGTATATAGTTAAAATGTCCATATTTAGGTTTTTCTTAATGTAAAGTTAAACATTGTTCTAATGCCTTTTTTCTCATTACAATGTTTGACTGATATGGTTACTTTGCTTTGTATTAAGTTATAAAAATCATGTATTTTAAACAACAAATGTCTACAGCATCCTACAACAACGTGATGCAACAACAAAAACACAAAAACTATACTTATCTTAGATATAATGAGAATAGGTCAATACACTTCCTCCCATCTAAAATATAGCCTCTGATCTGGAGATGAGATTCACACCTCATCTCACCGTTCACAGTGCACTCTGGTCACCTCAGTATCACAACAAAGCAACTGTTTGTCCATTAGTCTCACAGAGTGCAATATGAACTAGGTAAATGTTTTGAGCAGTTTCCACATTTATGCAGTTTATTTTCAATTTTTTTGTTTGTCCTCCTCCCTCCGCCTCTGGAAGGATTTGTTTGCTTTTCATGACCTAGTCTGGACCAACATCAAGGAAATAATAAAGCCTCATCCACATCAGTTTCCAATTTTCATTTGTACAAGCGATAGGCTGCAGCTATCAATATAAATGCCACAGCCACAAATTATTCCTATACTATTCCTAAGCAATATATGAACAGTTAGTTAGGAGATTAGAAGACCACAAATTATTTGTGCAGAAAGAATTCACAAGAATCTCTAGTTTCCAAGATGAGGAAATGAAACAACTAACCTACAGGAGCCTAAGGCTGCATCTTAAACAAGGTAATATACAAGATAATATATATACCAACAAATAATACTAACGTAAGGCGAGCTAAGTGCAGATTGCCTTAGCTAGCCTCCACATGTAGAACCATCTTCTGTAGAACAACATCACAAGGATACTTGCCCCGTAGCATCAGGCTCCAACATCCCTCCTTGTTGTTGGGCGTCGTCTAGTTGCCCCACCAGTCCTGGCCACTACCGCCGCCGCCGCTAGACTGGTTATAGCTGCCTCCGTAGTTGCCTCCGTAATGGGGCTGGTAGCCAGGGGCGCCATGTCCACCGGACGACTGGTGACCGCCAAAGCCTCCAGAGACTCCGCCGCTTCCGCCTCCACGTCCACGGTTACTGACTTGACGGTAATCACGAGAGCCAAACCCTCCAGTGTACCTGTTGTATGTGAAAAATCGGTTGAAGGGTTGATGATCGGTTAAGTCGATGATCTATGACTATGTATATGAAACAGAAATAAACATGGCCACTGATTTTGGAAGAGCACAGGAGGGGGTTTCTTTTTCTCTATTTTTGCCATGATGCATGATTCCCTGTAAAACTAGAAACCTACATAAGCACAAAATGTTTGCAAATTTTGGGAGTAGTACAGATTTACAAAAGTGTTGTACCATGGGCAAATTGTATCAAAGCTCCCAAAACACTGAAGTTATGCAATTTTGCGAAGTTCATGTTGCAATTATTTCTGATAGATAGTACACCACAAAAAAATACATGTTATAGTGAGCCATTTAGCCCTGGTAAAAAAAATACTTGAATACCAATGTGAGTAAATCACACTTATAAAACATCAAATCCTAAGAGCTCCGGCAAAGAGAAAGAATTATTTTGTTCACTGGTTGCCTATTGTACCTGTTGCGTCCACGGCGGGAGGATCCTCCACTGTTCTTGGACTCGCTAGCAAGAGCCTCGAGCCAGCTTGGTACTTCCTGCTTAGCTTCAATCATCAGATCAGCAAGGTCACGAGAGATGTTACGGTTCTTCTCGTTGAAGAAGGATGTGGCAAGACCTGCATTAGAGAGGGTGAATTAATAAGTAAATATCATCAATAATGAAGAGAACGCATTTGATTAGGCAACTAGATATTGGTGCTTTATAAATCCTGCATTGGATTGGATTGGATGATAATGCCAAAATAATGCCAAAAATTAAATAAATTAAAATGATATTCTGTTCCTGTATACTGCATATCACACAACGCATTATTGCCCTCCAGCAAAACTCATGGCACAGTGTGATTCATGGGATAGTTCTAAATGGGGGGTGTTTCACAAAGAACCTAAGTCCAACTTAAGTTGGACTTACAAATTATGGAGAGCCATTTGTAGCCTTAAAATAAAATTCCACATAAAGAACATGTTATCTCCCATGATAATAGAAAATATGAATGATTTCAATCAACATTTTATGCCTTTTAAAATATCTTTAACACGATATTTTCAAAGATGCTAACGGCTTTCCATAATTGTTAAGTTCAACTTAGAGATAAGTCAACTTAGGATCTCTGTGAACACCCCCCTCCCCCTCAGGTATCTAATTACCTCATCCAGGTTGAGTGTATCAAATGTAAATTGATGTCTTGACAAAGGACAGGGATTTGATAGCAGATGGTAAATAGATACATGAATTATTATCAGCTGACAAAGTAAGCTTCATGAAAAATGGATGACAATAGCAAAATAATGTAGAAGAAATATATTGAGAAGAGAAAACTTCTGGTTAAGGATGCTGTTGTAATGGCCAATCCATTGCTTTACATACCAACGTTGCCGACACGTCCAGTACGGCCAATTCGATGAACGTACTCCTCGATGTCTGTTGGCAGATCAAAGTTGATGACGTGCTTCACGTTGTAGATGTCAAGACCACGGGCAGCCACCTACAACAAAAACAAATTAAATTGTTCAGACATGAACGCTGCAAATTTAACACTACAAATCTCATTGGTCACTAAGAAATTCCCAAACAACTACTCATAAAAACGTACCTGCTTCAACAAAAGCACCCTATGCATACTGACCACTGTTTTATAAAACTGCATTTTGCCACATTTCCTTTCTCAATACCCAATTTGCTGTAGAATCAGAAACCTTCATTGGCCTGAAATGTTCAGGCATGTCGGTCAACGTTTCATGTCATGAAAATTTAGGGGTTTACGTTAACATATCATGTGTGAGCAAGGCTTAAAAGTTCCAAAGTTTGTTTGAGGGTCTTGCACAACAGAATGATTTTTCACACCTCTAAAACAAACGTTTTAAAATGCAGGAGTAGCTTAAAGGTAAAGATCAGTTTTGAAAATGCCCCTCTCTCAAAAAATGAAATGGAAGCTCTTGTTACAAATCATGTGAAAAAATATGTTTTGACTAATACGTGATGACTCAAATTTTGCCGGGAAACCGCCTGCTAATTGATATATTTGGTAAATTATTACATCTATTTGGACCTGATAGATATCCCGCACGTGTCGCATAGTCCCATAAACATGATCTTTCTGTGTACAGTGCTTGTAAATTTACCAAGACTGGGCCAAATTTCTTATCATTTTGATGATTCTAGAACCTTGCAGTACACACCAATACTTATATGCTAGATGATCAACCTTTTCTGATCGATTCCAAAACGTCTCTATCACAATGCAATCGCATGACCGGAAGTGGTCTTTATCTTTAAACTTACAGCTGTGGCGACGAGGATTGGAGTGCGACCGGTACGGAAGGTCTTGAGGGCATCCTCACGCTCACGTTGCGAGCGATCTCCATGGATACTGGTGGCCTGGAACTTCTCGCGGTAGAGGAACTCCTCCAGAGAGTCAGCTCCCTTCTTGGTCTCCACAAAGACAAGGGTCAGTGAGTCCGCACCTACCACAATGGTACAAAAGAGACAAATGTTCCATCAATAAAACAGGGTGATAGTAAGCACTAAGGCATAAGTAGTCAATTTTGACTGAATTGCCTTAAAACCTAATCAAAAAAAAACTAAAAAAAACTAAAAAAAAAAAAAGAAGGATTCTGGGGGAAAAAAATGGCATCTAAAACATTCCCTCACTTTTGAGTAAGAAAATTGGGAAAAAATTAGGAAAAATAGGGAAAATAAGGGGAAAATCAAGAAAATAGGGGTAAAATCAGGAAGAAAAAAAAATTGAGGAAAAAAAATAAAAAAATCAGGAAACAGATTTAAATCGGGTAATTATCAGGCCTGATAAAAAGAAAATACAATAGTGTTGAGAGGAATAAAGCTGTCAAGCTCTTACAAGGTGCTCTTGAGTACTGAATAAGAGCTCCGGTAAAAACGATGAAATACACCAAATATAAAAAGTGATGAAATCTTGCTTGTACAATAGAAATTGAATCTCTCTTCAAGAGGTTTTTTTTAATGTGTCCCTCTTCATTTGATTCATTCAAAAAATGTAAATCTCTCGACACCAATACTGACAATACAATGGTAGTGACACCAGAAAGAACTTAGAGTCAATGGTCTTATCAAGTTATATTTATGATTAAATGAAATAATGGGATAGAACATGAATTTCATATTGGATGCACTGCCCAAACTCAATAGCTTAGCATTCATGGCATTTTGGAGGCAGTTAATGGTTTTGTATGAAAATGAGCCTTTTGGACTCTGTAATCGTTACCTGCCGCTGAGATCAGGTCGAGGAGGAAGGATCTCTTGTCCTGCTCTTCAACCCAGACTATCTTCTGGGTGATGTTGCTGCTGGTGCTACCAACGCGACCCACGGCCAAGAAGATGTAGTCCTTCAAGAAGTCACGAGCCAGTACCTGGAGAAAGAGAGAAGTCAGCAGGATACATTATGGACGTTCTTAGGGGGTATGTACAATAAGGTCCATTGGAGGGAGCATGGATTTCAAGCAGGAACAGGTAACAATCTGGGGGTGTTTCACAAAGATTCTAAGTTGAACTTAAAAATTATGGAGAGCCATTTGTAGCCTTAAAATAAAATATATTCAAAAGCAAAAATTCAAGTATTTTAGACTTTTTATAAATTCCACATCAAGAACATGGAATATCCCATGATAATAGAAAATATGAATTATTTGAATCAACATTTTAAGCCTTTTAAAATAACTTTTATTTTCAAAGATGCTAACGGCTTTCCATAATTTTTAAGTCCAAATTGGGATCTCTGTGAAACACCCCCCTGGAATTATGAAACAAGTCCACAAAATATATTCTGGATGTTCTTATAACAGAAAAAGTTCTATTATGGAAGAATGTTCTTGAAAGAAGTAATGAGCAAGTCATTAAAAAAGGTTCCACATGATCAATTTCGGATGTTGTTCTTACACCAAAGAAGGTTCCAGAAAAGACCTGTCTAATGTATTTGGCCAAGTGTCCGATACATTACCATGTTCTGTGAAGTTCTGAACATAAATTGACATCAAACGTTTTACTTCACTTCATATTTGATCCAATCTCAGCTCTGATAAGAATATTAACTGCATGTAATGAACATATATCCTATTCTTAGCATGAATGTGCCCAAGCCACCATCTGCAACTGACACAAGAAAGAGCATGTGGGACTGTAACTTACCTGGATTTCCTTGGGGAAGGTGGCACTGAACATGAGTGTCTGTCTTTCGCCAGTCTTGGGCATAGCATCCTCCTCTACAATGCGACGGATCTGGGGCTCGAAACCCATGTCAAGCATACGATCAGCCTCATCAAGAACGACCCACCTATGGCAAAAAAAGAGAAGACAAATTACTTAACCCTGCTTTAGTGACCACCTTTACAGATAAGATGAGTTTTCTTCTCTCCCTAGAGCAGTCTTTTAAACAGGAGTTTAACTGTAGGATAGATGGATGTACAGAGTTTACAAAAGCATGAAAAGAGATGTCATACTTTCATAGACCAAACCCGAAAAAACACCCTTTTTCCTGTCTGGTTCTGAAATGCTAACTCATCTTTAAATTTTCATGATAACACTTCCCAATTCATTTACTGTGGTTAGTCAGAGGTGAAGAGAAAATTACTGTGAGAAAAAGATGAATGCAGGTCTTACCTGATGTACTCTAGACCGATCCTGCCTCGCTCCAGCATGTCAACCAGACGTCCTGGGGTAGCGACCAGAAGATGACAACCCCTCTCCAAGTCACTGATCTGTCCCTTGATATCGGCTCCTCCATACACCACGCAGGGGCGCACGTGAGAGCGGTATGAAAACTAGAAGAAAGGATGTATATATGATGATGAACGAACAGTTACAAAGTAAAGTCAAACCTGCTTTCGCAATTACATCTCTACCTCAATCTTTTCTTTCCCCCTTGAACAGCGTTTCTCATTGTAACTTGTGCTAAGGAACCTTGTAATAAAGACAACTCTTTTTAAATCTCCCTTGAGCTATATTTAATACAGGTTTCATTGTAGCAGTCTCGACAGAACAATGTCTTTGCAGATCCTACAAGTAAGCAATCATCTTAAGTCTCATGTTCAAACTGGTGTCAGACTTATTCTTCATAAACAGAAATCATGCATTCTGCAGTGCAAGCTCACAAACTCTTTCCATCCGTACAGGAACTAGACTTAATAATAATAAAAACGTTACTTATAAAGCGCTTACCACCTAAGTCTCTAAGCGCTATAACAGACGAAATAGACTGATAAACAATTACATATTAAACAAAACAAAAAAGTGCAAATAAACCTACAAATTACAATACATATAAAATACATATCAATGTGAACAGAGTAATGCTACGGTCACAAAGATTCCTACGAACGATAATTTCGTACGAAATCTCTGTTTTTCCATTGTCTTCCCGAATTTCTATTGTCTGAAAATCGTTTGTAGCAGTTCGTAATGGCATTTGTGACCGTGGCTTTAGTTAATCATCAAAAGCAATTTTGAATAAATGTGTCATCTTGAAACCGATGATCTTTACCTTCCTGGATTCGTCGTAGATCTGGGATGTGAGCTCTCGAGTAGGGGACAGGATAAGGGCAAGAGGGTACTGCTTCTTACGGTACCCACTCTGCAACAACAACAAAATTTGAAAGGTGAGTAAACCTTTTGTAACATTTTTTGGACATTCTGAATTTTGGTATGGATTAGCATTATACTTATCACAACACAGATGAAATCTTACATGCTAAAGTCATATTTTCCATAGTATCTTCATGACAATTTATGAACTGTTGATTTTGGGGCATCAAGTACAATATCCATGATTCTATTTCTTAAATTTGACTGAGTGCTTCCATAGACCTAAATCAGTCCATAAACTGACATCAAGAAAATAATATTACAATACAATATTTCACAAGTTGGTAAGGCATTAATCCTCATTACCAGGTGCCTCGGAGAGGACCTAAAGCCGTCGGCTGTCTGGTTGCTTACTTAGCAGTCAGGTAAAATAACCACCACCAACCAACCACGACATAAAGTTTGCTTTTGTATGGAATCATTGATTCTGTTTCACATGCATTACACTTGGCATCTGCTTTCATCTATGAAAAGTCAGTCTCCAGTCCAGTTTTGAGATACCACCCGAGTATACCGGCCGAGTATACTGACTGACTGAGACACCTCTACGTTCTTGTGTTACATGATGAACTTTGAACTCACCACAGAGTGTTTGTGAGGTCCACTCTCAAAGATCTGAGACAGGATGGGGAGCAGGAAGGCTGCAGTCTTTCCAGAACCTGCATGAATGAATCAAATACAAAATACAATAATAATAGTATGTACGTTTATAAGAGGATAGAGGATAGAGAAGAGAGGAGAGGAGAGGAGAGGAGAGGAGAGGAGAGGAGAGGAGAGGAGAGGAGAGGAGAGGAGAGGAGAAGAGAAGAGAAGAGAAGGGAAGGAAAGAGGAGAGAAGAGAAGAGGAGAGGAGAGAAGGGAAGGGAAGGGAAGGGAAGGGAAGAGAAGGGAATGGAAGAGGAGAGAAGAGAAGAGAAGGGTATTTGGATGGAAGCTCACCAGTCTGGGCGCAGGCCATAAGATCCCTCTTTTCCTTGATGATGGGGATAGCGTACTTCTGAACAGGGGTGGGGACTTTGTAGTTGCACAGCTCTGTGTTGTTACGCACAATCTCACCTAGGTCAATGTCAGTGAACTGGAGGAGGAGGAGGAAGAAGGGAAACATTAATTGTTAGAGGTAATACAAAGTTTGGGGAAATTTTGAAAATTAGATTGAAAGTAATTCTTTAAAATGTTGATATATTTGGATGCCCCTGTGAATGCATTGTAACCCCAGAAAATTTAGCCCCTAAAACACTCCTGCTTTCGAGAAATAAAAAAATCTAAAATTTACCAGAGCTCCCGGTAAATTTCAAATACAGGGGTGATAGTGAGTACAATTTTTTTTTTTAAGGATTTGGGAAAAAACGATGGCATCTAAAACATTCCCTTCCTTTTAAGTAAGAAAATTGGGAAAAATAGGGATGCTGGTGGCATCAATGCGGAGCTGTTCTACTCTGTACAAAGGGCATGGGAAGCAAACCGTTTTGAAATCTTTTGTTGACTTACCTGATCAATGGGTGCAGGTGAGTTAGTTCCAGTAGCCTCCACAGGGATGTCAGCATACTTGTCAAAGTTGATTCCAGTGTTACAGATTTCAAACAGTTCACTGAAAACACACAAACAAACCATATAAGAATGAGAGCACATCAGAATATCATATGCCTAAACCTATATCACATTACAGAGCCTGATGAGTTCTGTACCATTTCTTTGAAACTATATTATGGTCTTATTCAAGCAACTCTATAGGAAATATCATTTGAACTAGAATAGATGCAATGGAATGCATTTGGTAATGTACATGTTCCTTTGTAGCCATCTTGCATCACACTTTGTATGCAATAGGGCTGTAGGCTTACAGACAATTTCCTCATTAAATGTCAAGACAAATTTGCACAATGGCTATGAAAAAAGGGGTGATTGAAATCCCTAAGAATTTTTCAGCAGTAAAATGGTCACTGCTCTTGTGTATTCTTTTAGCTCACATATAACTCGAAAAAGAAGACTTACTTTTCCAGACGAGAATTCCTCGGGAGTGGTTTTGTCCAGTCCTCCTCTTGCTCGACCCTGGGCACGTCACGTCCGCGGAAGTCCTCTGCCCTGCCCCAGCCATCCCCTTGGCTCTGCTGCTGGCCCTGTTGGCCCCCTCGGGCGCTCCAGAAGCTATCACCACCGCCCTGCTGAGGGGCACCCCCAGGGCCACCTTGACCGCGACCCCAGTCTAGGCGGTTGTTGTAACCACCGCGGGGTTGGTAACCTCCAGGTCCGCCCTGGCCTTGTGGGCTCTGGTAACCCCCACGTCCACCACCTATACAAAAAAAAAAAAAAAAAATTTAAATATACTAACAAAAACACATATATTAGCATAATGAGAAGTACATGTAATGGTAGTAGTAAAAACAATGAAAAATCATCATTTAAACAGAGTTTAAAGATTCATACTGCACATTCAGTTTATTTATTTATTTATTTATTTATTTTTTTTTTTTGGGGGGGGGGGGGGGAGGGGGTGGTAAGAAAAGTTAGAGGGGACAAGAGACACAGAGAGATGCTTTATATCTACATATATGATGCATGTACAGCAACAACAAAATAAGGGTCAAACTCTCAACCTCTCCAGCCTTTGTTTTACAGCAAGCATTCTTTCAACTGGGGATCCAGATTGAGCACTTGAAGTCTGGCCGTATGGGGTAGCCAGTTTTAGTGCCAAAAACAGAGGTGCATGAGGGGGAAGGGGGAAGGGGGAAGGGGGAAGGGGGAAGGGGGAAGGGGGAAGGGGGAAGGGGGAAGGGGGAGGGTGGAAGGGGGAGGTAGGAGGGGGAGGTAGGAGGGGGAGGTAGGAGGGGGAAGGAGGAGGGGGAAGGAGGAGGGGGAAGGGGGAGAGGGTGGGGGAGAGGGAAGGGGGAGGGGTTGGGGGAATTCAAGGATAGAATTTGGGTGCACATGTGCACTAGTCGTCTGCTTTGTCCAGCCCTGTTCACAAGATTCAGCTATACAGAGTTCAAAAAGTCAGACAACCTTCGTCTCGAGTCCATGATCACCTTGTGAGCAGCCTATCACCCTCCCACGTGTACTTAACAGCCTTTTCAACACTACCCGCACATTTTCTATAAATGCCCAATGACAGATTCCCATATCATCATTTCCTTGATCATTACCAAGCCTCTCTTCATCCTAAGTCATCAACAAATGTTGAATAAATTTGGGTACTAAGTAGGCCCGACTCATAATGGATTTCTAACCACCCGGAGTCGGACCAATACAGAGTGATCCATCTCCAATGCCACCATCAATCTTTTAATGTGGGGGCAATGGAATAGACGTTATAATTACCCAAAATCTCAGCTTGTGAAGGTCATGAAGTGGATAGAATTTCACCTTTTACACTAGATGATATGTCATGCCACATGTCATTTTCCGGGGCGATGAGACATGATAATTTGTATCCTTTTATTTAAGACTATCTCTTGAAGGATTCTTGTTTTAAGAGTATGTTTTGCTTTCAAAATAAGTGAATATGTGAGTGTTTTCCTTCTCAAACAGGTATGGTCATATGTGCGATAGCTTAAATGACCATACATGTACTCATCACACATGTTCATCAAAGTCTTAGAAATGCTATTCATTTATATAGGGCTTAACTGACAAAGGCATTTACAGATAATACGCAGGTGGACATGTTTTCAAATAGGGAAAAAATAGCTTTTTCTGTGGGCACCTCTGTCACTTTCTAAAATGCACAAAATGGAAAATCAATGGTCCTTTTTCTATTAATTCAATTTAACCTGAACCTAGGTTTAACTAGATGGAATTTTGACTGCGCGCAGTCGAAAATGATGCCTCCGCCATAGAGCAATTTAAACAAGTTTGGAGTTTAAATCTCCAGTGGTTCTTGAGATATCATGATAACAATCTCAATGTATGGAATTTCATAAGTTGACCTCTGTGACCCTTGACCTTTGACCTACGTGCTCCAAAATCTAATCAGATTGTCTTCCTATGGTGATACACACTATCATTAAGTTTGAAGTTTAAATCTCCAGTGGTTCTTGAGATATTATGATATGGTGATACACACTATCATTAAGTTGGAAGTTTAAATCTCCAGTGGTTCTTGAGATATTATGATATGGTGATACATACTATCATTAAGTTTGAAGTGAAAATTCTCCAGTGGTTCTTGAGATATCGCGATAACGATCTCAATGTATGGAATTTCATAAGTTGACCTCTGTGACCCTTGACCTTTGACCTACGTGCTCCAAAATCTAATCAGATTGTCTTCCTATGGTGATACACACTATCATTAAGTTTGAAGTTTAAATCTCCAGTGGTTCTTGAGATATTATGATAACAATCTCAATGTATGGAATTTCATAAGTTGACCTCTGTGACCCTTGACCTTTGACCTACGTGCTCCAAAATCTAATTAGATCGTCTTCCTATGGTGATACATACTATCCTTAAGTTTGAAGTTTTTACATCTCCAGTGGTTCTTGAGATATCATGATAACAATCTCAATGTATGGAATTTCATAAGTTGACCTCTACGACCCTTGACCTTTGACCTACGTGCTCCAAAATGTAATCAGATTGTTTTCCTATAGTGATACACACTATCACTAAGTTTGAAGTTTAAATCTCCAGTGGTTCTTGAGATATCATGATAACAATCTCAATGTATGGAATTTCATAAGTTGACCTCTGTGACCCTTGACCTTTGACATACGTGCTCCAAAATCTAATCAGATAGTCTTCCTATGGTGATACATACTATCCTTAAGTTTGAAGTTTAAATCTCAAATGGTTCTTGAGATATCGCGCTAACAAACTCAATACAAGGAATTTCATAAGTTGACCTCTGTGACCTGTGACCTTTGACCTACGTACTCCAAAATCTAATCAGATCGTCTTCCTATGGTGATAAATACTATTCCCGAGTCTTAAGTTTAAATCTTAAATGGTTCTTGAGATATTGTGATAACGGTCAAACGGGACGGACGTACGGACGTACGGACGGACGTACGGACGTACGGACGGACGTACAGACGTACGGACGTACGGACGGACAACCCGAAAACATGATGCCTCCGGCACCACCTTCGGTGGCGGAGGCATAAAAATCATGTTCAACTAAAGGAAAACTGAGACTTAAAGACTAAAAACTACCTTTACTCCTGTCTAGTTCATCAAAATAAAACCAGGGGTTAACCTTGGTAATTATTCTTATTATGGTATGTACCTGACTGTTGCTGATCATTGTAGCGTCCGCCGCCACCCCCTCGTCCGTTGTAGCTGTTGCCCTGGTCTCGGTTGTATCCACCACGGCCGCCATCTCTGTTGTTGTAGCCACCTCCTCCTCGGCTGTTGTAGCCACCCCTTCCTCCTTGGTTGTATCCTCCGCGGCCGTAGTTGCCACCGGCACCACCGTCGTAGCCGGTGCTGTAGCCAGGGGCCTGGGGAGGTGGAGCCCCAAATGGTGGAGGGGCCTGAGCTGGATAGCCCATGGGCGCTGAAGAGATAAGAAAGAAGTACAATACACTTTACAACTCAGTTGAAGGTAAAATGTCAAATTATGAATCCACAAAGACAACAGTTGATATCTATTACTTCATATTCTAATTTTTCAAATGCATCTATCAGTTCTATCTAATTTAACTATTATAGCTTGCAGAGTAGTAGAGTGAACTGAATTTGTGAAAATGAAGAGAAAAAAAATCATACAGGGATAAAACTATAATTATACAGGGATAAAACTATTTCTTTGTATTTTTCTACTGGTAAAAAAGGCCACAAGAAGGGCATGCAACACACAAACATGGAACCAATTTAACACGTCTCATTTACTATATTATAAAACAGGACAAAAGTAAAATAAATTTGGTTTGAACAAGAAATCTTCAAACTAAACATACACATTAATCATTGAATTTAATAGAAATTTAAAGAAATCAAAGAAATCATATTTGTTGAATGTTCAGAGAAATATTAACATTCCCATGGTAGTAATAGAAAATTTTCAACCTAATTAGGGTTCCAAAATCTTGCACTTAAACTAGAACTTAAACCAAACGTTTTTCTTTATGATTAGCTAAGTTATAAGAAATATTTGAAAAGATGACATCTAACATGAAAATGAATGCCATGAGTGCATGCATATTTTGTTTAAAATATGCAACAAAATATCACATGCCGGAAACATTTAAAATACGACTCGGGTACTAACACGAAAGTACCTACAATTTTGTTAGTACTAGTACATCAAAGGGATAAAGATATAATAAACTAACCTCATCAAACCATAGATAAAAAGATAAATAAACCCTTACACGTGTGAAAGACTACCTGATATGAATTGCAATCATTCTTAATGCTACATGTACTTAAAAACACAGGATAAAGCATGTTAATGTGATTGTATAAATGAGTTAGGTTTCCTCAACTTATTTATGTAAGTCTATATTATCAGGATGCACAAAGCATTCATTCACAATTAAATGACAACAATATTCACTACGGGGATAATAAGTTCAAATAATAGGCATACACAATGTGGGTGAGATTGTGACAATACATGGGAATTGTTACATAATAACTCGCCTCTAGTGAATTGAGCGCCACCAAAACCTGGCTGAGCGTTGGGGGCAATGAAGTTCTGGTAGCCGCCTGTACAGAGGCATAAACAGAGTGGGAAGCAGTACCGTTACAAGCCATCCATGCTCATTGACTACATTTCTTGGGTCTTAAACATTACTGTTGACCTTTAACCTTCAATCTCTTGAAAGCTAATTACACAAGCAAAGATGATATTCAAACAATACAGTACTCGTACCATCTTCAATATCTCTCATACCCTACGTGTACTTACACCAAGGAGAACGATACTAGACCGAACAAAATATAGCATTACCCCCGATGGCACAGAATGGGTTGGTTTGGATTCAATTGGACAAGGTTTGCGCTGTGTGACTAGGCTATTAAAATGCAAAATGCATCATGACATACTTAATGACCATACTGCTAATTAATAATGTAAGATATACATGAGTCAAAGAGTAGAAAACCCATAATCTAAGAAGATATCCCTGATAACATAGAAATAGAAGATTTAATGAAGTTGAGAATTCAGATGAAATAAAACTCACTCTTTAAGGCTTTGGGACGTACATGTACCTGCTAAGAGAGAGGGTTAGAATTTACATTCTGAGAAAAAGGAAAGGAAAAGAAAGAAAGACTAAAAAGCTTATGAAATCCTAGCACTCACCTGGTGGTGGTACAGCCATGGGGGCACGGGGCCCGTCATTTCTGCCTCGTAGGTGTGGTGGCACATACTTCTTGGCTGGAGAAGAGACATTACAAAAAACAGCTTGAGAATTTCGAAGCAGTTTGTAAAGTAATGATTTGCTACAGCTCTAGGGAATTGTAAAGTCACACTGCGCAAGCCTTGTCCAAATTGGATCCAAACCAATCGATTCTGGGCCACGGGGGGGGGAAATGCTATATTTTATTACAACTCTAAGGAATTGTAAAATTTCTTTCAACCCTAAAATATATAGAAATACATTACATCTTAGTATCCTCTCTCTCTCTCCCTCTCACATTCACAACTCGTTTCAATCCTGAAAATGAACTTTCGTTCCTTACATGTATATTCATGCTCATCAATTATAAATTCACAAGTTGTACATGTAAATCAAAATCACTACAAACACTGCTCTGAATTTCCCACAATTCTCATTGTCTCCTTCTACAAATACATGACTTTACATTAAATGCAACAAGAACTTTCTAATGTACAGGTACATGTAGTGTACATTTCAAAAATTCATTGTAAAGCATGCTACATGTGTACATGTACATGTAGAAAGGAGCCCCATCCTCTCTTACAAATTTCAATTCATGAAACCCAAAACTTGGCCAATAAGCTTCTGGCAGATATCTGTAATTAAACAGACAGACTCTCAAAATCTCAAATGTATAAAATACATGTACATGTACATCTAAGTTTTAAGCAATGTCAAGATAACTTTCATTAAAAAAAATATCATGCTTGGAATTTAGCAGAAGTACATTAAACAGAATACATGTATTACCTCCAGGCATTAGGTCCATAGCGGCAAACTGTAAGATAAACACAAAAGAAATATAGTTTATAAAAAAAAAAAGGCAAGTGGAATTTCACTTTTAAGAGGTCATCAAAGGTCGCAAATTCCTTTTTGAAATGAGACGTAATTGTCATGCAGCGCAGTAGACTGTAGATGGCAGCATGCAGCAGAGAGGAAAGTATCACATGATCTAAGGCCTGCAATCTTAATTTGCTCAGTCTTAAGTGGGTCATATTTTGACTTCCATTCAGGGTAAAAAATACATGGGGGCTCAGGCATATTTGCCCTTGAATTGCCCAAAATAGCCCCCAAAATTGATAGAGTTCAATGCAAAACAAATTAATGAGTGTTATTTCATGCAAGCAAGCTTTAAAAGTAGACACCCAAAATTTGTAAAATATTTTTTTCCCTGCTTCCGTTTCTGAACGTGCTCGGTGCCGTGAAGCGTGATTCCTTCCTTGGCTCCTTGCAGCCTCAATTTTAGAGCGATAAAGTTTTAAAGACCTAGTCAACTGAAACAATATACCTAATTCAGGACTCGGGTCTAGTTTTTATGGGTCAGAAATTCGATGATGTTTATAAAATGAGCTAGCAACGCATATGTGTTGAAAAAATGCAACTAGAGTAAAGAAGGGGGTAATCGACCAGCTTCAGTTTTCGGCCGATCGGTTGGATGCATGGTAAAATCCCTTTAAAATAGATCGCATAATAGCATATAACATATCCCACACATACCATACCATGCCAGATTCACTGAAGAACCACATTTGCAATGAAAAATATATCCTAAAATATCACATTTTAGCGATGTAATCGGCGGTCCCGCTACCCGAATCTGAAAAATCGAGTATCTTCCGCGTCTGTAAGAAATATGGGTACCATAAAATGAGCTTTATTTTAAGTATTTTTCAGATTAAGAGCCCGATTTGGTGCTAGTCGCGAGCTCAAAATATCTCACCGCATGTATTAAATCAATGCAGCCGGACACTGCAACGCAACACGATATCTCTGTCTAATTCAGATTCCAATTTCCGATCACTGCAGTACTAGTTTTCGGCCTGGCGAGCTCCGGCGTGAGATACCTGTTCCGCCCGCTAGTACTATAGATCAGCGCGGAAACGCACAGGGCGCAAGCGCGCTTCCTATTGACTTTGTACATGCGGCCGAAAACTGGTTCGCTATGCCGATAACCGACTCCGAAACAGTGAAAATTGAAATGAATATTGTCATGGCAATTCGTGACTTTTTTCTGGGATTCTTTTTTTGTTTAAATAATAATAATAATATTTGCTTCATGATGTGAACAAGAAATGATAATAAATAGAAAGTAAAGGGTCCAAAAAATAGGATTTTGTCTTAAGTGGCCGTAAACCCCCTCCTTTACTCTAATTTAACTGTCAATTGATGACTCAGAAATATTTGGCTGCTGATATTCAGTAGGGGCTGGTCCGAGAATGAGGATCGTCCTCAAAAAACGAGGATATCCTCGATTCCTCGTAAACCCGGACAAAATGCGTCCCCAAAATAAGGATCGTTTGCATTTTCGTGCACATTTTGTTTCTTCATCGGCGCTCAGCGGACTGTTCGGTAACCCGAAACCCGCTGGCAATGCGAAAAATGGATTCCGCGTAAGAAAATAACCCTAGTTCACCGTCTACTTTCATGGGTTGTCCGTCTTCCCGAGGATTTATCACTCATAATGTGAAAGTCTCTGTACAAAGTTAATGTGAAATGCATCAAGAAAATCATCACAGAATCCGTTTTTCGCATCGCCATTGCGCCGATCAAAAATATGAAACGTCTGCAAAAATGTGGATGATCCTTGTTTTGGAGGACAATCCTTTTTCTCAGACCAGCGCCCCTACTGATATTATTTAACTCAATTTTAAAAATCATATTTTTAAACAAAAGAATTGAATGTTGACAAAAAAAGACATGAGAAATGCATCATAATTGTGAAATTTCATACAACTGTAAAATCACCCATTAAGAAAAACGCATCAAACTACAAAATCAGCTTGCAGCAGAAACATTCAGCTCAAACTTCATCATCTTTCATGTACACTCAGTCTCAGCTCATGGCCACAGCTCGGTCCATACACACAGGCAACTCTGCTCTGCATAGACAATACACACGTCCCAAGCCTCATGCATGCAGCATACAATGCATTGTGTGAAAAGCACAGGCATGTGCCTTTCCACGCACATCCGTCATCATTCATTCACGCCACCGCACCGCACACTTCGTGATAAATTTGACACTTTCTTTCTCAATTTTGAACTTTAATTTTCCCAGTTACGTCTATACATACCTGTTGGTCCAGACTAGGTCCATTTTGATTTGTTCCATTACTCATAACTACTGATTTTTTCTGACTTATTTGAGGCAAAATTGGGACGTGATGTTGTACAAATGTGGAAACTGCGGAGGCTGCCAATTTGCGGAAGGGATTGGGCAAAATTAGTGAAATGTAAAAATATCATATTAATATAAAATATTTATATTCTACAATATTTCTCTTTATAATCTTTGAATTATTTATTTAAACGAAAAAATGAAATATAAATCCTTTTTTGTATTAGTTATGTAGAGGAAAATCAAATTTGAATTTGTACTAAATTTATTCGGCAAAATTGGCATCATCTGTTACACGACCTTTTTTAGTTGAAGTCCGTACTGAAGGTAAATGAAAATTAAAAGATGGCTGGTTAAATCACTTAAATCTGGCCGATATATTTACCATCATGTGTAAAATATGAAAAAAAATTAAATGATATAGATTCGTTATATATTGTCGGGGTTTATCTGTAGAATTTAGAGGATATTTTACTGTTTCATAAGGAAACATCCATACTATTCGGACTTCACATCTCTGTTGTGTTAAATTGGAACTGAAGTGTCGATGGTGTAGCGAAGTGTATTGCAAATGCAGTGGGATGCGTTTGAGAAACTACCCGTCATATTTGGGGTCCAAGGCTCGGGCTAAATGATTAAATAATGGGCAGGGTATGCGAAGACTTAATTGGACTAGATCTATCTGAGATCTGCAACAAGCAACTGCAAGAATGAGACTAATTGAGAGTGTATGTTGGTGATGTTTCGTTGACAATGTGTGCCGACCTTGTTTGATTTTCGATTTGGATAGGGAGCCGGGGACATAACATTATTCATTTTCACCAGTTTCAGGAGAATAGATTGTAATGAATATTAGACTATTTGAATTATGATCAGATAATTGGTGAAATATCAATGAAGACATCACATCACAATGATTCGTGTCTCATCAGTAGGGGCGCTGGTCCGAGAATGCGAATTGTCCTCATAAACGCAGACAAAATGCGTCCTCATAAACAAGGATCGTCTGCATTTTTGTGGACGTTTGTTTTCATCGGCGCTCTGCAGGTTTCGGGTTACCGAACTGCTCGCTGGCAATGCCAAATATGGATTACCCAAGGGAAAATAACCCTAGGCCTAGTTGACTGTCTACTTTTATTAGGGTGTCTGAACGATTTTTCAATTTTCAATTTGGGATCGTTTTTCACCATTTTTGTTTGATATTTGAATAAAAAATGTTATCAGAATAATACATTTCAAATTTCAAGTCTCACCGATGTTTCTATCAAAAGTTACAGCCCCTCCAACACGCTGGTATATTCATATCATTTTGGTCAAAATCGACGAAAAAGACGTCCACGCAGAGTGATGTTGTTTTGCTAAATTTAGCCAAACAGCTGTATCGCGCGATATGCAAGCGTATGCATATCGTACGCATGCTGCTAAGCCAATCCGCGACTTGCAGCTTGAGCTACGCTGTCTCCGCGACATGTGCGATTGACTAGTATGGTTGGCGTTCGTCGCACAATAAACCCGGAAGTGAATGCACGTTATAGTCAATGGCAATATCGCGGAGACAACGCACGTTGTCTCCGCGATATTGCCATTGACTATAACGTGTATTCACTTCCGGGTTTATCGAGGGAATTGCCAACCATAATTTCAGTCACTATAATGTGTAATTGAATTTGGGGTTTCGTTCGTGCGCGGAGATGTTACGCGATGTAACCATGGTTTGGACTGAGCGGAGCGCACGCCTCCTAATTAGCTGATCCACCAAATAGCGAGAAGGGTATTTTTAAACTGTTATCAGTTGTGATCCCTGGGGGCTAGCGAAAATATAATCACATAGAATTGTTCCTTAGGACTGGGACTACTTATCGATCGGGGCGTCATATCTCAAAAGTGACAAACCTCAGAGTTAGCCAGGACACAATGTTTAAATTGCTGTTTTGACCAAGATATTTTTAGAATTTCGGGGGCTACGCCCCTTTGGAAATATTGGAATTCACCTGCTCTTTCATATGACACCTCATTCATTGATTATCACCTTCAGGATCACAACTGATAAAGGTTTGAATCTCGATTTGAAAAAAAAAAATTGACTTTTTTTTGCATGGTCGCGCAATGCACGTAGGCTGCATAGGGATGCGTGTAATCTCTATGGGAAGAATTTTAGCACACAACATCGGGTGCGCGATCAGACACCCTACTTTTATGGGTTGTCCGTCTTCCCAAGGATTTTTTGCTCATAATGTGAAGGTCTCTGTACAAAGTCAATGTAAAATGCATTAAGAAAATCATCCCGGAATCCGTTTTTTGCATCGCCAATGTGCCAATCAGAAATATGGAACATCTGCTTTTTTGCAGACGATCCTTGACTTGAGGACGCATTGGTCCGCATTTACAAAGACGATCCTTATTCTCGGACCAGCACCCCTACTGCTCATGATCATCTTATTATTCAACTCTCATTGGCTCTGCATCCTCTTCAAATGAGCCACCACTTGTCATTCATTGCCACGTTGATGATTTTCATGGGGGGGGGGGGGGGTAGACCGAAAATTTCAGTCTCTTTTGTTCGTTAGCCTCTGATTTGGGTAGGGTCGGCTCCTCTCTTTGATTAAGGATTTGAAGAATTGACAAATTGTGGCTTCTGACATCCTGTTTCTCTTAAAATAAAAGTTTTAAAAGCGGGTTGAGCAAAGGTATGACGTGATTAGAATATGTAATCAATATTTCTTTAAGAGATGTAAAATATTTAGCAAATAACTTTGATATTTTTCTCATTGCTAGATTTCACCATGGGTCGAGTGATCCGTGGACAGCGTAAGGGAGCGGGAAGCGTCTTCAGATCGCACAACAAGCACAGGAAGGGAGCCCCCAGACTCCGATCCATCGACTACGCAGAGCGTCATGGATACCTCAAGGGCATCGTCAAGGTGGGTGAATCATTTAGTAATACAGTCAAACCTGTCTATAGCGACCACCCAAGGGAAACACAAAGAGTGGCCTTTGTAGACGGGTTCCTTTAGTACATGATTCAATGAGAAACTATTTTCAAGGGAACAACAAATGTAGCCTTTGTAGACAGGTGGTCACTAAAGCAGGTTTGACTGTAATAATTACTGGAATTATGTAGTGCCTTTTCTGAAGGCTACAAGGCACAGTGAACAAACTTGATTAGAATTCAATTGTAAGAGGTATGTTGGTTTGGAAGCAGTCCAGTGAAGTACTACTTAGAACAAATGCTGGGAGTTTGTCCCGGAGGCACAGGATATAAAAGGATTGAAGCCTGCCTGATTGGGGGATTCGGGAACAAGAAGGGAAGGGGCTGAAAAAGATTGAAATGAATTGTACAAACACAATTAAGTGAAAAGACGTGTATATTACAGTGCTCTTCTCAAGTTGCATGCTTTAATTAAACCAATTTGTCAGCTTGGCCTTGGGTAATTAGAATATGCTGCCCTCCAAGCAATTTGAAAATGTTGATGTCCAATTCAGCAAGAAAAGGGAAAAGGATATTGGAAATTCAACTCTTGTACGTCTCAACCTATACATATGTAGCAGTTCAGAGCCATCCAAAGCTTTTAAAGATTAATCTTTGCCTTCTCAAGTGGGCACCAATCCTTACCTTTCACTTTTTCATTCTTAAAAAAAAACAAATTAATATATGTATGCAGGGAATAATTTTCCTGGTATCGCATCGCAATTTGCTGTGCATTTTTGCATGACTGCTATACAAAATATCTTTTGTGTAGCAGTTTTCTTCCATAGAAATGTACAGAATTTCATTTGAAATATTTATCCATCACCTGAAATTGCTAATCAAAAAATTTGAGGAAAATTATTCCCTGGTATGTAAATGAACCTTATTTAAGATGAAAATTACACAAGGCAACGAAATAGTTGCCAATTTGTACATGAAAATAGTGATTAGAAACTCCAGTCTATGTTGCCAGATGAGAGGCCTTTCCACTGTACTTCAAATTAAATTTTTCTAATATCATTTGCTTTCTTCTTTTAGGAAATCATCCACGACCCCGGACGTGGTGCTCCCCTTGCCAGGATCCAGTTCCGTGACCCCTACAGGTACAAGAAGCGTACTGAACTCATGATCGCACCAGAGGGCATGTACACCGGACAGTTCATCTACTGCGGCAAACGAGGTAGCAATTTCTTGTTATCTTCTACATACTAAGAATCTTGCGCTACGATTGGTCAAAAGTAAATCACGTGATGAAAGATTGTTTGCCCATCATTGATGGGAGAAGAAAAGTTTGTTACACTATGTAGATAGTAGTTCTATCTTCAGTGAAAGTGCAAACTATTTTGTCCTATATTTTACCAACCTCCTTTAGATTTTTAGTACGACTTTGTTATCCAAGCCCTTCTAGAGCTTGGATCAGACCATATATATATATATATATAGTAAGATGATATATCTTATGCCACATTTGCCACAATACTTTGTAACGTATGGTTACCAAATACCCGAGATAAACCATTGTATGAATTGGTAAAGAAACTGTCTAACAGTTATTCTGAGATGTTTGCCCTGAATTTGTGGGTCAGCAAACATTCTAAATTTACTAATCAGAAAATTGCTTAATTTTGTAATCCCAGCCACCCTGAACATTGGCAACGTGCTTCCCCTCGGCTCCATGCCCGAAGGAACCGTCATCTGCTCTGTGGAGGAGAAGGCAGGAGACAGGGGCAAGCTGGCTCGCTGCTCTGGCAACTACGCCACTGTGGTCTCCCACAACCCTGATACCAAGAAGTCCCGTATCAAGCTTCCTTCCGGCTCCAAGAAGGTCGTGCCCTCAGCCAACAGGGCCATGGTCGGTGAGTAACATTAGAATGATGACTAAGGAATTGATTGAAAGTTGACCATGATTACTTCAATTTTGCAACAAATTATGTATTGATATTTGCTAATGTACTACAGGTTGCCACAGAAATAGGCAATGGCATTTAAAAAATGTGCTGTTAAAGTGTTTGTATTATTATAGAAGTTATCATTATATTCAATCCATTATAAATGGATTTTTTCCTTTATTGGTGGAAGATCCAAAAGAATAAATTATTATTGATTCTTTGTTCTGAAAAAATCTTAAACTTTGCTACACCAACTTCAGAGCAAGGCCCCCTTCTCAAAATTTGATGTTTGAGCCTCTTCATACTATTCTGGTCACTTCCTTCTCTCGTTTATATTTCCATAGTTTGATTTTTCTAACCAACTTGATTTCTAGTCAAACATGCAACATGCATTCTCTTAAAATGACACCATTTCCTTGTTCATTTCAACAGGAGTTGTTGCTGGTGGCGGACGTATCGACAAGCCCCTCCTGAAGGCTGGACGTGCCTACTTCAAGTACAAGGTCAAACGCAACTGCTGGCCCCGAGTGCGTGGTGTTGCTATGAACCCCGTTGACCATCCCCATGGTGGTGGTAACCATCAACATATTGGTACCCCCTCTACAGTCAGGAGGGACACCTCTGCTGGTCGCAAGGTAGGTTCAAGATTCAAACTCGACAGCCTGTATTCTACTGAAATTTTAACCTGGGCCCTGTCGACAAAGCTTACTTGAATATCATAGTCATTTGCTTTATGTTTGTGTAACTGGCCTTTGATTTGGTTGAGGCCGTTGTTCAAAATCAGGGTTATAATAAAAACAAAAGGAAGCTGGTCTGCAGTTTTAAAGGGATCCGGTAACTTTGTTTCAGGTTCTGAAACAAAATCCTGGATTTAGCTCATGCTGCAGTGATGATTATAAACCTTTAGGTCAGTCAGCAATCCTGTGACTTTTACAAACAGATCGCGTGTCCTGTCTGATTATCAAGATATTTACGAAACCAAACCAAACCAAATTTTGCGTTTTTCTGAAAAGTTTTCATAACACTACAGTCAATTGGGGAAAACGAGTATGGTAAAACCGGTCACTCAAAGATTTTTACTTTAACTGTGTTAATTCATAACAAGGTTTCACTGTAACGGTGATTGTTTTAGAAGGCTCTGTAACTTTTGCAGGGTGCATAATTAGGCATGATGAATAAGTCTTCAAATTTAGTTCAAATTCAAATTCTTGTGTTTCGTGGAAACAGTAGGAACATTTGGGTCAAATTCCTTAAAGGAGCAATCCTTCATGGAATGAAGAGTTATGCTCCAAGTTGCAATGAATTTCTGCTCATAAAGAATTTTAACAAAGGCACAAGGACATCTTGCTTTTTTTTCCACCTCAATTAAAAAAAATGCACCTTTGAAAACTGACCTTTCTTATCTAAAATGTGCTGTATAAAGATTTATTACCATATGCCATACAGAATTTTATTATTATTCCTACATGTATTAATCTTATTTCTCATTTCTCTTCTCACTTTGCTATCTCAGGTCGGTCTGATCGCTGCCCGTCGTACCGGACGTCTGCGTGGAACCAAGAAGGTCAAGGACTCCAAGGAATAACCTGTAAATTAAGACGATATGACAAAATAGTCAATAAAATGCCCCCAAAAATCAATGCAAGCAGTGTTCGCATCCATCATTTGTGTTTCTCTCAGTAGGCCAATAGACCTGGGCCCTGTCTTACAAAGAGTTGATATCAATCACAACTTACTCGTGATTGATATCAATCGTAACTATGTACATAAGAGATAGGAAACTGCAAACTTACCATTGATTGGGATTAATCGCAACTCTTTGTAAGACGGGACCCAGTTCTTACATGTATTGAAATATTATTAGCGTTTCTTCTCAAAATGCCGAATGATTCACTGATGAACTCATATATGAATGGAATCCGCCTTGCAGACATAGTTTGTGCTTAGACATTTGCTCCAGTGATAATTGCTCCTGCCTTTCTTTCATAAAAAGTTTGGGTTGGGTTTTAGGTTTAGGGTTAGGTCCAGCACCTAAAGTCGCATACTTGGGCCCTGCAAAGCCAAGGTTTGTAATCGATTGCTTCATGGTAATGGCCAATCAAGATCATGGTTGCATACCCATATTGTTAACAAGGCTGACTTTTAACCAATCAGAATCGTTATTTCAATCAACAAACCTTGCCTCCCATCTATTACAAAATACTTGATCACACCAACGGAAGAAGATTCATATCGGAGCAAATTTCTAAACTAACTGTTGACCTTAAGTTATTAATGTGATTGCCTACATGAAATCGATGGAAATCTGTTTGGTGGAAACTTTGAGGTGACAGTTACTTTATCCCAGGTTAAAGTTAGGAATTCAATTAGTCAAGGAGCAGTTTTAGTTTGAGATTGTTTCATTCAACCAGAATATGAGATGGATAGTAACTCTGGGAGTATTGGATTGGAGGTGAGAGAGAGCATGGAGAGAAAATAGGGTAGGAGAGAATATGATGATGGTTTTGGAGAAAGGCGATGAACAGGAAATAGAGAATATGGTGGGGGGGGGGGGGAGTTTTTATGAGAAGTGGAAGAGTCTGAGGAGAAAATGAAATATGAAAGATATGAGGGTGAGTGTAATGGAAGAGAAGACATATACAGGATGTCAAAAGAAAAAGTAGTGGAAGGGAGATGAAGATGACTTGGGAGAGTTGAAGGAGAACAGAGAAGAATGATAATATAAAAGAGAATGTTATGACCAGAGAATATGAACTTATGAAGATGGTTGAAAGAGTTGAAGAGAAAACTTGGAGGAGGAAAATATGAAAAGTATACGCGAAGTACAAACCGGAAAACGTGGTGGGAGGAAGAATATTCATAATCCCCTCCCCCCTCTCTCCTCCCCCCCCCCCCCCCCCCCCCCCCCACTCTCTCTCCCTCTTTGTCCCTAGCTATTCTCTCGCATTCTTCAGCGATGTACATCAATTGTATTAAAATACGAAAGTGAAACTATTCAAAAATAATATTAGATTATAAAAAAACGTGCATCATAATTTCCCCCATTTGAATGAAAATCTCGTCACCCTCGCATGGTGCGTGTATGACGGACGGAACGTGCCAACATGACAACTACTAGTACGCAACCAACATCCATACATCTGTGCAACCATACAGCTACAGCCTACAGAACACATGTAAATGAAAAGTTATAACAATCTTATTCTGGTTTGTACAAAAGCATGAGCTGTATTTCAAATTTCTAGCACCATTTAAAAATTCACAATGTAAAAAAAGTGTGAAGTACAACTCATTTAAAATAAGATGTTACTTTTACATACGGTATATAGAATTAGATGTAAGTTCTTCAAAAATATAAAGATTCCCCAACCTACGGTGGTAACCTAACATAATGCAACTTTTGGATTGGGACGGGCGTATAATAAAATATAAAACAATATTTTGATATATTAAATCTCTACTCTAATCCCGATTTAATTGTTCACTATAAAATCAAACATTGGGAATTCATATTTCACGCTTTTGCATATATTTCAATATTGATATTACACGTAGTTTCGTTCCAATTACTAAGCATCTGAAGTACTGTACCGTTAACTATTTCACAAATATTGGATAAAAATGATAAACTTGTGTTCATTACACCTGTCCTATCTGGTAATGTACATATTTATATAACAAGATTTATACCCACAAAATAATTCAATACAAAAGACCATGAATCATAGATAAATTTCTTCTGAAGAATATAAATATCTATACAAAATGTGCGTAGAATAATTACTGAAAATCGACAACATTATGTCCCACCTCTAGAACCAGGCTGCAAATCCTCCTCCCCCCCCCCCCCCCCCCCCCCTCCACATATGGTCGCATTTACAATACGGGCGGGGAAGGTTAACCATCAATTATGAAAATCAGTGAGACTTCAAGATGAACTGAATCAGAGGCAGGGACGTAAGGCAGGTCTAGCCGTTTAGGCAAAGTCATCATGCGCGCGGGGTGGGGGAGAATGGTCTTACTGGCAGATGAAAATCATGATGATGATCGAAAACTAACAAAATCATCGATTAGTCGGGATGGTGTGACAGGAAGTCCTAACATCTCCCTTTTTGTTACCTTTCCCCTTCACTTTCCTTTCCCCTCTCACTTTTGTTTCGCCATTCGAGAAGGGAAGGACATGCTGTTTCCACACGGAGCTATAAGCTAAATCATGGAAGCCCATGCAGTCAGAGGTCGAGACGAGATTGCAGCCAACCACGGGCGGCGATTTCTTTTCATGACCGGAGGGGGGGGGGGGGGGGAGATCAAAAGCGAGGGACCAGTGGCGTAATGAGCAAAATCTTTCTTTTTTTTTGGGGGGGGGCAGAATTTTTTAAAAATCCGCATCACCACCACTCGTATAATTATGTTACATGCATGCCCCGCGGAACGTTTTCCAGAGTTGGGGGGGGGGGGGGGGGGGGGCTACAGTATTAATAATCAGGTAATGAATAGCGAGCGAGCGTAAATTTGCGTGGGGTACAGGGGCAAAGCCCCGGCGGTGATCAAGAGGTGGAGCCCCCGGATGCTCAGGATTTTATGCATTTAATTACGATCAGATGAGCGTATTTTGATTCCTTATTTGTGACACTGGCTGGTCACTAATTATTGGTGTGGGGTCGCCTCCTAAATATCAGGGGTTTAAGGCTTTAAATTATGGTCAGATGATCATCCAAGGGCCCGCTTAAGGGCCTTTGGTGGGGTTCCAGGGGGCAGAGCCCCCGGAGTTTTAGGCGTTTAATTATGGTCAGATGAGCATATTTTGATACCTCATCTTTGACACTGGCAGGTCACTATTCTTTCTTTCTTTCTATATCTCTTCAAAATACTTTTCCAAAAAATTGAGGGGGCCTGCTCCCCGATCCCGCCGCTACAGATGGTGATTTATGATTGTCAATACATGCTATATTTGCATAATCAATGTAATAAGCCCTGGCGAATAAGTGTAGAAAAAAAGGGAGGGGGGTAACATAATTTGCCACTCCAATTAATGCCCGTTGATCGTAATATTATGAGGCGTCATTTCGCTTGCGTTATTACCTGCGCCATGCAACAAAATGTTTGAAAATTCAATGTACCATATATTTGTTTAATTTTAAGGTCACAAGTATGATTGACACTGTCTAACCTCAGACAACGACGTATAGCCTATCATACGACGGGCAAATAATATACGTTGTATCTATCATCATCTTCCCATTCAATTATAACCAAGTCTACCATAATCACTTATGATTAGTAACCAAGCACCATAAATTACATTTATAATACTTCCGTTAAAAGGTTTGACAATCCATTTCCTTTCTTGTTTACTGCTGACGACCTTGAGTGCAGAAGTCTCGATCCAGGGATGGCACAATGATTCTCATCTCAATCACAATCTCAAAATGAGCCGTAATATAACTGTGATACAGGGGGGGGGGGGGTCCGGGATACTTATCAGCACTAAGGACGACTCGGTAAATAGTAAAGACCGAATCTTCTAGGAGAGCTCAACAATTGCAAATATTGGAAGAACGTCTTTTTAAACATTAATATAAGTTTCTCTGCTAGGAATGTGAGAACTAGTTTGTAAATAAGTACTTTAAGGTATTTGTAGACTTGAAATTATGTAGATGATCATGATTTTAGGACTATTTAGAGGGAATCCAGGCTAGCTCAGCACCATGCCCGACTCGGACCCGGTGGAAATGCCGAGTTGGCACCCCCGGTGTTGGCCCAGTGCGACGATAATCCACCCAATACAGCGGTAAATGATCTCTTCGAAAATTGGTAGCGGTCTGTTGTGTATTATAGGTAGCACTTGAACTCATTAAACCCCGTTGCCCTACAATGCCCATCGAGTTCGTTCTATAGTATCGAGTTATATCTGATGCACCTCTGAGTTATATAATTATAATGATGCTTTATAGACTCAAGGTGGTTTTTCTTGAGGATGGATCCGGTCAAGCATTGCGTCCAAAACCTTGACAGCCTTCTTCTCCGACTCGTCCTCGATATGCCACCATTTCTTTAACTCTTCAGCACCTTTCGGTGCAAAATAATAGTCCCCTTGCTTGGCCCGAATCTCCTCCGTAAAGGGTTTCTCGGACTTGATGATATCCCTGCAAGTACGATCGTTCACCGCCGATGCCTTCAGGCGATACGCAACAATGTTGATACCTTCGGGATGCCATTGAGATTCCTGGTCCTCGATATCATCTGCATTGGTTGCTTCTTCTACACAGCGGTCCATCAACCGCGCGTTCAAATCTCGCAACGTCCTAACGTCCTGCTCAATACGGGTGCGCCCGTACGCCTCCACTCTCTTCCAAAAGGAGTCGTTAAAGTACTGATAAAGCTGCATATCACCGTAGTTCCACTTCTCGATCTTGTTAGCGGTATATGGCGAAGTTTTATGTATCTGCTCTCTCGCGTTTAACTTTAGATAAATTATATCACTGAAGTCCCAGCACATCAAATCTTTTAATAGAATCAGAGATTCGTCAAAGTACTCTGAAATCAAAACAAAATGGAACCTGAGCTGCACTTCGAGGATGGTGTCCGCAATCTTTGTTTTGCTGTCCATGTCTTCCGGCTCTAGACCGAGATCGTAGAGGAGAGGGTTTCGGGCATAGCGGCGATGTACATTTAAGTCCGACGCGTTGTAAAATGCGTTTGGGTTCCTCAAGAAGGTATTAATCTTAACTAAGTGCGTCTGGTTGCCGAAGTCCTTACCAAGTCCCAGATAGGAGTAGATGGACTCGTAGAGGGTCAGTGGTGATCTCAGGATCGTGACGTAGAGGCTATCTCGAGGCATCAGGGTTGCTATATCTAGGAGGGAAAAAAGAAGATAATAGTTGAAGGTCAATAAAATTATACAAAGTGGTGCACAGGCTTACTACAGGCCTGTGTAAAATAATCATATAAACAGGCTGGATCCAGGAGAGCTTGGCACTATAGGCACAACTCAGACTCGACATGAGTGGATACTTTCATACTTAACACAAGAACTTTTTTGGTTTACTAAATTGGAGAAGACAGTCATGTACAACTGATGTATCTGTTTGGTTTTCGCCAATTTGTCTATTTGTTCTAATATTTTAATTGTTTTGTCAAATATGTCTGAATAAAATATTTAATCGTTAAATAAAAAGTTTGACTGAATGTTTGAAAAGTTGAGTTTAGTTTGGTTCTTGCCTGGAGCGCTGAACCTGGCATGGTGCGCGAACATGTTGAAGTGTTTCCCCCTCTCAATAAAATCCCTCGGGACGTCCCTGGTAGCATTAAACCGCCGTATCAGATCAAAGAGATGTGTCCTAGGCGGCAACAACAGTCGGAGATCGTTCTTGATTGCATGACGGAACATCATGTTCTGCATCGTCGAGCTCCCGCACTTATGGGTCTTCCAGAAGACCACATTGTGGCGAGGAAGACACTTTCCACCGTTCCCGCTCACGTCTTTTCGTACCGGGTCGGCGCTGAGGACCTCTATGGCTTTGCCGTCACGGAGATTTCGTGAGAGCTCTGTCTTTATCTTTTGTTGTGAATTGCGGTATTTGTTTTGAGACCGATATTGCTTCTCTGGCCCTCCTTGTACCAATCCATCTGCAGAAAGATTCAGAAATAGAGACATTAGGGAGGGGATGGGAAATTTAATCAATTGATTTAGTATCTTCTTTTAATAGTTCCCTATACTTACACCTCTTCACTCACTTTCTTTACCTCTTCCTTTATAATTATGTCCACTGAAATCTAATATAATTTTAATTAACCATTTAATATTTTGAGTGATACGCTACTGCCTTTCCTGTCACTTTACCTTTTTTCTGCTGACTGATTCCGAACCTACGCTGGTGGAGCGACACACCACTGATGACGTCATCCTTACGTTTCGGTACAGCATTGGACCAATCAATGGGCCTTGAGGCATTACGTATGACGCTGTATTGTGGTAGACAAAAAGATAAGAAGAAGGCAAATTTTGATTTACGTAATATTTAAAACAATCAGGCTAGTCTGTATAACGAATTGTTTAACTCAGTGTATTCACTTCACTCATATGAAAACTTTAAAAAGCACAATACTGAGATTTCGATAAGGTATTTAGTGTTGAGAGAACTGTGTCAGCTGTCTGAACCAACTTTTTGCCACAAGATCATGGGACCAACAGCATACAATCCTGACATTAAAAAAATACATCTTTCATTATGTATTTCCCTGTTTTGTCGGTATCATCAACCTTTTGGAATATTCTACCTTTCTAAATGTCCTATTTAATTTCATTGTTATGTACTGTAATACTCTTTTCACACTGGTTTTGCTTAACCCCGTACTTTGCTTAGCCCCGTACTATCCTTAACCCCGGACTATTTTTTGTGGCTTTTCTCACTGCAATTCCTTAGCCCCGTACTAGCCATGGCCATGGAATTCATTAATTCGCTTCACTGCGTAGTCCCGGACTATTTTTCGTTTCTGTTCTCATTCATATGCTTGGCACCGCAATTGCGGAGTTAGCAGGAGTTAGCACCACAATTGCGAGGTTAGCCCTGCTATTTTGCAGGGTTAGTTAACCCCGTACTATAGGTGGGGTTAGCCCACTTTGGTAAAAACGAGTCTGAACAGAAAGTGGAATAGGCTTAACCCCGGACTATAGGTAGGGCTAAGACCCCCCTTTAACCCCACCTATAGTACGGGGTTAAGCAAATTTTTGCCAGTGTGAAAAGAAAGTGGAATGAGCTTAACCCCGTACTATAGGTGGGGCTAACCCCCCCCCCCCCTTTAACCCACCTATAGTACGGGGTTAAGCAACATTTTGCCAGTGTGAAAAGAAAGTGGAATAAGCTTAACCCCGTACTATAGGTGGGGTTAAGATACCCTTTAACCCCACCTATAGTACGGGGTTAAGCAAAATATTGCCAGTGTGAAAACAGTATAAGTCTCACGGGTCGTTGGTCTAGTGAAACGTTTTTTTTTTTAAAGTTCAAGACCGAAATCGTCGTTATTACTGGAATGACGGTCGGTAGTGTCGGTAGTGAGCAATATTTTTTTTGTTCCTCGAAAATTTGAAAAATCGCGACCCCCCCCCCCCCTTCCCCTTGAGCGCCAGGGGGGGGGGATCTCCAAAAAAAGGTAAAATTACCGTGTTTTTACACGTTTTTTCCCGGGGGGGCCTGGATCCACCACTGCACCTCGATTGGTCTTATTCTTTTCATTGCATGGCTTTGTGCGCTTGTACCACGCCCTTTCGCAAGAGAATATGCTCCCCCCCCCCCTCCCCCTCCCCTCTAAAAATACACTCATGGCGCTCTTGTAACCGTTACCTGCAATTTGATTTGGTTTGATCAAGGAGATTCCTTGGTTGATACAACCTTCATTCTGTTTACACACTTTATTTTATGCATACAAAAAGTGTTTAATTTTGAGCTTCTAATTCCTCTCTATGCACACAGTCCAAAGGTCTTTGGGTGTGCCAAACTCTTTGTCAATAATGAAGTCTTGTCATCAGGGCGTGAAAGTTTAGTCTGTGAAATGAAAGAAGTTTACGTAACACAGACGACAGACGAAGGCCCTGGAATCAGGCTCGGAATTCAGTTTGGTCAGCGGAGCCACTAGAATTCAATATTTAGACAGTGATTAGTGGGAGAAGACCAACGTTTTGAGGCCCATGGGTAGATTACAAGAAAATAGAACCCCGACATAGAACATAACCTCGTTATTGCAACACGGGTCAAAGCATGAAATAAATAATGCCACATCAATAATAAGGGACATCGCTATTAAAGTCAAGGGAGAGGGGGGGGGGGCCTTCCCTCAGAAACTGATTCGTAAAAAAGGTATTTTCTATTCCTAACCAGCTTTTTATTTATTTTTCATAGAAAACGTACGTTTTGAGGTCCATGGGCAGATTACAAGAACACAGAAGACACCCTCGTCAATTGCAACACGGGTCAAAGCATGAAATAAATAATGCCACATCAATAATAAGGGACATCGCTAAGTCACGGGACTGGAGAGGGGGGGGGGCTATCATTAAAAAACTGCCCTTTCCCTCATAGACTGATTCGTATAGATTTGTATTCTTTTCCTAACCAGCCTTTTATTATTTTTCATAGAAAACGTACAAATCGTATGATAAAAGTAAAAAACGGCCGTTATACTTAACACAATGTGAACACCCTCGATCCTACCTCTCCGCACACGAGATATTTGCAACTTAGGAGGGGTAGGGGGGGGGGGACAGAACAGTACTTTCCTCACATTCTCTAATTATTGTCTATTACAATCATGCTTAATATCCCCAGGGACGTCGATAGGTGTCGGACCAAATTAACGACAAGGTAGCTGAAATTTTCCAACAAGCAGGTGGGGGGGGGGGGGGGTATCTCACACACTCCCTAGGGCCCCTCCCCCATTAGCGACGGGGAAAAACCAAGTTGCCTGTCAGCCATGATCAGACTTAATAATGTCTTCCTGTCTGGCCAGCCTTAAGTGGGTCATCCTTGATTCCCCGACAACAACTCACGATCAAACCAAGGAGGATATACCTCTTTGATCAAACACATGGCGACATGTTAACACTGTGCTACATTTTGTCCTTAAAGTTGATACTCTAAGCAAATAAATGTCCCTTAATTTGTTACCTACGGCAAGTATATGTTATTTTTAAGTTTTTCAATTACTTAGTATATCACAAAAAAATTCTGTCTACTCGAAATCCTCAATTGAAATGTCTAAAATATCCGCCTCTCTTTGCATAGAAAATCAGTCACGACGCTGGTCTACTATTTATGACCTCACGTCCGGGAGAGAGTATATTCACGTACCCGGATGTTCCATAGCAAACATGTGCAAAGTGATACGATTTTCTGCATATTTTTGTTTCAAAGGCTGAAAAGTCTAATAAATTATAATTCTATGTACAATTCTTTACCTTCCCCTAGTACTTCATAGTATTAATATCAATTCCCCTTTTAAAAATTATGACATATACATGCCAACGATGTGCTATTAGTCGATATTTTCACCATGTAATTTTTGTTTTGGTGTTGAAATCGGCCCAGGCACGGAGTGAACAGTAGCTGTCTACCCATGCACAGTTCATTACCATACACTACAGCGATCTCCCGATGGTTTCTTCTTCCTTTTTCCCATGTCTTTCGCCTTCCTTGGCCCTGAACATCCTTCATCTACCAATTCTGACACCGGTAGTCAGGAGCAAGTCTTTGTTAGTTGTTTTTCTTAGCTGGCAACGTCGCTTTCATTCTCTTGCAATTGCCGATAAACATATAACTAGCGCACGTACGTACTACTACGTACGTACTAGCAGCGCCTAAAGCAGCGGCTTGGTCTTACCTCCCGATTCTGCTCGCTCCACGAACGTTCATGCAAGAGCCGCATCACTCGCCAAAATAGAGGAAGCGCGCTTGCATGATCTCGTTCAAGTTTGATATTTTACAACATAAAATGTTTAACTGGTACTGTATCCTTTTTTGAGGCAGTCACACACATCTATGATAAGTACTATCATAGTTCTAGAACTATTCGTTTTTACAAAACTGCTCATGTTCATCTGATGACAATATAATGCATCCGCCTATTCATAAGTGCACGATTTAACTTTAATTCCTAAGCAGTAAACTCGTCTTAAATCTCTACCAAATAGGTGAATATGAGGATATAAAAAGAAATCAGCGACTGGAAAATGTTGCTTCGTTATTCTTCATTCAAATGAAAACAGAAAATCCATCAAATATACTCCTTAACAACAACAAATCTAAGCTCTGACAGGATAGCATTTACATAGGGATATCACTGCCATTCACTCTCACTGAGCCCATGACTCCCGTTCGTGACGTCACGGATAGAGGCCCGACTCTACGTGCACTTCCGGGTTTCAGACTTAGATATTTTGGTAGAGTTTACTCGAAAAAATTCATTATTCTAAACTTGTTTTGTCGGGTGGACACCATTTGGTGTTATTATGGGGGTTAAAAGCTTTCTATTTATGTAATTATCTCAGTATTTGGGATTGTCTTAGAGTATCAACTTTAAAGTCCCGCCATTTTCACTGCGCATTTATCTCCCAAGGCCCACCACATTCAAGAGTCAAGACGCACACACGCACTGAATTGCGCGGATGACGAAGACTGCATGCACAAGTCGTATCTATAAATAATGTCACATCAATAATAAGGGCTGTTGACAATAGTGCACGAGGCGTTATTTTGATTGCGTTAGTACCTGCGCGAATCGAGGCTGACGATATTTTACCTTGTCGGCTGTCCGCAAGAATAGAAGACCAAAAGTGCTATAAACGGACTCCGTGCGGGCAACCAAAGAGTTAACCAATACACACCATAATTATAACCAATGTCGGCACTGCAGCCACTGCTCATTTTGCATTCACTTTTTGGGGACGAACCAATACAATTTCACATTATTGTGCTTTATAGACTGTATAGGTCACTGACGCCGTCCTGAAATACATCAGGGAAAATTTATGACGCCCCATTCTTTCGATCAATAATTTGGAGGATGTCAGACTGTTTTGATCGGTGACAGGTGATTACAGATCATGTGACATGATGATGAGAAAGAAAGTTAAAGGTAGAGAGAGGGATGGAGAAAGAACTAAAGAAGGCTCTGGTGTGTGAATTACATGCATTTGACAGAACACCTGAGAGGGAGAGAGAGAGAGAGAGAGAGAGAGAGAGATTAATTGTTTAGAAGAAAATGTTGCAGGCCTAAATCACACACATTGTGTGAAAGATAATGTCGCGATAATGTGAACAGACCGTCTAGCAGGTGCTTACAATGATCATATTTTTGTCTGTCAAGTATCTAAAGTATGGAATGCCTATTTGACCTATTATACTTCCGTATCAAATACTTCCCTACTCTCAGTCTCCACCGCTTAACCCATAATGCGTTGTACCATGAAAAATAGGTTATTGTACCACGAATCATTTAGTAACAGTGGCCCCGCCGCTGACTTTACATACCGGACTTATGCTGAAAGGGGGGGGGGGGGGTGCTGAAAAGGCTCGTATAACAAAAGAAAAAGGTCTACCCGTATTGATTTTACACACCGGACTTATGCTGAAAGGGGAGGGGGGTGCTGGAAACACGCATATGCGTACCCTTAATAACACTGAGTGGGGGGGGGGGGGGGGCGGGGGAGCAAGAAAGATACGCAATATTATGTTGCTGTGTCGGGTCAGCTGTGTCGGTATTCTTGCTCAATCATCGTGTACTATCAATGCAGAAGTTTGAAGTCGGTGAGATGTATTATGTCGGTCGGCCGGCAATTTTTTTTCCGTACGAACTGTGGCTTTTTAACGGACAAAGAAACATTTTTGAAAATTCAGACAATGATTAAGAGTCGGTACAACGAATCGTCTTCTTTCTCTTAACATTTGATAAAACGTCAAAGCTCCCGCGCTTCGCGTGGGAGGGGGAAACTGAGTAATAATTTAATGAAACGTCAAAGCTTCGGCTCTTCGCGCGGGAAACTGGATTCAGACGAGGATTAAGAGTAGAGAATGGTAAAACGAATCGTATTCTTTCTCTAATAATTTAATGAAACGTCAAAGCTTGCGCGGGAGGACTGAATTCACACAAGGATTAAGAGTAGAAAACAGTACAACGAATCGTCTTCTTTCTCCAATATTTTAATGAAACGTCAAGGCTTTCGCGCTTAGCGCGGGAGAGGGGGAACTGAATTCAGACAAGGATTAAGAATCGAAAACAGTACAACAAATCGTCTTCTTTCTCTGATAATTTAATGAAACGTCACAGCTGCTGCGCTTTGCGCGGGAGGGGGGGGGGGGGAGGAACTGAATTCAGACAAGGATTAAGAGTGAAAAAGGTCTAGCGACGCCCTGCCTTCACCTATTGTATTTGAAGAAAATACCCCCGAGCAAATATCTGCTCTGTTGGGGCATGCTTCCCTTTGATTACCATTTCTAGACAATAAAGTCAGACGTTCTGAAATCAAATATCGAAAAGAAAATCACTAATTATTTTGTAAGATGAATAATATTTGAGAAAGTGATTCAAATCAATCACACTAACCTCAAACTTATTTGTCGGTCTCTCCTCGAGGTAGGGTTATCCCTTGCCTGGTCATCGACCACGGCTAGACGTCGATGACCGCCAATCAATGTTGTCACGAAGGAAGCCTGATTGTAGTTCGTCCATGGGAGATAGACGAACACGAGTAAGCTACATGCTGCGATGATAGCGATGATGAGTCTCCTCCGGGGCCAGAACCTCATCGTTGCTTTATGTCTGACCACGAGTTCTGCAACGAGAAAATAGAGACAAACCAGGTACCTATAAATTATTCAAAGAGAAGGCTGGTTTCTGGTTAATGTAAAAATGATTTGTGAGCTTTATAAATATTTGTATACCAATTTGGACAAAATACCATCGAAAATAACATCATCTTTACGATGTTCCACATCAGTCACAATATGTTTTGTTCTTAAATTCTATATAATACCATTTCGCATTATGTAACATCGTCTGTTATACCTCCTGATCCCGGCCAACATCGGCAATGGCTGAAATAAAACGTGAAAAGCGCTATCTCGTTTTTTCAACGGCTGGTTCAAAATAAGAATATTTTGGGGGCACCACAAAATATAAGAAATCGTTATATTTATGGATATTTCAGCCGTCTCTGTGCCGATTTTGATCTAAAACAGACGATTTTGTCATTTAAATGATATGTTCTTTCAAATATAACACTCAGTTTTCATTATCTCACCAAAAAAACATTTTGTGTAGCGTCCTCTGCAACAAAACTCAACTTTTCCTTCAATATATTGAACCTAAAGCATTGAACTAAGAGCATATACCATACAAAATTATGACTAAACAAGGACAAAAGATACCGGGAAAAAGAGACACACGAAGAAATTAGACTCAATGAAAATCATTTATTTCCGTGTAACATTATCTTGATATAAATCGTAAAAACGTTGCACATGAAATTAAATCGACATGCATATACAAATAGCCAGGCCTACGACTGTGATGTGGAGGAGGAGGGGGGGGGGGGGGGGGGGGACGTCGATATTGTTATACATGTCCGGTTTTTCTTCTTTGATTTGATTTCTTTTTTTACCAACAGCAATACATACATTTCAATTTCAAGAAAGCCATGCGTATATGTACTAATAATTCTTCCTATCGCGACCACACCAATCCCTTGTTTTCAAAACTAAAAACTCTAAAAGCTGCTGATATACATTTTCTACCAATAGCACTTTTCATGTTTCGCTTACAAAATGGTCTACTACCTTCATACTTTCCCCCATTGTTCAATTTGAATAAAACCATCCACTCCTACCCTACAAGGCAAACTGAAAAATTCCATTTAAGAAATCCAAAAACCGCATTGGCTCTCAAATCTGGAACTCTCTGCCCATTGTAATAAGAAACCTTAGGACATTGTATTCTTTTAAGAAAGCAGTTAAAACTATGTTATCGTCTAAGTATTGATCCTATCGTGTGTAATTTTACTGTAGTCATGTTCGTGTGTACATTGACTGTATATTCAACAATGATGTGTAATCGTCCATGACCTATAGCATCGTTTACCCATTCATGAATGAACCTGCATTCAATCAGCAGATGTATGAGATTTATTGTATTATTACCAACTAAACGCTCCTTCTCTCTCCTTTCCTTTTCTTCTCTGCAAGTCACACTCTTTTTTATTTATATTTTGTTATTGTTGTATCTAAGTTGAGGGCTGCGGGCACGTCAAGCTACTCTTCTTATTTCTGTAGCCCTCCTGCATCTAATGTATGTTAATTATGCATTCAATATATTTGTTTAATTTCGTTTATTATCTGTATAAAATTATATACACTTAAAATATTGTATCAAACCATATAATGTTCATGAAAATGTATGATGAAAAAAAAGGGAAAAAAAGATTCAGAAACCAATAAATCAAATCAAATCAAATCAAATTTCCTTTGATATTATCTTTGTATGGGTTTCAACATGGAATATAATACATACGAAATGACATCGGTATAGCCAGGCTCTAAAAAGAGGAGGGGGGGGGGGGGGTTGCTGGAAAATAAAATCCGTGAAGAAAAAAACATCATCCTGAAAGACAGACTAGCCATGGGTCAAGCAGGTTCACATGGAACACATATCCTCACTGATGAATTCCAGAAGCTATACCTTTCGTCACACTCTCCTCGAAGTGGAAATTGACATTTCCTACCGTGCGAGGCCGAAGGACCAAACTATATACGTCTCATCGTGTACAGCATATTCACATTGGCAATTTGGCAGCACTGACAATCACAACATAATAATGTTACAACTATATTAAACGAGGAACTAAATAATATATTATATTAGCAGCGACTTCAATTTATTATTGTAATCGGGAAGTAGTTTCATTAATAACATAGTATAGTAATATTATCATTATTGTATAATTAGTATCTTTATAATAGTAATGGGGTTGGTATTATAGGCAAGAATGCAATAATATCCCAACTTTGCAAGCGCGTGAACGTTACGACTTACGATGTGACAATTTTGCGCATAAAAGAAGAAATTAGCATTATCATTTTAAATCATTGATATATTACGGACCTCTATTATTGTTACTTCCTTATTCTATTTTGTACAGTCTGTCGTGAATCACTTTTTCACATCTTGTTTCCCTTACATTGGTAATACAAAACTATTTCCTTTGCCTTCGAGGTTGTCTATAATAACATTATGTATTGTGAGTGCTGTACGTATTGTATACAAAATGTAAGGGTTATGGAGGCAGTAATGATACAAAAATAATGAAGGAATAAATAATAAAAGAATAAATGGAAATGGAAGGATAAATAGATAAACTCATGTAAGGCTTAGTGAAAACATTGTGTATTATTGCCTAATATCATGTATCGAAATGAATTAATGAAATCGAATTTCATTTAAAACATTGTCTAAACATTAATCATAGTTTTTGTTGACAGCAAACCAAGGCAAATCCCTCTATTTTGTTTCGTTTATTCTCCAAACATTGCGTCCTTTTCCCTCCTTCTCTCTCTCTCTCTCTCTCTCTCTCTCTCTCTCTCTTCATCTGGAATATTGACACAACCCAATCAACTGATATTCTCATAATTATATGAAATATATATGAATAATATTAAATGTATCATCATCAACTTGTTATTTATAATGGCAAGCTCCTATATATAGAACATCAGTTGATATGGTCTCAAAGTATTTTCTTCTTAGATGTATATCCTTCTTCTTCATTTCCTCTCCTAATTCTTTCTTTGTGTCCAAAGATTTCTACCCAGTATAGTACCCACTCCTATTTCTTGTCATTAATTGAGATGATTCTTTTTCTAACATTTTCCTTGGTCTATAATATATACATATATATATTTCTTCCTCATCTCTCCCCATTCCTTTTCTTCATTTTATCTGATTTTAACTTTTTCAATGGCTTCCTTTAAATTCCTTACCTCCTTGTTTCCCTGTCCTTCTAAATTTATTTGTATAATTAATCTTCTTCTTCACTCCTCCTTCTTCGTCACCATCATAATACGTGGGTTCGTTTGTTTTTTTTAATATTTTTTAATTCACCCGTTTTACTTCCTCAAGGCTTACCCCACCTCTTCCTCCTCCCCTACGTCTTCTTCTTCTCCTCATTCCTCTCCTCCTCGGCCTTCTTTTCCTTTCCCTTCATAATCATTGGCTTCTTCACATTTTCATCAAGTGTTGCTCTTTCATTCATCTGTTTCACAATGTTATTCCTCCTCCTCCTCCCCTATATTTCCCCTTCTCTTTCCTTCTCCTCGTTTCTTCTTCTTCATCTCGCTCTTGCCTTATACAGGCTACACTTTATACAGGCATAATGTACAAAATTGACACTACGATACATAGTAAAAAAAATATACATATATCTTGTACCTTGTATGTTTATCAATCTTAGCAAAGAGCAACATATTACAATGACATTATGTTCCTCAGACCAAGGAGCTAATTATACCAGCAACAACAACAAACCAGCAAAAGAAAATGTCTTGTATGTTTATCAATCTTAGCGAAGAGCAACATATTACAATGACACTATGTTCCTCCATGGAGTTACTAGCCCAAGGAGTTTATACCAGCAACTATGTCTTGATCGGACACAGTCACAGTCACGGTATATTAATAATATACAATATTGACACACAGTCACAACGATAATAAGTCCTGTTATAGTCTGGATAGACAATCTTACCTTAGGGCTTAGACGAACGAGAGAGGTGCCATCAAATACAAAATATCAAGATTTTCGCGAAACAACATCATGAACACTGATCTTCAAAAGCACTACACGGTAGTGTATCAGACTATTATTCTATGTAAATACCACATATTGGCCTGTAAGGCATACAGATTACAGTACTACTTCATTGTGTGTGTATATCTCCGTGTGCAGTGAAAGAAAGGAGCGTCACTGTATAAGCTCTCTTCATCTGGAAATCGGATTATCCTTTTGAGATCGAGAAAGTCATAAAGGCGCTGTTTAGAAAGCGAAACCATTCATGCACATCATCGTTGTTACTTAAAACAGGACACAATCCAGCAATGCAAAGAACGTATATCTCCAAATGAATTAACAAACGTACGCCACCATTATAAAACTTCCTGAAAATCTTGAGCCTTCGTCCCGGACTTTCGCGTTATTGAGAGCAGGCCTATAGCGTACGAGGTATCAATGCAGTGTTTTTACTCCTTGAGGGCTATACATACTTCATAGGGCACTTCTGTAACTTGATTTGGCCCCTGCCCTTGGCCGGGATTGTGGGTGCATGGTTCGTAGTAGGTCCATGGTGTGTGTGTCTGTGGGGAGGGGGGGGGGGGGGTCGGTATATTCAGCTGTCGGTTTGGATAGGGGCTGGGGAGGGGCTAGATTTGAATGGATGCATGTTCTTCCAAGAAATCTCTGATTATGCACCAAAATAATTAAATTCAACACAAGTATTCTTCTTTGGCGTTATCTAAGGGTTGCCAAATAACTCTTTAGCATTGTCTCATGTGAAACTATCTGTTTCTAAAATTGTAACAGGACATAATTGCAGGTGTAAATTCACCAGAAGTATATAGTCTCACAAAATATAAAACCCACTGATCTCTTTGTAAATAGATCAGACTGCTTCTCGGATGGAACGTGAGATGACGCTATTCTATTAAAAAGTCGCGAGCTGCTCTGATTATTGGTTGCGTCTTGCCATATTACCATTATACATTTTTACCCCAAAATACTTCTCATTACAAAAAAAATGCTGGTATCCAGTGTCATTTTATCAAAATAATAAGCGGATAAACTGGGGGAAAGGAGGACCGATACCGTCCAAATTCATAAACTCTAAATCTCTGTTGGCAATAAAAGGGACTGTTCTTCCAACATGCATTTTATCAATGTTTTTCAGCGTTTTTTAAGTATTTGTCATAAGTCAAGACTTAAAATACGAAATATTGCACATCGTATAAAACTAAAATTCTTTTCGTTTCTTTGATTAAAAGTGTTTGTCATCTTATTCATCGAGTCTAATGGACCGATCTAGAACATATATTGACGAATTGATTAAATATAGCTTACATGCATAAACCTATTACGAGTAGGCCTACATGTAACTTGACACAATTATAATCTTTACAAAATAGAGCTCAATTTTGAAATTAGATTGTTTTGAAATGTCAAAAACTGTAGAGGGGAGCCGATTAACTTGGGGAGGAAACCAAAACTTTGAGGGCATTTTGAGAAATCCGAGCTTGGAAATTGGGGCAGCTGTGATTATGTTTAAGGGGAACACCGCTTTACCTTCTCATGTGTCACTAGAAGTCAGTCTTTTATTGCTAGGCCACCAATACCATCATCACCATCACCATTATCACCACCATCATCACGATCACCATCACCATCGTCCTGGGGCGTCACTAGACCTTTTTCAGTGGGGGGGGGGGGGGGGGGGGGGGGGGAGGGGGGGGGTGGGGGGGGGGGTGTAGAGGCCACCGATTAACTAGCCACCAATTACTGATAAATGTATTAATGCCAATGTCCCAATGTCTACAAATTAAACCCTATAAACCCGTGGCCAGGAGCTAAATTATTTTTCAGTTTTCCCCCTCCCACGCGAAGCGCGGAAGCTTTGACATTTCATTGAAATGATTCGTTGAAGCTTTCTCTATTCTTAATCCTTGTCTGAATTCAGTCCCCCCCCCCCCTCCCTAGCTTTGAGGTTGCATTACATTATTGCTCTTAATCCATGTCTGAATTCGATTTTGCCCTTCCCACGCGAAGCGCGGAAGCTTTGACATTTCATTAAATTGATTCGTTGAAGCTTTCTCTACTCTTAATCCTGTCTGAATTCAGTTCCCCCTCCCAAGCTTTGAGATTTCATTACATTATTGCTCTTCATCCATGTCTGAATTCGATTTCCCCTCCCGTGCGGAAGCTTTGACGTTTCATCAAATCATCATAAAGAAGACGATTCGTTATACTGTTTCGACTCTTAATCCTGTCTGAATTCAGTTTTTCCCCTCCCGTTCACGTTTCATTAAATTATTATAGAGAAAGAAGACAATTCGTTGAAGCTTTCTCCACTCTTAATCCTTGTCTGAATTAAGTTTCCCCCCTCCCGCGCGAAGCACGGAAGCTTTGACGTTTCATTACATTATTACTCTTAATCCTTGTCTGAATTCGATTTCACCCCTCCCGCGCGAATCGCGGAAGCTTGACAATTTATTAACTCATAATAGAGAAAGAACTTCAAAGAAGACGACTCGTTGTACCGTTCTCGACTCTTAATCCTTGTCTAAATGAAGTTTCCCTCTCTCGCACGAAGCGCGGAAGCTTTGACGTTTCATTGAATTATTATAGAAAGAAGACGATTCGTTGTACCGACTCTTAATCACTGTCCGAATTTTCAAAAATGTTTCTTTGTCCGATAAAAAGTCATAATTCGTAGGGAGAAAGAAAATTTCCGGCCGACCGACATAATACAAGGCTCACCGACTTCAAACTTCTACATTGATAAAAATATTATAGTACACGAGGATCGAGCAAGAATACCGACACAGCGGACCCGATACAACAACATTATCTATGCGTATCTTTTTTTTGCTCCGACTCCACCCAACATCCCCCCTCTCTCTCTCTCCCTCTCTCTTACTCCCACCCCTCTTCTCTCAGGCTCTTAGCCTCTTACACCCCCTCTCTCTCTCTCTCTCTCTCTCTCCTCTATTTCATCCCCCGTTTCTTTCCTCTCTTTCCTCCATTTTCTTTTTTCTCTTTCTTTCTTCTCTTCTCTTTCCTTTCAGCTTTTCCTTCTCTATATCCCCCTCTCCCTTTTCTCATTTTCCCCGACAGCAGCGCAATATTACCGACAAATTCAGGGGCGTCGCCAAAGGGGGGGGGGGGGATGTGGGGGGTGCAACCCCCCCCCACCTGTCAGGATATTGTCGGTAAAATTGCGCTGCCGTCGGGAAAAAGAGAAAAGGGGGAGGGAAAAAAAAGAGAGGGAAAAAAAGAGAGGGGAAGGGAAAGAAAAGAAAAAAAGAAAAGGAAAAGAAAAGAAAGAAAGGAAAAGAAAAGGAAAAGAAAAGAAAGAAAGGAAAAGAAAGGAAAGAAAGGAAAAGAAAGGAAAGAAAAGAGAAGAAAGAAAGAGAAAAAAGAAAAAGAGGGGGGAAGAGGAAAGAAAGGAAAAGAAAGAAAAGAAAGAAAAGGAAAAAAAGAAGAAAAAAGAGTGAAAGGGAAACAAAAGAAACGGGGGATGAAAGAGAGGAGAAAGAGGGGAGGTAAGAGTCTGGGAGAGGAGGAGTGGGAGTAAAAAGAGAAAAGGGGGTTGTTGGGTGGAGTCGTCTCGTCGAGGGAGCAAGAAAGACACGGGTAAATATGTTGCTGTGTCGGGTCAGCTGTGTCGGTATTCTTGCTCGATCCTCATCAATGCATAAGTTTGAAGTCGGTGAGATGTATATTGTCGGTCGGCCGACAAGTTTTTTTTCCCTACGAACTGCGACTTCTTATCCGCTGTGACGACTTCCAGAGTAACCAACTACAATACTTGTATTTTCTCGAAGTTTCACTTTCCTATAATATCAGCTAAAGAAATCAGAGGTTTAAAATTTTCGGGGAAACTAAATTCAAACAAGGTTTAAGAGTCAACAACGGTACGACGAATCATTTTCCTTTCTTTATATTGTGATGAAACCCCAAAAATTCCCGGAAGGGGAAACTTCATTTAGACGAATCGAGAACGGTACAACAAATCGTGTTCTTTCTTTAATAATTTAAGGAAACGTCAAAGCTTCCGCGCTTCGCGCGAAAGTGGGAAACTGAATTTAGACAAATAGGGCTTACTAAAATTCGAAAACGTTACAACGAATCGTGTTCTTTCTCTAATAATTTGAGGAAACGTCAAAGCTTTCGCGCTTCGCGCGAGGAGGGGAAACTGAATTCAGATGAATAGGGCTTAATAATAATAAGATTCGAAAACGGTATGAGGAATCGTCTTCCTTTCTCTATATTGTGATGAAACGCCAAAAATTTCCCGCTTCGCGCAGAAGGGGAAAACTTCATTTAGACGAGTTGAGAACAGTACGACGAATCGTCTTCTTTCTCTAATAATTTAAGGAAACGTCAAAGCTTCCGCGCTTCGCGCGAGGGAGGAAACTGAATTCAGACAAAATTAATAGGGCTCATTTAGAGTCGAAAACGGTACAACGAATCGTGTTCTTTCTCTAATAATTTGAGGAAACATCAAAGCTTTCGCGCTTCGCGCGAGAGGGGTAAACTGAATTCAGATGAATAGGGCTTAATAAGATTAGAGAACGGAACGACGAATCGTCTTCTTTCTCTAATAATTTAAGGAAACGTCATAGCTTCCGCGCTTCGCGCGAGAGGGGGGAAACTGAATTCAGACACAATTAATAGGGCTTATTTAGAGTCGAAAACGGTACAACGAATCGTGTTCTTTCTCTAATAATTTAAGGAAACGTCAAAGCTTCCGCGCTTCGCGCGAGAGGGGGAAACTGAATTCAGACAAAATTAATAGGGTTGATTAAAAGTCGAAAACGGTACAACGAATCGTGTTCTTTCTCTAATGATATGAGGAAACGTAAAAGCTTTCGCGCTTCGCGCGAGAGGGGGAAACTGAATTCAGATGAATAGGGCTTATTAAGATTCGAAAACGATACGACGAATCGTCTTCTTTCTCTAATAATTTAATAAAACCAAAACTTCCGCGCTTCGCGCGGGGGGGGGGGGGGGGAAGCTTCATTCAGATTAGCATTAAGAGTCGAGAACAGTGCACCGAATCGTCTGCTTTTTCTCATAATGTAAGGAAAAGTCAAAGCTTCCGTGCTTCGCGCGAGAGGGGGAAACTGAATTCAGACAAAATTAATAGGGCTTATTTAAAGTCGAAAACGGTACAACGAATCGTGTTCTTTCTCTAATGATATGAGGAAACGTCAAAGTTTTCGCGCTTCGCGCGAGAGGGGGAAACTGAATTCAGATGAATAGGGCTTATTAAGAGTCGAAAACGGTACGACGAATCGTCTTCTTTCTCTAATAATTTAATGAAACGTCAAAACTTCCGCGCTTCGCGGGGGAGGGGGAAGCTTCATTCAGATTGGGATTAAGATTCGAGAACAGTACACCGAATCGTCTGCTTTTTCTCATAATTTAATGAAACGTCAAAGCTTCCGCGCTTTGCGCGGGGGAATACTGCATTCAGAAAAGGATAAACAGTCGAGAATGGTACAGCAAATCGTCTTCTTTTTTTTAATAATAATTTAATGAAACGTCAAAGCTTTCGCGCTTCGCGCGGGAGGGGGGGGGGGGAACTTCATTCAGCCTAGGATTACCAGTCGAAAACGGTACAATTAATCGTCTTCTTTTCCTAATAATTTAAGGAAACGTCTAAGCTTCCGCGCTTCGCGCGGAGGCTCATCACCCACACCCCCGGCCCCCCCACTCAGAGGTCGGAATGACCGCATGCGTGTTGCCAAAATGTCCGGTAAAGGGGTACTTTTCGTGCGACAAAGTCCGGCCCGAGATTTGTAAAAAAAAAGGGGTGTATTTGACTTTTCACCCGGAGATTTCTTTAAAAAGGGGGTGTTTTTCTTTTTTTCTCTCATCTCTTTGGAATCCTGAGAAATTATTCCGAATTTAGGGGGGTACATTGAGCATTTTTCCTGATTTAGGGGGGTCTCCAAGGCAGGAAAAGCCCGCAAAAAGCCCGCGAAAGGGGGGTTCGGAAATGTTGGCAATCCTCAGATAGGGGGTGCTTTCAAAAAGAGGGTACGAGCATATGCGTACCCTAAATAACACTGAGTGGGGGGGCCGGGCCCACACCCCCTTATGAGCGCGCTTTTAAGTGATTCTCTTGCTCACTACCGCCCCTCCCTAAAATAAGATCCTAGCTCCGCGCCTGCATTAAAATATATAGCTATGATGCTGACTAAATTTAAGAAATAATTCGTATATTAATATCGTCGAGGAAAATGCGCATATGCAAGTACTATAGATAGTCCATAGGAAAAACAATTTAACCTTCGGCCCCAGGTTTATAGGGTTGACTTTGTAGATATTGGAAATTTAATTTTGTCGGTAATTGGTGGCTACTTTTGTCGGTAATCGTTGGCCTCTACACACTGAAAAAGGTCTAGCGACGCCCCTGCCGACAATGGGGGTAGGTGTTGCACCCCACACCCCTTAGCGACGCCCTTGCCATCATCACCATTATACCGTCATGATGCTTCATCAATCACCATCATCACCGGTCAATGCGGTCATCACCACCATCATCATCACCATGCACCACCAACACCCTCACGCTTTTTTCTTTTTTCTTTTTTCTCTTTCTTTTTCTTTCTTTATTTCTTTTTCTCTTGCTTGCTTCCTTCTTTTGTCCAACTCCTTTTCTCTTTCCTTCTGTGATATGTGTTTCCTGTCAAAATGTATGTAAAATATATAATAAATCAATCAATCAATCAATCAAAACGTTTAGATTTTTATTCTCTTTCCCTCTCTCTACATTATTTTATAAGAATTTCCTTTGTTTGATTATTTTCTTTTTTTAAAGTAGTTTTGTTATTATTATTATTATTATCGTTATTTGTGTGATTGTGTGTAGAAAACCGGAGAAAACAGATAACGGTTGTAAATAGTGACGGGGAGAACTCGGGGATTGAAAAAATAGAATGATGATAAATCAGCTGGGATGACCATTCTTCTGCAAGAAATGACGCATCCAAATGAAGTGCGCATGCGCGCTACACATCAGAATCTCTAACGTGGCGATATACACGGTTGAAGTACAGCGAAGAGAAAGGGTCATCAAGTATTACATTTTTGCTTGATTTCATAAAATTCTGAGAGACTCTCTTGTTCGGACTCCCATATACAATTAGGATGTCTTCCTCTGGAGATTTCAGCAATCCTTTAAGGAAATTTAAGCTTGTTTTCCTCGGCGAGCAGAGTGGTAAGTTTACCGGTATCGGACAGGCGACGCCCGGCCCCCTTTCTGTGTGTAGTTTCCAATGATGTTGCAGTTCAGCTCAGTGCAGTGTGAATGAATGAATGAGATGTGATGAGATTGGGACTGTGTCTGGGTTGTTAGGGATTGCTGAGTTTAGTCTTTCAAAAGATTTATCATTGCAAATTGTATGTAAAATATATAATATTGTTTCCAATTAGAAGAATTGAATCCTGGCCTTGTTTTACTTTTATGAGATTTAGATCTATCATTTTACTTTAGATCTACCTTTACCTTTACCTTTTCAGAGATGCCAAGTTCAAAGATCAGCTATGCGTGACATTTTCATGACTCCTTCGCATGCGGGCGAGGGTATAGCGTACGTTTCAAAACCGAGCACGCGAGTCATGCGTGAGAGCATTTTCGGACCCTCGATGCGTGACTGTCACGCATAATACTTGGTAGCTCTGCATTAGACCGAAAGCTTCAGTCTCTATAATTGTCGGTTGTTCCACTGAGACTACGTCTGGCTCCACTAGACCTCCGGTTATAGAGACTGAATGATCGCCTATACCATCGTATGTTGAAGATATCACGGCTAGATTTTAGCCGCTAGGCCCCTCCCACAAACATGACAAACTTGCCACGGCCGTATTGTTATGCCCCAAAATCCCCCAAAATGTCATTTTACCTCGTCCATATCCAATTTTAAATTAGGCCTAGGCTATAATACATCAGTTCCACTTACTAACTTGATTGAAATAATCCGTTTAATGGTCCCTTTTAAGGAAATTATGGGTCAAAATCGACTGTGATAATGCCATTACGAACGTGTAGATGGCGCACAGTTTTTCCTTCATAATCATTTTGCCTTCGGCGTAGACTAGAAGGGATGAGATTGACGGCAGCGAGAGTTTAACACGGCTTGCAAGATTTTCAACATGGATGTCGATTTTGACCCATAATTTCCTTAAAAGGGACCATTAAACGGATTATTTCAATCAAGTTAGTAAGTGGAACCGATGTATTATAGCCTAGGCCTAATTTAAAATTGGATATGGACGAGGTAAAATGACATTTTGGGGGATTTTGGGGGCATAACAATACGGCCGTGGCAAGTTTGTCATGTTAGTGGGAGGGGCCTAGCGGCTAAAATCTAGCCGTGATATCTTCAACATACGATGGTATAGGCGATCGTTCAGTCTCTATAACCAGAGGTCTAGTGGAGCCAGACATAGTCTCAGTGGAACAACCGACGATTATAGAGACTGAAGCTTTCGGTCTAGCTCTGCATTAGATAAGCGCGTACTACATAGAACTTTAGCTTAGTTTACATTTATTTAGCATATGCGCATAACGTTCATCCGATCTCAGCGAATTGCGGTCTCATTTTACTAAATTGGCACCCACAAGGGCCCTTCCCATTGGCTATCGCGTGCTTCCATTCACTCAATGTTATTAGATATTGGTGCGAGGAGAAAGCTTGCGATTTTCCGTCTGATCCAATACCAAAATTATTATATTTCAGTGAACCCTATACATGTAGTTCCTATTTGTTTCGATTTTGTCAGCATCCTTAAAAGGTTAAGTATTTCACTTAAGTTTAAGTCTTACGTAACCAGCTTTCAAGTTTGAACAATTCTTATTTTCGTCATATTTAAGGTACAAACAGGACATTTATTCTGATATATTTGTTGATTTTCTATTCTGTGTGTGCAATTTCATGTGTGCGTCAGTTATGTGCGAAGTGCGTCACCTGTTTAAAGCATGACATATCAAAATCTCCTTGATGTGACGTGATATTACGTGTTGACATTGCCATTGAACTTAAAGGTAATACAAAGTTTTGGTATTGGGTCGTGAATTTGGTTCAAATGAACATATTGGAAGCATATGCGATCCTACAATATTCAGTCACAGTGAACGTTGTTGCAGTTGAAATCGAGTCTAAAGTTACAAAATTGTAAATAATACACTCTCTATGTTGTATAGCTCCCTCTCAAGGTCAAGATATTAATTAAGCTATAAAACAATGTTTCTTGACTAAAATCGACCGATAACCTATTCCTGTTTGGAAATTATATATTACAACTACATATTCTGAGATTTTCATGGTTGCAGCTAATGTACATGTACTGTACATGTACCATTGTATGGCCGTAGGCGCTATTTGAAATAACAAGCTTACAGCAGTATGCATTTCAGCTTCACGCATGTTAATGCACACACAAAGAACATTTTTTTTTTACACAAACAATTTGTGATAAAAACAAGACCTACTGTGATGCTGTGATGTATTTCTTTCTGCTGAGAGCGCGAATGCAATCAGAATATACAAGGAATTCTGCTGTCAAAATTTGGTGTCCAGAAACTTCTTATTTATGACAAAAATATAATTTTTTTACTTGGATGTAAAGGTGCTTTTTGGTCTAATTGCAGATCTGAGAATTAGAGATCGATACATGTACAGCCTAATCCAGATTTCTTATCAAGACTTTAGTATTTGACATTACAATGTATATTGATTTTTGCCTCTTAACTATAGTTGTTTATAAATGCTTACATGTATATCGTTTGATTGAAAACCTATCCTTATAATGAGAAATGCATGTATGGGAATCCCAATTTGAATGTCTTGACAAACATAATCAATTTTGGAATTATTAAAATCTAGTAGTTTGCAATGAGTGTGAAAAAGTATTAAGAAATTTATTTAAAATTGCTTCCGAAATTCAATCTGATATGAATTCTTGAAAGTGTCAACATTGTTTCTAGATTAATGTTTTTGTCTTAGCCTCTTGACGATTGTTTATTTTTAGAATTAAAACCTGAAATTGAATTCCAATTATTTTTAAAATCTTTAGTTTTAGGTCTATATGTTTGGCTTTGGTACAAAATACGGACATGTACAAAAATGTACATGTATACAGAGGATTATATTAAATGAAAATTGGATCGTACTACATGTAAATGGTAATGGTGGTAAATAGTAATGGTAAGGTTTTTATTGAAAAATCATTTGCAACCAGATGGCTGAATTGCAGAATTTTGTACATTCCGTACAAACATGAATAATTATACAAACATAAATAAACTAGCACAGTTATTTCAGGAATTAGGCAGTTTTAAGCGATGCTCGAAATTCCCATTTCGCTACATTTATGTAAGTGATGTTTTCGTCATCCCCCATTTTTATGTAGATATTTACTGCAAGGTGTACAGTAGTGCTGAGAACTTGCATGATAAGAGTTTAAATATTATAAAGATGTAGGGTTATCGTACAACACTACATGTATTTTAGAGTGTCTTGTACGGATTGGTTTTAATATTGTGGGAGAGTCAGAGAGAAAGAGAGAGAGAGATAGAGAGAGATAAATATGGAGGAAAAGAGAGAAACAATAGATGAACAAAGTGTCAGATAGATCTACAGTATAGCGGAGAGAGAAAGAGATAAAGAGGAAGAAAAATAGAGAGGAAAAGAGCAACAATGGATGAAAAAATGTCAGATAGACAGAGGAGAGAGAAAGAGAGACAGAGAGAGAGAAATGATGGATGAAAAAGTGTCACATAGACAGAGGAGAGAGAAAGAGAGAGATACAGACAGACAGACAGACAGAGGGGAGAGGAAAGTGAGGGAGAGCAAAGGGAGGGAGAGATGCAGAGAGAGAGAGAGAGAGAGAGAGAAAGAGAGTGAGATACACTGTAGTGAGAATCATCACTGAGGGTGTCTTAGCGTAATCACATTATTGCCATTGACATGTGTTGAAAGAAGAAACCAGAGTTCAATAATTCTCACTAAAATGCACGAATGACTCATCTCTGCTGGTTGGAGGGAGATCATCGGTATCCAAGGATTCCATCGCATCATCATACTCCATGCTGATTTAATGTAGGGGGTATGGAGAGGGTGGGCAAGATTGCTTTAGACTGTGAAAATACAACATCACACAAAAAGTGCTTCCTTGCAACTTTCAACCTCTAGATTCGTAGTATTGTAGCATGCTATGGAGAAAATACTTCTTAAAATCTGTGAAACGAAGTAATCTTGTTCATGTACATTGTACATTTTCAGTGATTTGTATACCATGCAGTAGCTGCATTTTGGCCTACATACATGTACATGTATATATTGTGTACATGTAGTACATTATAATTATGCAGGTGTTAAAGGTAAAATTGAATGTACATGTACATGTAAGTAGAGAGTGTGCGAGGTAGGCCTTGGTTGCTGTACAACATAAACTGCTTTCCCTTTATTCTGTACATTTACAGCATTGCAGCATAGTATCTACATGTACATGTATGATAAAAAATATTGTTCTGTGTTGAAAAAAAGTTGAGGCATTGATAATTTAAGCTTTTAGTCCTAAGGGTATACAGTGTACAGTACATTAAAATAAAAGCAAGAAAAAGGTGAATATTGATTTTGACAGTGCATGGTTGTGTACTTGGAGCAGGGCTTGATAATCATACTACATGTACGTGTGCCCAGAAAATGTGGATTCCCAAACTGTAATGTGTAATTAAGTCTTGACCAAACTACAAATAATAAAATTTAAAGATGAAGTTGAGTTCTGGTCATGCAATTGCATTGTGAAAGAAACGGTGTGGAACTGACCAGAAAAGGTTGATCATCTAGCATATAAGAATTTGTGTGTATTGCAAGGTTCTGGAATCATCAAAATGATACGAAATTTGGCCAAGTCTTGGTAAAGTTACAAACACTGTACACAGAAAGATGTATATGGGACTACATGAACACGTGGCGTAAAAAGCCGGCCCCCCCCCCCCCCCCGATTTTTACGATGTTACATGCATATTTAGAATATGAAGGCATTTGAAGAGCCATGCTTTTAGGGGACGTGTCTTATCTGATGTTCTTCCACAATTGCATAATAAGAATGAGTAACGCTCACAAATTATTTTTCACCTCTTCCCAGAACTCGACCTTCTCTTTAAGAAAAAAAAAATCATGAGGCTTATCCATACCAAAATGACAATATTCAAAATTTACTTAGCAAAAACACAAAAATTCACTGTGCATTTTCATAATACTGATGTAATAACACTTTCCACTGTATCTATCTACATGTACATGTATGAGTTTTAGTCAATATACACTTTACAAGAGTTTATTTTTTTATTTCCACTATACTTCCCACTTCTTTGCAGAAATGCCATGACATCTTTAAAAGTCACTTTTGCTGTCACCATTACATTTTGAGTACCATAGAGCATGGCCAGTGAATATTTTAACATTCATGTGATGACAAATAGTGAGACATTGGAAACATTCAGTACCTGTATAGTGTGCATGTAGTCAGTGGAATGATTCACTTTTACGAGAGTGACATTCAAAAGGGATGCATTCAATTCAAAGAGATGGAAAGAGATGGGTCATGCATTTCCTTTGAATACATAGAGTGTATCCACTACCATGACAAACATGTACTTACTGTATAGTAATTTAAATAATATAATATGAAACAATAAATTTGAAGAAAAAAGTGGCACGATGCAATGTACATGTACATTATTATGTACACATGTACAACATGATTATTTGAAAAATACATAATGGATAAGGGACAGACATGTACTGTACTTACCGGTAATCTATTGAGTCTGTATAAGCTTTTTAATAGAAGCTCTTGTTGATGGTGATGATGGTGATGATGTTTATGGTTGGTTGGTTGATTTATTGATGATATGGTTTTTCTCAGCATTTACATGTACATCTTAATCTATTGAGTCTGTATAAGAAATTAACATTCTTACTATAACAAACATTTGTAATGCAAAGGATATTTTTTGCCATAATTTAATAGAGGTTATTGTATAGTCACACTTTGTTAAAACATGAGGAAAAAATTTGAGCATCCAATCTGGCACTTCATATTCAAGTCATTCGTAAAGTCATGCATAACTTTATGAAACACCCCCCCCCCCCCAGATATGATTTCATCTTCTGACAAACCATCTTTGATGAAATTGCAATCATACATGTGTATTAATTTTACCCACTCAAGAACAATACATGTTTTAATAATTTTCTTGTCTTTTTGTTTTTCTTGCAGTTGGAAAGACTTCACTAATCACAAGATTTATGTACGACAGTTTTGACAACACATACCAGGTGAGAATGGGAAATTATATTCAGACATAAAATTGAATATTCTGGTCTTAAAACGTGTTCCAAGAATATATTGTTTAGTATATGGGTGGTATTCCAAAAGCTCTTTTATTTGTTAGTAGTCAAGATATGTTCCTTACAAGTTACAAATCAAGTTAATACAAATCATTGGGTTACGTTCAGTGCACAGCTGGCAGTGTACATGTACACGTGTAGCTAAGGGAAACACTGCAAGCCAGTATACTTGGTAGTGTCTATCCTGCAAACAATAAAGTCTGTTTTATGACAATTAACATGCTATTATAAACATGACATGTATAGTTTTCAGAATACTTCCCAATTAAAGAAAAAAAAGGGGTGGAGGGGGGGGGGGAACAGGAAATGGTTGTAATGTTTGAATCAACCTTTAAAAGCAGAGAAGATACAATGATACATGTACATGTATATCCTCCAGAGGTTTTAACAATATGTGAGTCCAAAGCGAGAGAGAAAGGAGGAAACAGAACTTTGACAAAGCTATAAAGAAGGAAGGAAAGTTTTAGCACTTTATACAGACCACCCAGCACCTCTTAGCCGACTCTTAATGTCAATGTGTATTTGAAGAGGATGGATATTTACTGGTGCATGTACAGAAGGAATATTGTGTGCACACTTTAATATGGACAGATATTTATTGACTGTGAGACCCATTCTTACTGACTAGACAAGTTCACTGAAAGTAGTCAATATGGATGCTTCCTCTCCAAATATTGTCATTAACAAATGATTATATTTTTCAATATACAATGAAGTTGGGTTGAATAAATTTAGTTGTTGCAATGGCATGCAAACCTCGGGCAAGTGTACGGTCATTCTAAAGCAATCACTTTACGGAGTTATACTGAAGATAATAAATGATAACGTTTCAATTGGTTTGTTATTATAAGCAAGTAAATCTCTACTAGTATTTCTTTGTACATTTACTAGGCTCATGGCATGTGGAAATTACTGTAAACGCATTACATTAATTTTCACAGATTTTGCGCTAAGGTTGGCAAGTGTGAATTTTAGAACTCCTGAGTCCTGATAATATAAGCATGACTTCTTATGCGTGTTTGAATGGGCTGAATTGCGTGCAACGCGGATTTAAGAACCAGCTAATATGTTTTAGGATTGCTCAGCGCGAAAAATTAATCACGCGAAAATAACAGCGTTTACAGTATTTCCATTGCTGCTGTAAAATATCTTGATATTATCATACTGTACACTGACCTTTAGCAAATGAATGTAGAATAATAACATTATTTTCACATGTATTATCTACAGCTTATTGTGTTTCAGAGTATCTGCTTACTTTGATTAGACTCAGAGATTATATGTTCCCTCCAAGTCTGTTTCAGCTAGTACACAATGGTTTGCTCTTTTCAATGTGTTCAACCATTGACTATACATTGTATACTAATTTTCTAAGTAAGCATATTCCTTTTTTTGTTTGCCCCTACAGGCTACCATAGGTATAGATTTTCTGTCCAAGACCATGTACCTAGAGGATCGTACTGTCAGACTACAGCTATGGGATACAGCAGGTCAGGAGAGGTTCCGCAGTCTCATTCCAAGCTACATTAGGGATTCCACTGTGGCAGTTGTAGTCTATGATATCACAAGTAAGTTCAAAGACCGTGGGGCTGTTTCACAAAGATCCCAAGTCGAACTTAACTCTAAGTTGGACTTAAAAATTATGGACAGCCGTTAGCATCTATGAAAATATTTTGTAAAAGTTATTCTATGTTAATTCAAATCAAGTGAAACAAACCATCAACCATCAGTCTTAAAATGGAGTAATCACCTAAAGAAAATAATTTTTGCACAGAAATCACCCCCCCCCCCCCCCAACAGAAAATCACCCCACCTCCACATACACAAACACACACAAAAAAGGTTATTTTTATGTAATTTTATAGGTGAATGGTATTTAAAGTACTGTACATAAAATGAAAAGAGGGGATAACATTTAAACCTATGTTTAGAATTTTGCTCACAATTTAGTCTCTTTTACCTTCATTTTTTTTTAGAGTATTCTAGAGAATATTCAATAATACATGTAGTACTTACTGACATGGAACCAGAAATAACTCATAGCACGATACTCTTCATGATAGGCTCTCTCCAAGTCAGAAATGTTAGTAATGCACTCAGTTTAGGGTTGAGATAAGATATTTGGCTAACATTGCTTTTCAGTTGCATTCTTTACTCAAGTATATTTATATCTAATATTTAATTTTCTGACCTTGTAGACAAAGTCTCTATGATTGGTTTGCTTTTATACATTTCTCATGGAAAGTATAAAGACACTGCCCTATTTAAAATACATATTTTAAAAAACAAATATAAAGATAATTTGGTTACAGAATCATTGCCCTCCTTTTGCCTGTAATTTGCTTTACTGCATACAGGTAGTGGCTTTAATAGATAAACTAACTTTATTATAAACAGATTAATCAGAGAAAAAATTACTTAAACAAGTTGGGGGGCTACTTTTCAAGCTTGCTTCCATGAAAATAACACTCTTTAATTTGTTTTGCATTGAACTCTATGCAAAATTTGGGGGCTCTTTAAAGACTTTCGGGGGAATTTAGGGCATTTCAGGGCTAATTCGCCCCAAGCCCCCGTGTATTTTTTTCTCTGAGATTAATTATTCATGTGACACAAGGAACATGTTTCTCCCATCTTGACATTCAACAATAATGTTATAGATTACAAGTGATACATGAATAGACTCTAGGTCATGCACTCATACAATATGTATACAATATTGGATAGTGGATCGAGTCAGAAGATATAGAGCGGGTGAAGATTTCCTTAAAAGACCAGACAGACTTTCAACCGCATAATTTTTTTGTTCAGCGTTTAGGCCACTCTGTTAGAGTATATGAGTAAATGATCTTTGGCTCCAAACAGACTAAATGTTAGTTTCATGATGACCCTCTCCAATTGTGCAAAGTAATCATTCTGTTGCATTGATAATGTCCATTGCCAGATAATTTATTTATTGAGTTCAACAACAGAGAGCTTTTAAACACGTTCTATTTTAATAGAGTACATTTCATACAATTTCATAAAATAACAGTCTTGCATAATATCTTCATCTCTGGCAAGGTGTTTACATTCTTTACAATCTTTCACTGTCTTTGCAAATGTTGGCTGCAAAGGTTGGCATTCAACTTGATGAATTCCTTTTAGGTAGACTCTACAACTGAATACTCGGGAGGCCTTCTTAAAGGAAAAAGACTTGCCATGTCTTAATTTTGTTTGTAAACCTCGGATACACCTTTACCTGTCCTTCATTCTCTGCCAGACAGACAGACAGACAGCCTTGTGTCTCCTCTCGACCACCTCGCATACATGTACATGCATCTTTGAAACTTATTAAACTCCTCCTGAACGGCCCTAATTTAGAGAGAGTGAGAGAGAGAGAGAGAGAGACAGGCGTAGAAATTAAAAGAGAGAAGAGAGCAAGAGAGAGACAGAGAGACAGAGAGAGAGAGAGAGAGAGAGAGAGAGAGCAAAAGAGAGACAGAGAGAGACAGACAGAGAGAGACAGACAGAAAGAGACGGACAGATGGAGAGACAGACAGACAGACAGACAGAAAGGAAGAAGAAGAGAGAGAGAAAGTTTGACAAACGGAGAAAGGGAGAAGAGAGACAGACAGACAGCCAGACAGATAGACAGACATACAGAGAGAGGGGGATGGGACTGCATTCTTACAGGTAGTGACTGCTCCAAAAATTAAGTTATACCGGTAATGTCATTTTCCTAGACATTCATGTTATCTTGTTCACACCTTTACCATGCATTATTTATTTTTTACCTGGGGCACGCCTTTACCTATCTGCATATCTCTGCTAGACAGACATTCGTTTCTATGGATTTGAGTCCCCTCTTAACCACCTTTACATACACACATGCATCTGTGAGAGCCTTATTAGAGCCCTTCAAGAACTGCCCAGCTTTTAAGAAAGTGGGGCGTTATTATAGGTACTGTCTGCAAGTCCATTATTGAAAAAAAAATACACAGGAGTCGTAAGAGATTTTAATAGCTTCAGAAAGCTTTAATAAAAGAATGCTATGAACTGTCAGTGAGGTGAAAATCATGGTTCGCACAGAGCTATTAAAGAAAAAAGCTTCATAAACAATACTTGGCAAGCCTGTATGGTCATTGTGTGTTCCAGTCATTACCATATGAAAACAAATATAGAAACCTTGTTTTCTTCATACTTGGTCAGATGAAAGTGTAGGAATATGAACCTCTTCACGTTTACAAAAAGTACTGTATAGATGTAGGACCATTAGTAGGCATTAATGAGACAAAATAGCATGGACATTCCTTCGCAGTACAATGATTCTTCATATGATGTTTATTTACACAAATTTTGTATAATAATAATGGTGGCTTCTTATATAGCGCACATGTCCGTCACATTGTGATGCTCTTGGCGCTGCTCTGATTATTACCATGGCTTTAGCAAGGCAGCCACTGCGGCGCTCTAGCATTTCAAGGAATTAATTCCTGCCAGGTACCCATTTACATAACCCGGGTTGAGTGTGGCAAATGTAGATCAATGTCTTGCGAAAGGACATTAAGATCGACAGTCTGTTGACGTAGCCACTCGACCACGACACCTCTACTAGTTTTTTCTCGTGTCAATGCCCCTGTGTAGAATCCCAGCAAAGTCATTGCATCCATTGTAGCCTGGAGGGTAAAAGCAATAACCATGCTTTGGGCAGGAGAAAAGCAGGTCTGTTTTCATCAGCTCTAGATTGCCAAATATCATGCTATTTTGTATCTCGATCACAAATTATCCAGTTAATTTGCGTCTTCATCAGCCCGAAGTTGCAATTAGCGGGATATTTGGTCGAGATAATCATCCTAAGATATTGGGCTGGTTTGCAAAATGTCCCGCAATTTCTCGAGCTTGAGTTTCAAGTTCCGAGGTCAAGTCTCTAGCTGATGAAGCTGCAATTTGTAACTTTAGGATTGTTTCCCAAATCAGCAATAGCAGGCTTTTTGGCAATCTCGAGCTGATGAGGACAGGCCTAGGGAGGAAGGAATCAGCTGCGTGTCTCTTCTCTCAGATTAGAAACAGACATCAAGAGCGAAGAACTTTTCATTAACGTCAGACAATTGCAGTGATCCTGATAGGTCGGCTGAATTTCTTTCCTCATGTATAGATCTCTCTATTTCTCTCTGTCTGCAACTCTGCATGTCTGTCAAGTTCTCTCTTACACTCTCTTTTTCTCTTACTATCTTCCCATCTCCCCTCTCTCTCCCTTAACCTCAACCTACATCTAATCTTTCAGTCTCTTGCCCCCCCCCCCCCCTCTCTCTCTCTCTCTCTCTCTCTCACCCCTCCCCTCCCCCTCCCTCTCTCACCCCTTCCCTCCCTTTCTCACCCCCTCCCCTCCCCTCTCACCCCGCCCCTCCCTCTCTCACCCCCTCCCCTCCCCTCTCACCCCGCCCCTCCCTCTCTCACCACTCCCCTCCCTCTCTCACCCCCTCCCCTCCCTCTCTCACCTCCTCCCCCTCTCACCTCCTCCCCCTCTCCCCTCATCCCCCTCCCTCTCTCACCCCTCCCCTCCCTCTCTCACCCCCTCCCCTCCCTCTCTCACCCCCTCCCCTCCCTCTCTCACCCCCTCCCCTCCCTCTCTCACCCCCTCCCCCTCCCTCTCTCACCCCCTCCCCCTCCCTCTCTCACCCCCTCCCCTCCCTCTCTCACCCCTCCCCTCCCTCTCTCACCCCCTCCCCTCCCTCTCTCACCCCCTCCCCCTCCCTCTCTCACCCCTCCCCCTCCCTCTCTCACCCCCTCCCCCTCCCTCTCTCACCCCTCCCCCTCCCTCTCTCACCCCCTCCCCTCCCTCTCTCACCCCCTCCCCTCCCTCTCTCACCCCCTCCCCCTCCCTCTCTCACATCTTCCCCCTCTCACCTCCTCCCCTCCCTCTCCATCCCTATTCCTCTTTCTTACTCTACCTCACTTCCTGGTATTGTGTCACTCTACAATCTGAGACTCTTTAGCATTAAATGATTAAAACAAAATTGAGAATGGAGAGCGTTTGCAATCTCTAGAGTCGTGTTCTATCTGGCCTCTTTCCGGCCTCGTTTGTTCATAATGCAGACATGGGTTGCATACTGTACACATATAAAAATGGTTTGGATAAGGTGATTCTGCTTTTTCCTCAGGAAAATAGAAGGATGAAAATGTAGGCCTACATGTAGCAAACATGGAGGCTTGTATGGGGTTTTGTTTCAAGATTTAGAGCAAGACAGAGTTTTAAGGACATTGTTTCCCAATATGCAGAGCTTTTCTGAAATTTCTATCACACAATAAATACATTTGTATGTATTGATGAACCCACTGTGTACATTTTACAATATACACGTACATTGTGTGTCTTTGAATGTTAATGAAAGTGCTCTTGCAAAGGAGAGCTTGTGTGCAGTACAAGCATAGGGATCTTGTCTGGAGAACTGATAACAGTCTGGGAATATTGAGGGGTGTTTGTTTATGGTAATGTAGGGCACTCATGAGAGTTTATGCAAGGACCCAGCTATTCAAAATGTATGGAGTCTGCCATTATTCAAAATTTACTCTTGCAATCATTTTGAATTTGCATTGGAGATTACAGTAGAGAGTTAGAATGAATTAATTGTTCCTTTCCTTCGGCTTTGAATTTTAATTCCCTCTCCCTACTAGAATGCAAAACTTTGACTAGAATAGACACTCCCCCTCTCTCTTTCTCTCTCTCTCTCTCTCTTTCTCTTTCTCTTTCTCTTTCTCTCTCTCTCTTTCTCTTTCTCTCTCTCTCTCTCTTTCTCTTTCTCTCTCAGGCCTCAACTCATCCTTGCTGCTGCTGCTTTTCCCCCCTTCAAGCTTACAGTCGTGCTAATTGAAGCAAAAAAATCTTTACAATAACAAAGTCCTCTAAATCTTTCTCCTGTACATTTCATCTTCTGACAGCCAGAAAGGCACACGTTATCCTTCGCTCTCAACAGATGATTTGTAAATTGATTTTAGCCTTCAGAAAAACTGGTTGAGGAAAAACGGAAAAGTCGCAATTAATTTAATTAAAGAGAAAGAGAACATAATAGTTATTTTCAAATTATGTACAGTGGATCATATTTTGCATAATTTTTAAGAAATAGAAAGCTGTATCTGAGTTTCTGGAGAGATGCCCATCTTTCTGATCAAAACAGGATGCTGAAAATTGTGCCTCATTTGTGAAATGGGGTATACATTGTACTGTAGGTGTATACAGTATAAGGTCTATATTTTGAAATGAAATATTGATATCACTAGTTGCTGTTTTTGTTGTTGTTGTTCTCCCCCCGCAAAATCCCAATGAATACTTGTTGGAAATGAACGTCTTGTAATTGCCAGAGGAACTGTAATAAACTCATGGATATCATAAAACAATCACAACTTTAAATATTTGTAACTTTCTTATTCGTCTGATATTAATTGGAACGTTTACCAATCAGTTTCTCTGATTTTGTTTACCAAATGAACTTGTTAGGAAAGCTAAATTAGATATGAGTGGTACATGTCCGAAACCACAAATGAAACATGAATGGTGTCGCATGTAGACTTCATGTCTGAAGCCCTCAGATTAAAGGCAGATACAGGTAGTGACAGCAGTGATCCAACATTAATTACTCCAGCAACAATCATTCTGGGGCTTTACTTTGAAAATATGTGTTTCCAATTGGGCTTAGGTTGGTTGAGAGTTAACTTAAGGTATTAAAGTTATAGTGTGGTCCAGGGTTGAAGTTAATTAAATATGAGTGATACATGTCCAATCATACATGTTTTATCAAATGCGATATTGATTCATGTTCCTTTATCGATACCAGGGCCCGGTCTTGTACATAGACCCACGATTGATCTAAATCAATCGTAAGTCCTCCAATCAATCGCAAGTTTGCAGTCTCCTACCTCTTACGTACATTGTTGTGATCAATATTAATCCCAAATAAGTTGCGATAGATATCAACTCTTTGTAAGACAGGGCCCAGGTGTATATCAATACTCAGGATGTCCCCAAAAGCATTTATGGTTTTATCCATGTATTCAATACATTCTATATGCATGCTTTTAATTAGGTAACACATGCTCTGGTTCTGTGGCACAATAAAAACTACCAGTACCTTGCATTTACATGAATTACAAGTAGTGGGTGAGCTAAAATACTATACTTGTAAACAAGGGCCCGTATGTGTATGTGTGTCACATCGTGTTTTGTATTTGCTGCTGCAGTTTTTTAGGCAGGTTATCAGGGTACATGTATTTGGGAATGAGGCTAGAGTCTGTTTTGAAAATAATAAATTATTTAGTCGATTCATTTCATGAAAGAACATTAAAACAATATTTTTGTGCTGATGCCAGTTCTTTCCACCAGATATGGCCACGCCGCTCTTATCATTTTATGATAAGTCAATAAAATAATTTATTAATTTCATAAAAACTAATCTTTTTGTGCAGATGCCAACTCTTTCCACCAGACATCAAAATGGATAGATGATGTTCGTACTGAGAGAGGGAGTGATGTCATCATCATGCTTGTAGGAAACAAAACTGATTTAGCTGACAAGAGGTGAGATATGCACTGTAAAATTATAATTTTTTGCAAATTTTAAAGATTAATGCTAGTCACGATGTTAATAGTTGTAATCAGTAGTAGATCAGTAGAGGCTTTATAAAGCCAGTTTGTGGTAACAATTCATTAAATGGTTGTCAAAACTCATGAATGAACTTGAGAAATTTGATCTCTTACTTTTAATTCTTTGCTACAGGTTGTACGTCGTTAGAATTGGCATAAAACATTTTGTAACTTTTTGTTTCAAGAAGCCATTCTTTGTGAAAAGAAATAGTTCAAAATTTGTCCATGTAATGATGTGCTGAGCCTGAGGATCAAGCCCCAGTGTTGAATATGTTTCATCGTTTAGACGATGCTACCTCTATGTCTAAATGTTTGTTTTGTAGTTAGTGTCAAGTCGTTTGAGGGTTGTTGTTTTTATCTTGCTCATCATCCACTTCAGGTGGCGCTATAAAGCGCTGCTGTGGTCTTCACGAGAGCACGCCATGCAACTCTTTCACCTGCCATTTGTGTTGCACCTTTCATTCCTTGTCCCTTTCATTCCTTGTCCAGACACTTTCTTGCTCACATGTTTATAATTCTTGTGGATGTATATTTCTTTGCAGGCAAGTTTCAATAGATGAAGGAGAACGTAAAGCCAAGGAACTAAATGTGATGTTCATTGAAACTAGTGCCAAGGCAGGCTACAACGTTAAACAAGTAAGCACATCTTTTATTCGTACGTCAGAGATCTTTGTAATACATCAGGGTTTGACATTATAAAAGGGATCCGGTAACTTTGTCTTAGATCCTTTAAAAAAATCCTTGATTTAGCTCATGCTGCAATGATAATTATAAACCTTTAGGTCAGTCAGGAACCCCATGACTTTTACAAACCGATCGCCTGTCTGATTATCAGATTGAAAATCGAAATCAAATTTTGCGTTTGCCTAACGGTTTTCATAACACTACAGTCTATTGGGGAAAACAAGTATGGTAAAACCGGTCACTCAAAGCTTTTTACTTTTTTCAGGCACTTCTTGGTCATTTTGAAGCAATTTTTTAGGGCTGCAATATAACACCATATCAAAGACACTGATAACACGTAGGGCCGTGTATCTCAGATTTAACATTGTTAAATGATCCCTTTAACAGGTGGCCGTGTGTCCAAGGTGATCAAAATCTAAGTCCGCGGCCCTGAAATTTACAAAATATAATATGTGGCTGAATTTTATAATCCCTGAAAGTTTCAATTCATACCCTCTCTGCAAATTGACTTTTCTTTCAGTTGTTCAGACGAGTAGCAGCAGCTTTACCAGGTATGGAGTCTGCAGACCAAACTAAACCAGCTGGTGACAGTATCCTTTTTCATCCAAAATTGATTAGCTACCAAATAATTACTACCTGTAAAGGGCTCGTTCAGATACGATGCGATAAATTTTCGCATAAAAATCTTTGCTTTTGGCGGGTAATTGAATGGCAACTGAGCGCACCAAAGGTTGTATGCATATTTACTTAGCTTTGTGTCGTACAGGTACAGAAATTTGTAGTATATTGTATTATTTTACATTATATATTTTTCAAAAACGTAGTTTTCCACCACATATCTGAACAAGGATGTTCATATTGATTATACATACATTTTCACGACATGAAACTGTTATGATTGTTAAACAAAAGTGATTTTCATAGCAAGAACTATTGAGAATTGCAAAAATTCAATGTTGTGTCAGTTGTGACTTAGTTGCTCACAGCATGGAACCTTCATAAATCTGAACCACTTGCGAAAGTCATGAACGTTTCATGCATGCGGAATTTTCTGGGTTTATAGTTGGTGAGGATGCCTTTTTTCTTTATCCCTCATCTACAATATTTTTCATATATTTACTCTGACCTATTCAAATCCACACGAGTATATACCCCTATAAAACAGAGTTTGCTTGGAAGGCTAGTGCTAACTGGCTACCGGTAATATTAGTCAGATACACTGATATATACATACGTCAGCATAATTTATGCCAAAATTTGTCTCGTTAATTTATATGCATATTAATCACAGTAATATTCATGATACATGGACGTTATATCAAACAAACATATGTGCACAACATTCTATTTACAAACTTTTTGTTGTAAGAATATCACAAGAAAGAAGGTTATGGAATGTATATTTCCAGCAAGTTTAGGAACCCTTTTTGATGCTGAAGTAAAGTCTGTCACATTGGGAATAAATCCTCTTATGCAACAGATGTACCAGTTGGTGCTCTCTGTGCTTTCGTCACAATTATTTATTTATTTTTGAGAAGGACGCAACATGGACTTTGAACAAGGTAGTGTAAAAGCCTGTGTGCATGTCAAATATTTAGTGCATGACTGTTTGCTAAGGATAAGCACATCCTGGGACCCGTTTCACAAAGCCTTTTTTCAATGACAAATGTCAAAAATCAGTTACGAATCTGCTGATAACCAATCAGAAGCAAGGATTTCAGTAGCTTATAACAAAAACTGTCACTTGTCACTGATGACAAGTTTTGTGAAATGCCCCCTGGTATGTGTAATTGTGCATATTGTTTATAGTTTAAAGATATGATGGTGCAATGCCTTTGCAAATTTGATTGAAAACAAGATTAAATGTAGATTTCTGCAGGAAAAGAAAATGTATTTAGTTTATTAAAATCAAAAGGTGTCTAGTAATAATAGGATATGGAAGAGAATGTTATCATGAACGAGTAGCACAGCCATGTGGGAAATGCTCTTGAAATTGCAAATATTTTTATCAAAATGGCACTCATTCCAACAATAAATTTGCACCAGCTACACCTGTTAGGGCTGTGTATCCGGGTGTCTTTGTGATGTCCGGTAAATCACTGAGATTGTAGTCCGGGGAGCCATGGGGGTCGAAGGATCCTAGCGTACATGTAGGGCTCTTCATAGCTGTGATCTGGGACCCGTTTCACAAAGCCTTTTTTCAATGACAAATTTTCATAAATCAGTGAGAAATCTGTTGTTAACCAATCAGAAGCAGGAATTTCAGTAGCTTATAACAAAAAATGTCATTTGTCACTGATGATAAGTTTTGTGAAACACCCCTGGTAATTCTTTCAGATATTTACACTAAATTCTATTGGAAATCTTGGATGGAACATCATAATACATCATGATACAACCAAAAGACTATGGGACTATGTTTAACAAATTTGTCCTGATTTTCTATTTGCTTCCAAAACTGTACTTGGGCTGTATTGTAATGATGCTATAGAATGCCAGATAATTGAAGTCATGCGCTTCATCTTTTTTGTCCATACTAAAGACATCCTATTATTTGTAGCTACATGTATATATAATATATAAATACATGTATACATATATAGATAAACCTTATTTAAAGTTATGCTCATTTGTACTTTTTATTTCCCCAAAGCGTCTCTGTATTATTATTTCCGCATATCATTTGGAGCAATCCTCGATGTATTATTTTTTGTGGCATGATTGTTATGTTTAGTTTCCTTGACTGCTTCCCCGTTCGTTCCCCCATCTTTCATTTCTCCATCCCTTCCTTCCTTCTTCCACTATCTCCTTCTCTTTCTCCTTCCTTTGTTATACCTTCTTTCCATCCTGCAGTGATTGAAGTCAGCCTTGAGAAGAACCAACAGCAGGAGACAACGGGCAACGAAGGCGGTTGCGCATGTTGAAATTGACCAATCACCTAGATTGTCGATATCCCGTAAATGTTGAACACTCCGCGCCATTCATGAACTCCTTGCGTTTTTTTAATGAACAAAGTTGTGCTTCTTATAAATCACAAAGGGGAGATTTCGGCATCGTTCACATGTGTCTCTGTAAGCTGGCTCATGCAACTGCTGCAAGGAAGTGAACAAACATGTGTTTATTGTAAGGAATTAATGCATCATATGTGAATGGGGCTTTACTTCAGAGAAATCATCAGACAATGAATGTTGTATGCATGTTCTTTAATCGATGATACATGCATAACATGCACAAGATGGAATAGGGCGCATAGTGTTCCATGTTTACTGTACTCCGTATCACGACAGTTTTATTTGTCATTATCGCTGGTGGGAACAAGAAGGGCATAAGTATCTTTCCCAGAGTTTTATGCCCTCCTTGCTCTCAGAAATCATTTCAAAGTCATGGCTTACAATGTATTGCATTATATAATAGGAATGTACTGTGAGAGATATTGGACAAGAAGGGTAGCTCAGATTAAAGCTATCATATCTTGGGCTATGTTTTTTTTAAATTTTTTTATTTTAAATATGCGATGATTTTCACTTGGGAGGATAGTAGCAAAGGAAATTTGAAATCAAAGCAATATAAATCATTTGCGCACTTGTGAATCTATGCTGCCTCCAAATGTTATGAAGTTGAAAATTGTTAGTGCTTCAAGTGGACTGAAAAAAATGTTTGGTTCATCATTATTATCACAGAAGGGCGTTAAACTCATATCATTTTGGGGGTTCCAAACTGATGAAATTATACTTTTCTACACAATTCAACACATGTAGATTTTAATTCTTCTTATATTTGACATAAATTTTCATGGGATTTTGAATATCATTTACTATTTTGGAGGCCTTGATTTTAGCTGCTTTGCCTTACAAGAATGGATGCAAGTTAAATGATAGAGACTGTAACATAAGCTATGTATGTGTATATAATTAATTCTTTATAGTTATTAAACTCTAATATACATTGTAGGTATCTGTATATAGTATTAAAATAAAAGTCTTAATAAAAATCATGATAAAATATTGAGAATTGATAATTGAATTGATCTCTGGTGCTTACAGTCTGTCCATACTATGGATAGCTACTAAATACGGTAGCAAAGACTTTCAAGAAATGAACGTAATATCCTTTTAACAGCCTTGTGCATCCTCTATTGAAATGTGGGAATATTACAAGAACATATTCCCTAATCCATACATGACTTCTACACGCAGTGCAATAGAGTACCCAAGTGCTAACGTCATATTTGCTCGTCGTCCAGGTTACAGGTTCCAAACAACAGAGCCTACGCATGAGGTACACCACGACATCATACAAGCAAAGGGCTAGAGCAGGGCAAATTCCATGTTTGGCACTGGTGTGATCACCACGCCAATGTTTAGCACAACATTTTATTGAACCAGCAACCTTGACAACTTGGCTAATATGACGTCACATTTCGGTACTCTATAGGGTTTTGGAATTGCCTTTGTGTTGATTTTCCTTGAAAGCCTTTGCGATCGTGTTTGTAACACAGACAGATAGGGATATGATTTCATGAGAACCCTGTACTTACTGGATGATATCCACAATTTGTTACCTTTTTCACATTAAAGATATAGACCAGTTTTGGAAACACCTGATTTAACATATCATGTATATCTGGGACCTGTATCTGTAAGTATTTGACTCAAAACCAAAATGCGGACATTCTAATTTCTTATTAATTCAGAAGAAAGTTTTGAATAATAGATAGTACAATACTGTGTCATGTAAAACAACTGATTAATTAAATTATTGAGACATTTCTTTTCTTGTCTTTTTAAATGTATTAACATTTTTGGTTAAAAATGTTAACTTTCTCATGGACCTCTTGTGCTCTTCAGAGTTGCTGTCAGTATAAAGTGTTTAAAAAAAAGGAGACAGATGTTATATTGAGTTATAGCCTTAGAGAAGAGAAAGAAGAAGAAACTATTCTAACGATTGTTCGTATTTGTGTACATCATATTGTGAATATATTTATGAAACTCTGTTTTATACAAAGGAATGTAGAGCTCAAATGATACTGTTTATGATTTTTTTTCTTATTGTTGTTCAGTTTGCACTATCTTATTTTGATATTACTTGTATTCAACTAGGCTGCCAATCTGAATGATTTAATTTTCACTGATCGAAAAGCATAGCTGTTGATAATTAAATGTTCTTTATAGTTAATACAATAGAAATATTACCTTCATTATGATATTATTAATTTGTTTGGCTTTATATTACAAATATGTTATACGGTGTATGTTTCTCAAAAATTGATAGTTTCATACATATACAATTATACATCTAGTTTACAAGTTAACAAGCTTCAACAATCAGCTTTCTTGTACAAAATGGCTATCCCTGTAAAACTGTCTTTGACATTAAAATTGAAGGTAGGGGAAGGAGGTGGGGAGGGGGGGGGGGTGTGGCAAACTAGGTGAACAGATATTATAATTCTGTATGTTTAGATCAGTTTTTAATATTGTATGTGTTCTGATGCTTTATTTATTCATATACGTGGGGCATTGTGAGGGGACATGTGCCATACAGATAATTGTAATTACATTTCACAATTCAGGTTAAATTCTCTGTTCAATGAATATGGATAATCCTTAGTCTTTAGTAGTTGACTATATAAAGCTGTCATTATCATTGAAACCCTAAACTCCCACATTGTTTTGAGTATGTTCCATACACATTTAAAACACGAATGGACTCTTTTGTAATTAATGAGTTTGTTCGTTCACACTCTGATTGTGATTGTGATTAGTCTCGGTTTAAACTGCTCTTTGTGTCAATGGACCTGAACTGTATTACTATTTTTTAGCCAGTTTATTTTTCTTCAGCCTTATCAGTTTGGCATCATTCCATAATTGTGTATTTCACCTAGCCTGTACAGTCCAAAGGAGTCCGTAAGCATCACCTGTGGCTGTATGATTGGTCAATAAAATTGATTTACAATTCTTGCTTTAAATGATGTCTTTTAAGCAATTTTTATTTAGTTTATTGTTGTGTCTTTGTTTTGCTTCATGAATGTGAATGTTAAATGTGGCATGTGAAATGGCATAAACCTTTTTGCATGATTGTGCTCATATACATCCATCTGCATGTTATATCTAGAGTCATCTGTATGCAAGTGTTCACGCAAGTTGGATTATATTATAACGCTGACAAGTACAACAATATCGGTTGTACGGGTCTTCTGAAAAATGATCTGAGGATGCTAGAGCATGAGACTCATACTCCAAGATGATGCAGTATTTTGTATCGTACCTAAATGTGAAGCCTACCATTTGATTTGATTTGATTTGATTTATTTATTTCTGTTTGATTTTCTTTTTCTTTTGCATTTTTACAAATATATAACAAACAAATATTGCAAATTTACACATGACCATGCTATACTTCAGGTCAAATCTGCTTTAGAGAATATATTCACAGATTATTTTTATATTTGATATTTGAATACTATAGACATCTTAATAAAAATCTACAAAATAATAATACAATATATTAACTAATTTAAGGAACTTTCAAAACATTTGGGTTTCCTACCAACCATAGATCAAATTTATGAAATATTAAATTTGATATAAGTTTGTTGCAGAATGACAGAATGTTTGATCATTCTATAACAAAGCTGTTCCAAGCTATATTTTTACTGTGCCATGATGCTTTTTTGTTGAGGTATCGAGTTTGAATGAGGCTTTATACATTAGACTCACTGCACAATTAAATATAAATGCTAACATGTCACTTTCACCATTGATAAATGCAAGGTCATTTTCAATTTAATTGCCAATATTGATGCTATCCTTTGTGTATGTTAATTGAAGTTGGATTAACTCATCTTGAAAACATCCATCTCATTGACCTTTTCATGCTATCATTATAAATATTATCAAAGTCTGTTGAGGGGGTGTGGTGTGTATTCATGATTGACGGGTTTCATGCTAGATGATGTTTTTTCATACCACTATTAACATTGTGTTCTAATTACCGGTAGCTGCTATGCTCATCATTATCATTGTCAGCTTGGATATTATCAATGCTTGATGCTGTCATCTGTATTAATAGAAATGTAATAATTAACATCTTCATTATCATCATCATCCTCGTAACCATTATCACATTCCTCATCTTCATCCTCATCATCACCATTATCATCACCATCATCATCACCACCATTAAGATCATCAGCACCACCATCATCATGATCATCCTCATTTACAGTGTCACCATCATCATAATCACCACCATCGTCAGCACCACCACCACCACCATCATTTTCATCGTCACCATCATTATAATCGCCATCATCAGCACCATCATCATTATCAGCACCACCATCACCATCATCACAATCATCATCCTCATTGTCACCATCATTATAATCACCACCATCATCAGCACCACCACCACCGCCATCCTCATTGTCACCATCATCATCATCATCCTCATTTACATTGTCACCATCATTATAATCACCATCATCAGCACCACCACCACCATTACCACCACCATCATCACCACCACCATCATCACCACCATCATCATAATCATCATCATCATGACCGTCGTCATCATCATCATCATCATTTTCACCATCATTTTCACCATCATTAAGATCATCTTCATCACCACCATCACCATCATCCTCATCCTCATTTACATTGTCACCATTATCATGACAATCACCATCATCATCATGCACCACCACTATCATTATCAGTCACTACCATCTACAACATCCCCTTTTATGCTCCATTAGCAGCATCAAACTAGCTCACTCTCTAAAGGCATATTCTTCAAACTCCACATTATAATACCATCTTAATTTCCACCTTGTGTGTGTGTGTGTATGGGGTGTGGGAATATCTTATTTTCCTACTCTTTTCCTTAACATCTTGCCTCCTAACCCAGTTCCAGTAACACTCCACCAGAAGGAACCAGAAAACGACTTCCAACAAGACGAAGCCGGCTGCTACTGCTGAAAGCTAATCAGCTCCCAGAAATAATATTTACCAAAAAACCCCACTATTCTTGCATGTCGATAACACCCCACGTTCACGCCACTATAAAAATGAATGGTAAAATTTTAAAGGTTGGTCTATACAAATGATGCTTGTGCTATATTTGGTAATAAGTGCTGCCCCTCCGTGGCAAATGGACCAAGTAGATATTTATTTCATTTTTCAACATTGCTTAACAAGTCAGATGATTAAATTCTTTTGAAAGGTTGAAACGTGCATTTTTTCCCATCTACCCATGCAGCCTTGTTTTTGTTCCTTGTCCATTCAATTATACCACATTCACAAAAATGTTTTGATTATTCTGTAGAGAAGGGCGCAAATTTCTGTCATTTTCATAATGTTATTTATTTTGCCTTCGGCTTCAATATTTTAATTTCCAGTTAGTGAAAGTTGTCATTTGAAATTCAAAGAAAAAAAAAAAGTTGATACAAAATATTGAATACTTTGGAACATCTTGGCATATCTATAGTTGTATTGAAAACTAAAAAATGGTTATAAGCTGTTGTGAAAAATAAATCTGTTATCACTAGCGTGGAAGTTCCCTCATATACAAGAGTTTAATAAAGCACAGTAATTCTTCTGGAATCTTGTAATACAAGCACATTATTACAATATGTTTCTTAATCACATTACAAAATATGCTTTCTTTGAAGACCATTCGATATTGCCAATGATAAGTGTTGTTGATCTAAGGTCATCTCTTACTATCTGACATGTTTGTTTTTTTAATACCAGGAACTTCCCTTTCATAAGAAATATCACATTAGGCTCTAGGCTACATTGTTAGTATTTTTGGTACTAAATAATCAGAAGTTGAATCTTCATATATGAAGAAATCAAATACACATGTACTTTGACTTTTGAATATAAAACGTATATCCAAATAAATGCCCAATTCCTGTAATTTTGCAAAAATGTGATTGCTTTCACTAATATTTTAATTCTTCAAAAGTTATGGTTAAAAGGAACTATTTTAGTGTTGGTTTAAATGAAAATCAGTAAGTCTTAACCAAAGCCAAAGACCATATAAGATGGTCCAGACCTATACCTTGATGAATAAACTGGGACCTAAACTTGCAGGTCGGGTTTACATTATGTTCCAATGCTCAAGTTAAGAATAGACCTTGAACGAGTCGAAGATTAGGATTGCATCCAAGATGTCCATGTCTCTGCTTTTTGCAATAAAAAATCACAGACATAAATGAAGGTGCATAAGCTATGGTGTGAAGCAGTTCCTTTGAAATAATTTGTATTGTTCTCATTTTCTCTCCATTTTTTTATGAATATATGTCAGATGTAAAAATGTATGCAAAAAGCTCTCTTTTGATCTCATATGCATTGTACATATTTCATTTTGGATATATGTTTTCAATAACAAAAACAGATGTTAGCTCTGTAATTATTTGTATTTAATATGTTACTGTACAGGAAAAATATGTGTTTATTTGTAATCTAGAGAGCATTAATTAGTTAGTATATGTGAACGCATCAAGCTGTGTAAAGTGGTAGCGATGGAGACGAATGAGGAGGTAAATTATTGATGGAACACGATCAGAAAAACGCTTTTTGACACACAACAATGTTAGAATGCTGTTCTACGACATGCTCCAACCGCAATTGCTTCGTGGTTATCGGCAGCCTAGCCGGGTAATGTTGGAGCGCCTTGAGGACCTTGCAAGGTCGATACGTGCGCTATATAAGATTCCAATATTATTATTATTATTATAATTTATAACCTTCACTGACCAATTTTCGTAACTTTAACCATGCACAAATCCTATGCCTAAACCTAACCTAAAAATCTAACTGCAACCTATACGATTGATGGATTAAAGCCCAAAGCAATTGCTCCGGGAAGAGTCAAATGTTGGGTCACAGCCGGATGCCCCTTGTCCCTGGTAACTTTTGACCCATCCTCTAGCTGTCCATGTATCATTTTGTCAAATCAGTGAAAATCAATTTGTGTCAAATTTATCTGTATAATATGCACTTTGAAAAAATACTCTTAGATGCATTAAAATTAATTGATTGATTTTTACTTCAAGTCAGTAGTTTGAAATTGTATTGGTATATAACAGTGTGTATTAATTGCATAGGAACGATTTTACATGAACTTTCAATCAAGAATATAATGCTAAGAGTAGATCCCCCAAGATATTGTTTGTGAACCTTAATAGTTGAGTATAAATCAAATTGACATAGGTCTGATATACACTGAAATATATCAATGAGTAAAAATTTGCAGCAATACAACTTGCTATCTTTACATAATTACTATCTTCACTATGAATTTTGTCATTGAAAAAGCACCATCTTTTTTCTTGCAAGCAGATAATTAATTTGTTGCAAAAATGATTTTAAAAAACAAGTCAGTACAGGGCTGTATAGATATTATCAGCTTGATGGTGGGCATTTGAAGAATAAATGTAATTTCTAAAATAGGATAATCCTTCTCATATAGTCGGAGAAAGTAATAGCATTTAGTGGTGTGTAGAAGTAGTGCTGTAGATCCTGTATATGTGTATTGTAGCGTCTATCGTATCCATAGCTCAAAGCTGATCACAACATTGTACCTTTTTTTTTTAGAAAAAAAGGAAAAGGGAAGGGAAAAAGATGAATGAATTTGGAGGTATTTGGATTCAGTGTTTGATTACTGTGTGTGCCTTCTCCTCATTGTCTGCTGGTAGACAGAAGGGCGTTAGGTTGGTGTGAAGATAGGTGAACTTACGCCCTTCTGGCTCTCAGTAGAGAGCTTATTGTCAGCGAAATCGGTGTGATTATTGTTTGTGAAATTCCTCTTCATGTCATATACCATTATAGCAAGCTTGGATGGTAAAGTTTTGCTGGAGGAAATTTGCCTGAAATGTAATTGCCAAATACATGCTGCTTTTAGTTTTCTGTTTGAGAGAACTGAAGATTAGAATAAAATGAATTGGAGAATTAGGTATAATAGCATCTTGAAATATGACTCTAATTATAAATGGATTACTGGGTCTATTAGTACATGTACTTTACAATTATTCACAGCAAATATAGTTTTACAACCGAAAAATTTGCACTTTTATCTCACTCCAACTTTCTTCAATCGATTCTAAAATGTTCTCTAACAATACCTTGCTGAAAAGTACTTTTTTTTCTTTAAATAAAATAAGAGTATACAAATAGTAAAAATCTTTATCAGTGTAAATTCCCTTTAATTTTCAGTCTTGGCAGAAGCTTTAACAACATTTATTGAAATAAGGAGACATGAAGTTGTAAACCTTATCCATGACTTCATCCAAGCTCAAACTTATTAGAACTGTCACTTTTAGGATTCATTTTGCTTTCATATTGAAACTTGTGGAACATTTTCTTCATCACAACAAATCATATAACTATATATAAATGTATCACTAAGTACGGGACATGCCGGATAATTATACGAAAGCGAAAGTGGAGAATGCAGTGAAAGTATACCTACCTTGTTGTGTGTTTGTCGCTAAAGCGTTTCATGACTGTAATATTTGGCGGAAATAAATTATGTGAAATAAACTATTGTGTGTCAAAAGAATTACTCGGAATGTCTATCTGTGTCTTCATTTTGTGAGGATTTGAAGTCTGTAAGAATTAAATTTGATTGAAAGTGGTCTAGATGGGAGTATAAAGAAACCATTTTTGGTTGTATTATTTGACAAGAGCAAGAAAGTTGTTAATTCTCATCAATATTCTGCTCGTCGTAATAACACAAGGCTAACACCCTTCTGCTTATCATAGATTTGACTTGGCCTAAAGGTTGTTTCAATTGTAAGAACAGTGAAACCTGTCCTAGCAATCACCTGTGTAGAAGAAAGACCACCTGTCTATAAAGATCATGGCCCGTTACATAAAACTTTCCATTGATGGTTACTTTGCTATCAATATTAACTACCATGGCAACATCAATCAATAACCAATCAAATCAAGGTTTCCATGGAAGTTACCATTAATGGCAAAGTTACCATCAATGCTTAGTTCTATGCAATGGTGCCCACATGTTTTGTTTCCTTTTAAAATTATGTCCTATTGAAACTTGTAATCAACCAAACACATCTACAAAGACTACCAGCATAATAACGACCAATTTTGATGTCTCCCTCAAGTGGTCTTTATAAACAGGTTTCACCTTATCAAACATGCGTTTCCCTGCACACTAAACTACAGTACAGTCTGTATACAAACACTGCTCTAGGGCAACAGAAATTTTAGACTTTTGGTCATGTGACTACCGACTCAGCTGGACTCCATTGATATATGATTTGCACTCCAATCTCACAGGTGGTCCAGTTTTCAAATGAGCTCATCTCAAGATCGTAAACTCAGGCAATCAACAGAAACTGTGTAAAGGAGAGATTAACTTAAAAATCGTTTTTTAATCAGCACTTTGTGTTCATACACATATATCAGCATGACATTGAGATGCACATACATGTACATGTATATGCACCTTCTCCATATTTTCATACATTTAACCAAACACACATGAAACTTAAACATCAATTAACATAAAAATGTGTACATAATTCATGAAGAACTTTAAACTGATTTTTTTTTTCATTCCATAAAAAACGTTACTTCAAATCTAAAGCTCTGCTCATATTGAGTTCTAAAATTTGAAGTAATGAACTTCTATGCAATAGATGAAAATTAATTCTTTCTTCATTATCAAATGACCTGTTTCAGTAGTTTTTCTACTGACAGTGAAGAAAGAACCAATTTTCAATTAAGATTAGCAATAAGATGAACGTTTTCGGTGATGTATGTACTACATGTACATGTGTTACATAACATTTTCATAAACGTGGTGCTTCGTGATGTATATATATATATATATATATATATATATGACTGTCTATAATGCAATTCAATTACCAATTACTTTAAGGCGAGCAATCATAAAGAATAATACTAAGTACAAATTAAAAAAGATAGTAATATATTACGGTTTTATCTATCAGTCTATCCATGTATAAACAAGTCAAAAGATAGGAAGAAATTTTGATGAATTCTATATCAAATTAAAAACAATCAAACAACAAACGAACAAACAAACTAGAGATAGATAGAGGGAGAGAGAGGGAGAGAGAAGCAGTGAAATGTACAGTGGTCATGGATTGCTTAAAATGGCAATGTGAGAGAGAGAGAAAGAGAGAGAGAGAGAGAGAGAGAGAGAGAGAGAGATGGGAGAAATCTAATGTGATCACAGATTTCTAAAATGGCAAATCAACTTGTCTTTTCAAATTTGCAAATAAAGAGAAAGTGTGTTTGAGAGAGAGAGAAAGAGAGAGAGAGAGAGAGTGAGAGAGAAAAGAAAGAAAGAAAGAAAGGGAACCTAATAAGAAGAAAAATACATAGAATATGATTACACATTACACAATATGACATCCCAGCTAACTTTCAGTGTTGAAATACACTGCCATATATTGGAATTGTTCTATTTACAATAGCATTGCAATTTTCCTTTCATTTTGCAATAAAAGTTTATTTGAAGTATATCACACAACAACAATATTTTAAAACGCTAAAAATAAATACTTGATACTACCTACTGCTTAAGGGCTTGTTCAGATATAGCATGGTAAACCGCCATAAAAACAACACCACATTTTCCATGTAAATGAATGTCAATTTTGCACAACCAAGGACATGCATACATTCACTGAGCTCTGTGTTATAACTTATAACATACAGAAATGTGCAGTGTATTATACTTTATAACATAACATCACAATAAAAAAAACGCATCGTTTTTGCCGCGTCATATCTGATTAAGCCTGATATGTGTTTATTAATATCATATAGGGGGTGTTTCACAAAGATCCTAAGTTGAACTTAACAATTATGGAAAGCCGTTGGCATCTATGAACATCTTTTGTAAAAGTTATTTTAAAAAGCATAAAATGTTGATTCAAATCATAAATATTTTTTATTACCAACAGGGATTTCATGTTCTTGATGTGGAATTTATAAAAAGTCTAAAATACTTAAATTTTTGCTTTTGAATATATTTTATTTTAAGGCTACAAATGGCTCTCCATAACATTGAAGTCCAACTTAGAATTAAGTTTGATTTAGGATCTTTGAGAAACACCCCCATGGTGCAATAGGAATCAGCATTTTTGTTCATGTACCTAGGACGCAGCCAGTGACTACTTAAACCTAGATCCAATTCAAGAAGAACTAGCAATATCATGTCATATAAAGAATCCATACATGTCTTCTCATTATCAACTTGAGTCTGCTGGGTAATGTGACCATTTTAGATGTAGAAAAAGCCAAATCAACTGTGGATCGTAGTGACATGCATCTGACAAGTCAAAAGACTGTCCCTGATTTCAAACAAACTTGGCATTTTCTTGCTCTCAAAAGCATGCCATATGATATCCTACAATTTAAACTCTACCATTCATATATGACCATTCATAATGTTGTTCAGAGAGATTTTCAATTTATACAAAAATTATAACTTATGATATTGCAATTTCTTTCAAAGTGGACAGCAGTAAGATAATATAGCGTGCAGACTCAAAGCACTTTTGTATATGAGCAGTAGTGGAATAACACACAATTTTTTGTTTTAATTTCGTGCCGCTCGGATTAGCGAGGCATCATTGATGGAACCGTTGTATGATGACTTGATACACGTATTTCTTGTATATAAAAGGCTCAAGCAAAAAAATGGTTACGGCCCATATGACAGACGGCCCATACGACCGATAGCCCAGAGACCGACAGCCCAGAAGAACGACATTATCGGTCTAAACTCTAAAGTAATGGGTCTTCTAGCCACCTTTCAGAGGGCTCCTGCAACTGATGGCCCACGAGATCAACATTTGCCTATCAATAGAGAGTGAAATTTGCAGCGAGTGTTTTCAACCTTTTCACACATTATGGTGTACCGGGATGAAATTAGTAAAATACAGAAGCACTGCATGTTCTGTACACCTTGCACAATTCAAATCAAAACTGATTATCAATCTAAGTGCAAATAAGATTAACATGTAGAAAATAAAGAGTAATAATAAGGCCTAAAACAAAAAGATGTTGAATTGCCCTTTGCGACCGACCCACAAATTTTGAAATCAACGGTCGGCTTTTTCAATTTTTTTTTTTTTTAACCGTTTTTTTTGGAAAAAATTGTATTTTAAAGCATTCAAAACTGAGAAATATCAGCCCAAAGAGGGAGTTTAAAAAAGAAAAAGATTTCTGACTGACCGACCCATGTTTTGGCACCTTAAAGGGCAATACAACATCTTTTTTTTTAGGCCTAACTTTCTTGAATAACATGAAAAATATTTATCTACACAAGATTACTTACATATATTTTCTTTGTCATGAACAGATAAAAAGTAATACCTACGTTGGCCAATGGTAGGATCCAACAAATATATCATACTCATAACGCAGGAAAGTTTCATTTCATTGCAAGGGGGTGTCCATCCATGTTCAAGCTTGGATGAGGGGTTCCTAAATGTGAGAGTTATCGTCATGTCCGTAGTAGTACCATGGTAAGGAGTCCTGGTAAAGACACGCAAGAGAGAAGAAAAAAAAATACTGATTGCGAATTTCTGAATTATTCTCCAAACAAGAACCATTGGTAGCATAAAAAGATACAGAGGAAATCTTAATTAATTTTTTATTTTTTAGAACTTGTCAGAGAATATTGGAATAGAAAAGCTCTCCCTAAATCAAATGACCATTATTTTAAAGCATTTTGCCACCCTACCCCTCACAAAGTCACAGATTAGCCCCTGGATAGTATTGCAACAAACAATGTTTCTAATTTTTTGACACTGAAAAAAGAAGAGAGAGAGAACAAGAAAGAGAGAGAGAGAGAGAGAGAGAAAGAGAGAAAGAAAAAAAGAGGGGGGGGGGGGGGGGGGGGGAGAGAGGGGAGGAGAGAAAGAGATAGAGCTGCTGTGACGGTGTATCTGTGTACATGCACAAACCACTACTATATGTAGAAAATTCACTACATGGATAAACTAAAAAAAAAAAAAAAAAAAAAAAAAAAAAAAAAAAAAAAAAAATTCCCCTGTTTTTCAGCATTTTAAATTACTGAATTAACTATTTCACATAAACTGTGCACAAAGAGAATTTTTTACAGTTTTCATACTTTACCTAAAACGTAAGCAGCTATTAGTTTCTGATTAACCGTCAAATGTAAGTAGTCTGGAAGACGAGATCCCTTCTCTCCTTGAGTTGGCAACATCAAAGCTACGATGCACATCAGGGCTAACAGGACCACTGTTGCTCCGGGCCCGGCACGCCCTCTATTGGCTGAAAAGAGAGAGTAAGAGATTATAACAACAACTGGGAATTACCCCCACTCATATTCTAGTAGCTCTTCTGTCCCCTCTGCTCAATCATACTTTTAAAGAAACTAGTAAAATGTGGAATTCCAAAGTTCTTGTTGTGTTTATACATGAACATATATTTAGTGACATGAATTCAAGCACACCGGTTAATTGTAGGAAGTTTCAATTTTATCCACATTCAAATTGAGCAAATCAGCTATAAAATAACCCCCTTCACTGAAAAATAAACACTTGGCATATATTTCTTGAAATATAGACATTCCACAGCATTTCACCTTGCACTTTGATCCTAATCAATCAATCATTGAAAGAAGGATTGTGCACTGTCTTTAACTCGGGCGGTGACAGGTGTAAGCTGTCCCATACATTACCCTACCCTAAAAATCATATCCAAAAATAAGAAAAGTAGGTAAAACCACTCTGACCCCTTACTATTTTGCAAACAATCTGAATTATCTTTAAAATAATGGGTATATGGGACTACATAAGAATATTTGGTCCAAACGTAGCTTTCTCATCATATTTTGATTATGAGAGCATTTGAAGAGCAATTTTTTTAGGAGACATTTCTGCTATGATCATTCTTTCAAACTGACATCAAAAGAACAATAAAGCTCATGCATTATTATTTGTCATCTTTCAAGAACTCGACCTCTAATCTTGAGATATGTTGCTTCTAAGATCTACAGTCATACCTTGAGCAAAGACGAGATTAGAGGAGGATGGAGATGAGCCTTGAGAACTGGTATCTTCGTTGTCCTGATCGCCCCGCCCTTGAGCAGTGGCTGCTAGCAGTGCCGGGACGTCCTTACGACCTATGACCTCACGCTGGCCGTGGTGGTAGAGGTTAAGGCGGAACTTGTCTCTTTGACCAAACCCTGTTTCACTAAGTTCTTTGATCCGAATCAGTCTGTCAAGGAACAATTTTGTATGTTTTTTTGGTTACTCAGGCAAGTCCTAGTTGTTATATACTTTAATGACTAGATGTATATCAGAATGTTGGTGCATCTATAAATGGGTGTATTAAGTTAATAGCCCTACTAGAGCATGAGTCTGACGACACATGAAGTAAAATGATACTTCTGGTGCCAGTTTATTGTCATATGTGTACTTCCCTAATATCTGGTAACGTACAGCAGACCCCTTGACCCATTGCCCAGTGCCCACTCAGAAAGATTTATACACTCATGAAATACTAAAATCTTTAAAAAAAATACCATGATTATGTACCATATAATATACAAATAGTGAATGGCCATGAGTGCAATGGTACAAGATTTTGCACGAGGTGAAAGATAAGAGACACTATATTCAACGAGGAGCAGCCGAGTGGAATGGCGCGTCTCATCTTTCACTGAATGCAAAATATTGTTCCATTGCACGAATAAAGACCATGCACTATTTGATTTATACAACACCTAAACAATTTCCTTGGCATAAATCTCACCAGGTTTTGTCTGTTTTCAATTGATGAAATTGTCGATAGTGAACGCGCACTAAAGTAGGCAGCAAACCATGCGCGTACCAACCTTTATGTTTAATGTGACGCGGAGTGCAATTTCGTTTGATCCTTTCGCACCATTGCACTCTGACGTTACTTAGCTCACAATATACTTTGTACATCGTTAGTGACGTCAGAGTGCAATGGTGTGAAAGGATCAAACGGAATTGCACGACTGGAGAATGATGCCGTTCAATGGTACTTTTAGCGTATATCATGTGATCAAGAATTGACCAATGAGGTTGCAAGAATCTTAGTAGGCGTTGTATAATACCATATACCATATAATTAATGAAGAAAAATAATGTCATCATGAAATTAATTTCTAATTTTCATTTCATAACCTGAATCATTCTGCTAATCACTTTACAGAATTACAATATGGAAAACAGGGTTCGCACTAGGCAATTCATAATTTAGTGAACTAAATTAAGCCACATATAATTGAATTGGGCCACTTTAAGGATACCTAAAGCTCTACATCCTATACGTAGGAAGGTACTTACATATCAACACAACAGCCAGGTCTTACAGTGCCTTCTGAGTCAACAACATTATACTTCCGAGGAGCTGTGCATAAAACTAAAATGAAGCAAATAAAAAAAGGGATTCATGTACGATGAAAAAATTTGTTGAAGTAAGACAAGAGAAATAAATGAACATGAACATTTTTGCTTGAATCAACATCCTATCATCATGATAGGTATAAGCTTTGATTCCCATTGTCTAGTTGCTCAAGCTTTTGTCATTTGAGATTTGAAATGAATATGATAAGAAAAGAAAATATAGGCAACTAAATAACAATTAGCATTCACATCAGGCAACTACAACTTTGTAATCTTGTAGTGTGTGAACAAATGGAAGTTCATCAAGAAAATTGTTTTGGCACTGACCCTGTATGATGTATGTGCACTGGAAAAATATCAATTCAATTAATTTATTTTTCCTCTTTCAATCGTTCATATTTACAATGATGGTACATTTTAACATATTCACATATTTATATACATATAGATCAATTTGCACAATACAATACATTACAAAAATAAACATGAAATTGAAAGAGAAGGAGGGCCGACTAAAAAGCAGAGCTTGTAGGGTGTAAGCCCCCCTGTAAAAGTAATTATTATGAATTATTTTTTTATGAGAAGAAAAAAAACACAATAACAATAACTGATTCAGTAATACAAAAAAAAAAAATCACTTTTAAACGCAAAACATTGATAAATACATACATGTTTATAAAAAGAAACAATCAAAGTTGCATAAAGTCACACTACAAATTATATCTGATTCCAAAATTCCAATTTGCCGATTTGGTTCTAAAAATCGTTCAGAATATGACTAAATCGTACTGATTGGCAGGTCTGCTTTATAGGGGGAGGGGGGGGGGGGGGCACAATTTAAAAAAAATCTGTGACATCAAAGAAAAAAGGTGAAAAATCAAGTTCATTTTGGGTCTACGACATAAAAGGGGGGGGGGGGCGCATATACATGTACATGTAAACACAATAAGAGGGCACAATATTTTGTACAAAGGTATGGATGATTCAATTGTTTTTAAAGACATTTGCAAAGGGTACTTGCGTCCCCAAAGCTGCCTGAAACTTACCCTTGAATCGAAACGGGAAATCATATGGGTTGTAGATGGTCAATACTTGCTTGTGGGATTTTCGGTCATCAACGTAAAAGGCTAGCTCGGTGGGGAAAACAAAAATCGGAATCTTTCCATCTCGAAGACGTGGTTGCTGTTCTAAAGGCATATGATTGGTTAATCCTGTCCAGTTCTCTCACATCAGGCACGATGAATCAAAATACCTGGATTTGGAAAAGATATACCGGTATTGGGTCTTTCATGCAGTCTTCATGTTCCTTCATGTGATGTCTAAATGAACTCTTTATATACCAAACAAATAATTCACAAAAATGAAAAAACACAAACAAATTAAAAGTAAAATGTAAAAGGATTTGTAAAGTGAATATAAACATATTAAAAAAAATAATAACGTTAAGAGGATTTAAACACGTACATGTACATGTACATGTAATTTATAAAATTATAAGCATTCAATTTACTTTAAAAAAAAGGTAAAAATACGATAATCAAGTTAAAATAGTGAAGTAAAATATTGAAGAGCATTTGATAATGTGATTTATAGGACCTAGACTACATGTAAATAATGAATTCTTGTTTGATATAACAATCATTGAAGTCAATTTCAGGAGTCCACAGCATAACGGAAGAAAATGAAATTGAACTGGAAGCCCAACTGCTGAGAACATAGCATTCTTCCAGAATCTTGGGTAAACGTAAAGAGTAAAGATTACTATTAATTAAAGATCACCTATGGATGTATTTTATTAAACATACTTTATAGGTGATCTTTAATTATTCATTTGCGAAGATGAAGAAATAAAGTTATTTAGATCTGACAATGATGATCATCATGGTCAAAGAAAAAACTAGTTAACTGCAATGTGCTGATCTCCTTTTGGATGTTATTATCAACAAGTTGACTGACTCACAAAAAAAATGATGACTCGATTGGAAAAATGAGTCATACAAAATTGTCAACACATCATTCATCAATGATAAAACATAACCAACAAATAACAAATTAAACAAAACAATTAGAACTACAAAAAATAACCCATCCCCATCCAAAAAAGCAAACAAAAGAACCAAAACAACAACAACAATGACCACAAAAAAGTATTAAGATAAACATACACTCAATCTCAGTCTATACAATAAAAAGCTAGAGTAGAGTCTAGAGAGCCTGACATGGCTGAGCTGAATTTGAACGAGAAGACAAAGCGACTTTTAACTTACGTTGAAATCAATGTGCGGGACTAGAAAAACCCAGTCAAATTCAGTGTCGAGACGATTCTGTCTAATCACAGCTCTCTCTGGTCAAAATTTAACTTTCTAACTCTAGCTCTAGACTCTAAATGTACTTGCATAAAATTGCTTGAACAATACGAAGCGAAGTAGACTAGTTTAAAGACATGAATGAAGGCAAAGACGGGCGCTGGCCGTGGGAACGTTTGAAGTATGACGGCTAGCTGAAACATCGAAAACAAAACAAAAACAAATCATTTCGTCATCATCGAAGTGCAGTCAGGCGTGACCTCGACAGTATAAGAATTAAGGAAGTGCTTTGTGACAAAATGTCTGTTAGTCGACTATGGTAAGTCAGTTAGATAATTACCAATGCCTTTGAATTGACTTTTTGAATAAATAGTAGTGTAATCAAGTCATTAAAAACAATTTAAAGGTCAGAATAATAATTTTCTGCCTTGGTTTTGGTGCAGTCCAGTCCCAAACGTTCAAAAAAATGTTTGCTTGTTAGTTGCTGTGTCGGTTGTGTGTGAAAGGGGGGGGGGGGGGGGGGGAGGGGGCGGGGGCGGGGTGAGGGACTGTATGCATTGTACACACAAATTATTAATTTTGTTGTTTATAGTAGACCTATGTGAACATATATATTATTATGTAGATCTAGATTTAGACTACAGTATTATTAGAGTCTAACGTTAGATCTAGTCTAGACTCTAGTCTAGAAATATAATTCTAGATCTAGATCTAGATCTTAGATTTTGGTATTTGCCTCCCTAATTATGGCTTGACCTTGGGTTCTGGGTGGGGGGGGGGGGGAGGCACATAGAACTTTAGCGTACAATTAGCGCATGCAAAAATCGTTCATCCGATCTCAGCAAATCACAGCCTCATTTTAAAGTGGCGCCGACAAGGGCCCTTTATTTTTGCTATAGTCTAGCTGTTTTCCATTTACTCCATGCTAAGATATTTATTCGATGAGCAAGCTTGCGAGTTTCCGTTTTTTTGCTTAAATTCAAAGCCACTCGAGCGGATCGGCCAATGAGAGCGCGTAAACTCACTTTACAGCGCTCAATGCGCAACGTTCTTTGTGGGGGGGGGGTGGGGTGGAGCTTTTAGTTTTTGCCTTGGTCATACAGGACTAGACCCTAGTATATATAGCATGTAACAAATCATAACTGGAGAATTAGAAATGGGAACTCTTATAGTCCAGATAAAACTAAAAGATTTCAGTCTAAGATTTCAGCCTAAAAACCCTAGGCTAGTAAGAGTACGTCATGCCTAACTAGTTTTGGGGATATAATTATAAATGAGGTCAGAACATTCATTGTGTATCAGTAATCACCATCTCTCGATCCATTATGAGCTGGCTATTTTGTTTGTTCCGTGTTACAGGCGAGGGTTCTCATCGCGGTTGCCTATCAACCAAACACTCCTAAGTTACAGAAGAACTTGGAGACAGCCTCAGAGATGTATCATCAGCTATAGCAAGACGGATGGAGAGATCCTCACAGTCAAACAGAGTGAGTATAATGGGTTATCCGACAAATGCTCTGATGCTAATTGATCCAGCAACAATTGCTCCAAGGTCAATTTACTACATGAAGTGACTTTATAGCTTAAGCCCTTGATCCACGTTACACTATAGCCTACTGTCTACATCAAATCCTAACTCTCATCCTAACCCTAAGTCCTAACCCTAGCCTTCAAGTTCAAGTTTTACTTTCACATCTGATTTTTTTAAAAAAGTACAATTTACCGTATATGCATACCATAAAACCAAACCTTAAGATAAAACATCTTCAATTTAAATCATAATGTGGTGGGAAAAAACAGAGGCCAATGGCCTATCAAGGTTATTCCCAAAGATATATCCTTATTGTAATCATAAACCTAACCCTCTATCTTTGATGATTTTAAAACCAGAGCTATTGTTGCTCTGCCAAAATGGATCACTATGAGAGCAGGGTAATTTTTATGGTACCAGATAATCAAAAGAACCTCCACCAAAATCATAAGTAATGTGCTTTTATGAGATAATGGTCCATAAGGTTTTAGGAGTGGCAGTAGTACCGCTTCTCCTTTGTATTTTTGGCTCTCATACTACCATGGTTTCTTTATTTCAAACATAGAGTTGATATGATTTCCTTGGGCACCGGAAATCATACTCATTTATACTTTTATAGGTCAGATCATGGAACACCAACAAAATCCTTCCCGTAGAGATTGCCTGATTGCCTTCATGGGTTTACTTCTAAGCATGTATGTGTACAAGTGTCACAACTATGTCCCTCAATATTCTATGATTTCAAAGAAAAGGTATGCCAACTATCAAGATCCAATCTATTTATAAATGACCCTGCTTGAGAAGAAATGCCAACTAAAATCAGTTGTTTGGTTTGTCATGGGGCGTTCATATTTTGTGGTCATATAAACCTTTCAGATTTGTTTGTTTAAATGAATGCTCACTCAAATGAGCTGATCAGTGTAATATCATTAGGATGTCATTTCCTGTAGTACTATTCTTCGCCATCCAAAACAGCAGCTTTATTTTGTAATATGCCTACATCTACTACTGATCACACTAGAATATACTCAAAATTCTAAGTTTTATGATACTCGATCAGTCCTAAGTAACAGGCTAGTTTCAGATTACAGTTAGGGCATGTTCAGCTAAAAGAAATGATTTATATGTGACCCGCCATGAAAACTATCTCCAAGTATTTCTGGTAATGCGTGTCCACAGATCAGTAAAAGTTGCATGTGCAAATTTGGGTCATCTGTACCATCTACTAAGTTACTAACTGGCTTATTAGGTCAGTACCATGATGATCATCATCAAGTTTTTCTTGTTAAAGATAAAGACCAGTTATGGTCATGTGATTGCATTGTGAAAGAAACGTGGAATTGATCAGAAAAGGTTGATCATCTAGCATATAAGTATTGGTGTGTACTGCAAGGTTCTGGAATCATCAAAATGATAAGAAATTTGGCCCAGTCTTGGTAAAGTTACAAGCACTGTACACAGAAAGATGTATATGGGACTCTGCAACACGTGGACAACACGTGCGCGATATCTACCAGGTCCAAATATTTTACCAAATATATCAATTAGTAGGCGGTTTCTCGGCAAAATTTGTATCATTACGTATTTAGTCAAAACATATTCTTTCACATGATTGGTAATAAGAGCTTCCATTTCATTTTTTGAGAGGGGGGCGTTTCCAAAACTGGTCTATACCTTTAATCTTCATTTAAGATAAATCTGTAGAAAAGACCTTGAGTGTCTGGCACTTCAATACTTTGAAATAAGTTTACATCTACTGATGATTACAATTCACAATTTTCAAATGATTTGAATGAACATTTATTTTCTTCCATTCAACTTGACAACATATTTAACATATGTTTAAACAATACAATTCATACATAGGAACATAAATATAATTAAAGAACTTGTATTACAAGGAAGAAGGCGCGAAACCTGATAAACAGAGCTTGTAATGGGTATGCCCGAATACACAAATACATAATATACATTATAAATGGAAGAAAGGAAGAAAGGAAGGAAGAAAGGGATAGCCAAAGAGGAGAGGAGGATAGAGAGCTTGAATGTTTCTGTTTATATGTTTGTATCAATAGTGAGGAAGAAAATGGTGGAGTTTACTGGAGCACAGAAGCAGTGGAGGTATGTATACATAGTTTATGCTTATCATTTTTGTATTGAAAATTTGGGAGATTGTGAGATAAAGAAATCAACTTTATTCAATTATATCATTTAAAATAAGGAGTATTTTTACTTGTTTTGTAATGAAATTGATTTAAAATAGAAAATAGTTGTCATATTTTTGAGTAGTTTCAAAATTATTTGTCCTGTTATATAAGCACTTAATTCTTTCTGATGCAAAACAGAAGGTCCTAATCCAAATATCTCTTGGGGGGGGGGGGGGGTGGGTGGGGGTTAGACTAGAAGACGGTAGTAGTACTCAAATCAAATCCAAGGAAACTTCACATTCATCTCCATTCATCCATATGACCTTTAACCTTCATTTATATTACCTTTGACCTTCATTATCCAGTCTGGATGGGAAGAATGCAGACCGGTCAGCACTGTCCAGCCTCTTGGCCCAAGACCAGACGGGATTGGAGCCCCGGAAGATTTCCGACAGCTACGATGAGATCTGCATCCCACTCTCTGACCCTGTCCAAAGAGACAAATACATGAATATGTATAACAGCATCCGTATTGGAAGGATACTGGAAGACATTGATATGTTTGGTGGTGAGTATTGCAGATGAGCTGTAGGCATAGATGGTTAAACACCAGGGGAGTGTTTCACAAAGACTAAGATCGACTTTAAGTTTTGACTTAAATATGGTAGGCCATTCATGTCACTGGTTGCTCTCACCATCGGTCTCTCAATTATGATCTTTAGATATATTTTCCTTTAATAATGCACTATCAAAAAAGCTGAATTCTGTAGATGTGTGACCATGATTTGTACGTCCCTTGAGAGACCATTGCCAGTAAATGGTGAGAGCAAACAGTGGCATGAACGGCCTGTCATAGTTAAGTCCGACTTAAAGTCGATCTTAGTCTTTGTGAAACACTCCCCAGACTGGACTCTGGAGATGTGAAGGTTGTGGGTTCAAGCCCCAGCACAGCCCCTACATCCATTGGCGAAATCCTTAGGTACACTTTATACTCTGGATCCAAGTGCATGTGTAATCAATGTTTATTCCGTAGTAAGGACATTTCTTAATGTTAAAGCAGCATCACAGCTGCTTTGCTTCATACTGAGGTCATAGGTCATTAGGTCATAACCCTGGAGTGCTAGGAGTGATACACCTGACAGACATGAGCAAAACACAGTATATTTTTTTCCCTCAAATTTAAAGGTAAACATTCTTCCTTATATTTGTCATTGAATGCTTTCACAATGAAGAGAAAAGAAAGACCAAAGGTCATTTGTCATTGTACTTGTATATGTCATATGAATATTCATTGAATATTTCATTTTGTGTTCTGTACCTAAGCTTTCTCTCTTCTCTCTCTCTCTCTCTCTCTCCCTCTCTCTCACCTTTTCTTCCGGCTGTCTTCTCTTTTCATTGCTATTATGTTCTCTTTCATACATATATCTTTCATTATTTATCTACCTATTACTCTCTCTCTATCTCTCTCTCTCTCTATCTCCCTCTCTCTCACCTTTTCTTCCGGCTGTCTTCTAATATGTTCTCTAACATGTATCTTTCATTATTTATCTACCTATAACTCTCTATATCTCTCTCATTTTCTTCTCACAGTGTGGTTACGTTAGACACAGCAAGCCAGCCAAAGATATAGATATTTCTACCTTTAACTCTCTATCTCTATCTCTCTCATTTTCTTCTCACAGTGTGGTTATGTTAGACACAGCAAGCCAGCCAAAGCAATAGATATTTCTACCTTTAACTCTCTATCTCTATCTCTCTCATTTTCTTCTCACAGTGTGGTTATGTTACAGACACAGCAAGCCAGCCAAAGCAATAGATATTTCTACCTTTAACTCTCTGTCTCTATCTCTCTCATTTTCTTCTCACAGTGTGGTTATGTTAGACACAGCAAGCCAGCCAAAGCAATAGATATTTCTACCTTTAACTCTCTATCTCTATCTCTCTCATTTTCTTCTCACAGTGTGGTTATGTTAGACACAGCAAGCCAGCCAAAGCAATAGATATTTCTACCTTTAACTCTCTATCTCTATCTCTCTCATTTTCTTCTCACAGTGTGGTTATGTTACAGACACAGCAAGCCAGCCAAAGCAATAGATATTTCTACCTTTAACTCTCTATCTCTATCTCTCTCATTTTCTTCTCACAGTGTGGTTATGTTACAGACACAGCAAGCCACCCAAAGCAATAGATATTTCTACCTTTAACTCTCTATCTCTATCTCTCTCATTTTCTTCTCACAGTGTGGTTATGTTAGACACAGCAAGCCAGCCAAAGCAATAGATATTTCTACCTTTAACTCTCTATCTCTATCTCTCTCATTTTCTTCTCACAGTGTGGTTATGTTACAGACACAGCAAGCCAGCCAAAGCAATAGATATTTCTAACTTTAACTCTCTATCTCTATCTCTCTCATTTTCTTCTCACAGTGTGGTTATGTTACAGACACAGCAAGCCAGCCAAAGCAATAGAAGTTTCTCCTCTTGTGATTGTGACTGGCCTTGTAGACAGAATAGGTAGGTTAACCCATTGCTTACTGGAACCTGATGGTCCCTGTGTTAAGTCTATAGGAATTAGATAATTCAGTAGTCAACGGGTTAAGCCCCAACCTGATATGAGGTGGCGAACAGCCTATGTAACAACAACAAGAAAAAATAAATGCAGCAAAATAAAAATGACAAAATAAAAATGCCTTTTAATCTTCACTTTTTGTGGTACTTTCTTGGAACTTATGGCATAAAAACTCATCTATGTGGCTGATTGAGGTTTGTAAGAATAACAGATGTTATCAATAAGTGATGCTGTATCTGTGGTTATTCTAGTTGGATTTAAAAAAGCGGGATGAAATTAATTTAAGAGTATCAATTCGAGTAAATAATTTATGTTTGGGGTTGAATCCAACTTCATAAGATCAACAATATAATCCCCCAAGAGTATATTTGTTTAGTACCAACATTAGATGTTAACCACTCGAAGGATTTTAGCAGCAAGAGCATTGCAGATATTATCAACGATGCCTCAAGTTATGTGCAGAATACAAAGGGGGATTTTTTCCCAAACTATAAGGGCCTTAGGAATTAAGATACAGAAATAACAGATCTCGAGGGGTCAGTGACACAAAAACGTAACTCCATTTTGGCCGTTTTGAGAAAAAGTGGTTTATGTGTCACTGAGCACTTGGGCTAAGCCACTAGCCATTGACTTCAATGGGGTGTTGGGTGGAGTTAAGTCTTTGTGTTTCCTGGAAAGCCCACATTTTTCTGAACATTTTGATATGAAATACTCATTTTGACAAAATATGGAGTTACGTCCTTGTGTCACTGAACCCTCAATCTTTACAAAGCTGTCTGAAAGTATGGTCAAAACCCAAAGTGCAGCCCTATCAACATTTTTATTAGGGCTATAAGGGCCTTGGGAGCAAGAAATAACTTTTAATGGCGACAGCTACTTTTGTGGTAATAATAATATAATAATAATAATAATAATACATTTATAGAGCGCAGAAACTATCCAACATTAAGTATGTATTCTACTGCGCTACTGGTAACTTCAAAACAGAAATATTTTTTTTCCTATTGCACATTTCATCTTTTATGTTTGCTTGTCAGACATGAGCACCATTGACATCATACCTGACAAGGATCTACGGCTGACTGGACATGTGACCTGGGTCGGCAAAACATCAATAGAGGTCACCATCAACCTTGAACAGGTCAGAGGTCAATTAAATGACATAGTTTGATTACTATTTACCCGTATTGATCATCTTTAGTAAGCATAGTCTTGTGGGCTTTATCAAAGGGACTTTTAATAGTAGTTTTACACAGGCACTGGGGTTTCTTTCAGTTTGTGAGGCATGTGGTGCATCATCTATATTAGTGGTTGAAAATGTTGAAATTAAAGGAAACTTTGATATTTCCCCACCAACCTAAATTGTATCCCTTTTTCAAATCTGTTGTAGCTGGATCATGTAATATTTGTGGGCTTTTCCTTTTATAAGTGGAGTGGCAACTTTTCAAGACTTGAGGTTAATGAACCAGTTTTGAGTAAGAGTAGTAGCAAGTTGTACTATAACAGTAAATAGAAGTATGGTACAAAAAAACACATGTTCGCATTTTGAAAATAATTGATTATTGACATAGAGGATACACATGGAATTTGACTTGTGTAAGTAAGTTCATGATTTGTAAAGTCATAGTACACTAATATGAACTAGGAGATTTAAGCCTTTGGATTGTTAACATCAATATCTTTGTAAATTTTGAATTTATATTGTAGGGCCTCCACGGAAAACATTACTGATGGAGCCACCTGACTAAAAAAAAACTAATAAATAAAAACTATTAAATAAATAAAATGTATATGTTCAAAAGTTGTCTTACATGTATAACGTCTTTCTCTTCAGATGATTGACAGCTCATATTCTAAGATCTTGGAGGCCAAGATTGTCAATGTTGCTAGGGATCCTCTCAACAAAAGGTGAAAGGTCAAATTTTTTCTCTTGCAAATTAGTTTCAAACTTCTGTTGAGATAATGATATGCCATTTATTTTTGTTGTTGCAAACTAAAACCCTGGATACTGTAGGCAATGTTTACAGTCATGTAAATGTTGAAAGCACTGCATTGATTATGAAATATTAATAATAATAACCTTTAAAGCAATTATGCTGCCTGTTTGATATGAATAATATTGCTGTCTTTTAACTGTATAGCATAACACACACTTCTTCCCTTAAAGTTCTGGGACCCGTTTCACAAAGCCTTTTATCAATGACAAATGACTAAAATCAGTTACAAATCTGCCGATAACCAATCAGAAGCAAGGATTTCAGTAGCTTATAACAAAATCTGTCAATTGTCACTGATGACACGTTTGTGAAACGCCCCCCAGAATAGCGAATCAAGAGAGATAGATTAAAGATTTTTGTCTTGCACCTCATCAGAGTAAACCACAAGAGTGAACAGAAAGCTGAAATTGGCCAATATAAATGCAAAATAAACAAAAAAATTGTCTGAAATAAAACAGGACCTGTCAAAGAATAAAAGCTTGAGTTTGATGGAGCCACCCTGTTCAAATTAAATAGCATCTGAGGAACTAACACTTCAACAAGCTCTGCTTCAAGTTATTTCCTCTTTTCTCATGCTTTTTCCATTATATTTCTCATTTCATTGCATATTTAATGTGATATAATTATTCTTGTATTATGTTTTGCATGAGAAATAAAATCTTTTGAATCATTTGTCTCTCTGGTACACCTTTCTTCAATTGATCATTCATCTCTTCTTTCTCTCGAATTCTTTCCTTTCCTTTCCTTTCCAGACCAGCCTTTATCAACCCATTGGTTGCTGAGTCAGAGGAAGAATCAGAGGAACTGATTGCAGGCAATGCAAGGAAGGTAGCCAGACAGGAAAGGTCTAAGGCCTCACTGTTGAAGACCGCCCCTGCGACTGAGGAGCGAGAAATCATACACAAAATGTTTGTGGAATCACTACCTGTAGGGTATGTATATACATGTATGAGTAGTGTGGCGACTTGAGTAATGAGTTTACTAGACTCGACTCAAGTCACAGCATGAAGGGACTCAATTTGAGGCTTGATCTCCTGTTAATATGACTCAATTTGAGGCTTGATCTCCTGTTGATGTGACTCAATTTGAGGCTTGATCTCCTGTTAATGTGACTCAATTTGAGGCTTGATCTCCTGTTAATGTGACTCAATTTGAGGCTTGATCTCCTTTTAATGTGACTCAACTTTGAGACTTGATCTCCTGTTAATGTGACTCAACTTTGAGACTTGATCTCCTGTTAATGTGACTCAATTTGAGGCTTGATCTCCTTTTAATGTGACTCAACTTTGAGACTTGATCTCCTGTTAATGTGACTCAACTTTGAGACTTGATCTCCTGTTAATGTGACTCAATTTGAGGCTTGATCTCCTGTTAATGTGACTCAATTTGAGGCTTGATCTCCTGTTAATGTGACTCAACTTTGAGACTTGATCTCCTGTTAATGTGACTCAATTTGAGGCTTGATCTCCTGTTAATGTGACTCAACTTTGAGACTTGATCTCCTGTTAATGTGACTCAACTTTGAGACTTGATCTCCTGTTAATGTGACTCAACTTTGAGACTTGATCTCCTGTTAATATGACTCAACTTTGAGACTTGATCTCCTGTTAATGTGACTCAACTTTGAGGCTTGATCTCCTGTTAATGTGACTCAACTTTGAGACTTGATCTCCTGTTAATGTGACTCAATTTGAGACTTGATCTCCTGTTAATGTGACTCAACTTTGGACTTGACCCCAGACAGGAGACAGTTAATTAGGCCTCTCTTTTGAAGACTTTCACCACGACCGATAAGCGAGAGATCATATGTCGGATGTTTGTTGAATCACTCCCTGTTGGGGATGTACCTGAACCAGTTTTGTTACGACTTGAGTAAGCTATATATAGAAGTATACTAGACTGGACTGGACTCAATCGCAGTTAGAAGAGACCCCCTGTTGACTTGACTTAGCTCTGGACCTGACCTGACCCCAGACAGACAGGAGAGGGCTGTAAGAGAACAAATGTAATACACCAGTTTACGGTTACAACAGTGCGCATGCGCAGACATGGGCGCCATTTTGATAGAAGGGTAAACAAATGACCTCTAGAGGTCAGTGGCTTACGCGTAAATTAAGATAGCGCCCATGCAAATTAGATGTGAGCGCACAGCGCAGGCAGTGACGCAACCATACATGCGCATCTGAAAACATTGATGACACTGCCTGCGCTGTGCGCTCACATCATATTTGCATGGACGCTTTCTTACTTTACGCGTAAAGTTTTGTTTTGTTTACCCGTATATTAAAATGGCGCCCATAACCGTAAACTGGTGTATTAAAGGAGGATACTCAATCTATCTTCATCAAAGATAAAGGGTCAGGGTCTGGGTTGAAATTCAGTTTTAGAGTTAGGTTAAAGGTGAGGGTGAATGGGAATAATGTTGGGTCCAGGGTTTGAGGTAGGAATGCAGTTAGTGTAGGATATTAACTGAGGGGGGGGGGGGGGAGGAGGGGGGCTATTGTCACTGGATCATGTATGTGTCCTACAACCTGAAGGAGGCCTGTTTTTACATAGGTTTAATTGTTTAATGATTAATATTATTTATATTTATTGGCATTTTTATAGCGCCGTCTATCTAGAAATTCTATTCCGAGGTGCATTAATTATTACCCTGGCTTTAGCCTAGCTGCCATTACAGCGCTCCAGCACTTCAAGGAATTAATTCCTGCCAGGTACCCATTTACCTCACCTGGGTCGAGTGTGGCAAATGAAGATTAATACCTTGGCTTTCATCTCCTTTTCAGGGCATCGTCATTCTCTCATCGTATCAAACCAGACAACGCTACATGGATGGATGAAACCAAACTTAAGAATGTCATTATCTGCTTCCCACAGGTAAAAATCAGTGGATCAAGTTACATGAGTGACAGAATCTGATTTGATTAGACTTAAAGATAAAGACCAGTTTTGGAAATGCCCCACTCTCAAAAAATGAAATAGAAGCTCTTATTACCAATCATGTGAAAGAATATGTTTTGACTAATACGTGATCATATAAATTTTGCCGAGAAACCGCCTACTAATTGATATATTTGGTAAATTATTATATCTATTTGGATCTGATAGAAATGGCGCATGTGTCGCGCACGTGTCGCGTAGTCCCATATACATCTTTCTGTGTACAGTGCTTGTAACTTTACCAAGACTGGGCCAAATTTCTGATCATCGGATGATTCCAGAACCTTGCAATACCAAGGCAACTAATGCAGAAGTGATTGCCTTATTTTTGTTAAGCGTCAGGACAGACACCCCCCATCATCATATTACTCTAATCTGGTAAGCTTTTGTTTCCCATGCTGCAAGCTTCTCCAGACCTTCATCATAGCTGCTGCTTACTTTTTTAATACAGTACGGAAGTGTGGTATCGTACATTCATGAAAGAGGTATACTGGTGTAAGTCAGGACCTTTTCAGTACAAGGCTGTACTTTAACCACTGAGCCATCGTGCCTCCTTTGAAGTGGTGTAATATATGCTTTGAATGTGGACAAAATTTGCTAAATCTTTGTGGAAATAAATTTAAATGACGATGAGCTAACTCCTTCAATTTTCCGTTAAGTGACCCTCTTGTAGAAATTGTTGTTAAACAAGGATAGTTTTTTAATGGGTTTTTTTTCTTCACAGGAGAGGAATCTATTTAACAAGATCTTTGGAGGTTTCCTGATGCGCCAAGCCCTGGAGCTAGCCTTTGCCAGTGCAACTCTACACTCGTGAGTTTTATCCTCAGAATGTTGGCAAACCCACATGGGGACAACTTTTGTGATGTCCCCATTAGGCCTAAAAAAAAAATGTTGTATTGCCCTTTGCAACCGACCCCAAAAATCTTGAAATTTACGGTCGGCTTTTTTTTTAAAAACATTTTTTTGAGAATTTTTTCCTAAAGAGGGAGAAGAAAAAGGAGAAGATTTTGTGACCGACCAATGTTTTGGCACCTAAAGGACGATACAACCTTCATCTTTTTTAGGCCTTATAATTATATGAAGAGATTTTGCATGAAGGTTTTTCCACATCAAAACCAAGATTCAATTTTTTAAAATGATATTTGCTCTGATTCTTCTTATTCTATTTGTCTGAAATTCCTGTCCTGGTTGTATGTGCGTGATGAAGGAATCACAAGTTTTTAGTGAATTTTTCTCTTCTAATTTTTTGTAGGTGATAATTTTCATCCTGTGATTGTACAAAACAAAGTGGAAATCTGCATGCTCTGTCATTTATTGCAAACTTTGGCACACTTGGTTTACTCTCTTTAAAAAAAATGTCTCCCCATACACAGCCATGGCAGGATTCGCATAGCAGCCATCGACAACATTCTCTTCCAGAAACCAGTCGAAGTGGGGTCATTCCTCTTCTTTCTGTCTGAGGTGAGTTACGATGCTAAAGCAGAAACTTATTCATTTAGGCATGGGGTGCACCCTCATGCCTCTCTGTAGCCATACCACTGTCCAGTATATTAGCATTATTGAAGAAAGTTACTGTCACACTTATTTGCTCTCTTTTGTCATTTCCAAGATTGCGTATACAGAGGGATGTTACATGGAAATCAGAGTTCACTCTGAGGTCGTTGACCCCCGAACAGGAGAGCATGATACGACCAACGTCTTTCATTTTACCATTGTAACAGAGAATCCGGTACCCCTAGTGTGGCCTAAGACATATGGTGGTAAGAACCGGACCTTCATGTTATCTTAGTTGTTGTCCTCCTCTTCATCTTCCTTCTCATTCTCCTACTCCTCCTTCTTGTTCTTTTTCTTTCTTCTACTTCTTCTTCTCATCCTTAACATTAAAGGCATCGTTTAACAGTGTTAAATCTGAGAGGCATGGCCCTATGTGTATTCACTGTCCGTGATATGGTGTGATATTGGTGTGATATTGAAGCCCTAAAAAATAGTGCCTCAAAACAAAAAGTGCCTCAATAAAGTAAAAATCTTTGAGTGACCGGTTTTACCATACTCATTTTCCCCTATAGACTGTAGTGCTATAAAAACTGTTAGGAAAAACAAATTCTGAAATTCCAATCATAGATATCTTGATAATCAGACAGGCGATTGGCTTGTAAAAGTCATGGGATTCATGTATGACCTAAAGGTTTATAATTATGATTGCAGCATGAGCTAAATCCAGGATTTTTTAAGAATCTGAGGCAAAGTTACCCAATTCCTTTAATCTAAAATCCAATCACAACCCCAGCCACAGACTTTAAAAAACTAATGCCAAGAGAACATATTGCCATCTTTGATGTGTATTTATCTATTTATAGAGGGAGGCTTTTTTAATCGCATACTATAGTCTTCTGGATATGTGAAAAGCATTTTTTAATCAGTATAAGTACTGCAACTATCATTCCTAGCACCATCGCCATGACAAACAGTAATCTCATCTATCATATCCATTTTCTTTTCAGAGTCCATGCTTTACCTTGACGGAAGGAGGCGGTTCCTGGAGTACAAGCGCATCAATCAAGTGACTGACACAAGCACCGTCTCCCTGACCTTCTAACTCCCAAAGACTTGTTAGAGGCATGTTTACATTGTCTTCTGACTGCCAAACACTCATTAGAGGCGTGTTTACACTGTCTTCCTAGGAGGCGTAATGTGTTCAGATTGTAGAGAAGGAAATCACGGATACCGGAACTGTCCTAATGACTTTCTAACTGCTAGTAACTTGCAAATGCATGTTTGAGCAGTCTCACAAATATATATAAAGGGATTGTGTGTTCACACTGTGCCATTATATCGTAATCTGGAAGGAAACATAGAAAGATACCGGTTCGGTCCTGCTCTTTCCTTATTAATACCTCAGTGCTTGTACAGCGCACATCATTGGTGTAGCGTCTCTATGCGCTTAGGCGCCACAGATTTATTCAACTGGCATTCGGAATGCATTTGGAATGCCCTTGTTAATCTTTCTGGAATGTATCCGGAATGCCCCCATTCTAGCCACATTCTCAAAAAATCAATGCGATCTGCGCCTATTGTCTAGAGAACAAATGGCGCTGATTGCATCGATTTTTTGAGAATTGGGCGATTAAAAAGCATTCCCGAGACGCTGACGATCAATCAGATATGCGTGATTTCTAATGCCTGCCAAAGTGACTATACCTCATAAGGTCCGACAGCACGGCGCACTTTTAGAAGGAGTAAGAATTATTTTTCTTTATCTTTTTAAACAGGGTATAACATTCGTTCTCTCAAATTCTGATTTTCTGAAGTTGATAACAGTGGAAAGACGTTGTCTCCTAATTGAAGGGAAAAAATATCTTGGCATTACATTTCCATTTTCCAATAAAAAAAAGTTACGATCGCTTTATTTCTTAACCGTTAAAATGAATTTTTGACGCTACGAGCTGGTTTTAATACAAGTATTTTCCTGCTCGAAAAAAGATTGCATTTATATAAAATAAATTGTTGTCTTTTCAAATTTCTGCCGACATAGTGTTGGAATATGAATAAGTATCATTTTTATATAGACAGCGCAGAGCACCTCTTGAAGGAAAAAGAGTTATTTTTATTTATCTTTTTAAACAAGGTAGAACATTCGTTCTCTCAACTTCTGATTTTCTGAAGTTGATAACAGCGGAAACACGTCTCCTAATTGAAGGAAAAAAATATCTTGGAATTACGTTTCCATTTTCCCATAAAAAAGTTGCGGCTGCTTTATTTCTTCCCCGATAAAATGAATTTTGATGCTACGAATAATAAGGAAGATAAATTTTAAAGGGAAAAAAAGGTGCTGGTAATGCTGGACTATTACTCACTCATATGATGCATATTTCATGCATGAATGATTAAAAACAATTTGAAGAGACGATACCAAAAAGTTATTTGGCGGGCGGTATCTGAATTTCAAAGGGAAAATTACAGTTCTAAAAAGTTCATTTTCTGGCCTTTCATATGGCAACTCAGGAACAATGAGCCAGGAATAACACAGCTCTGTGTGTTTAAAGTAAGGCTTGCATTTCCATAATTTTTCGCTGATTTACTTAGCGGTCTCTTTATGACACCAAGTTGTTTATCACATTAGTATCAGCAGCTGGCTCATGAAAAGAGTCATAACCGGGTATGTTTTAATATACTGTCTCTCAAAAATGTGATCAGGTATAGTGTGCGTCCTCAGCCCCAGGTCTCTGGAACAAACTCCCCTCGTTCTTAAGAAACAGTACTTCACTAGATTTCTTCAAAACCGAGACAACTGAAAACTTTCTTGTACAACTCCTCTTAAATTGTTGATAGTCTATAAAGAGAGCAGTGCCTTGTATCCTTTGGAAAAGCCCAGGGGGGTCACTCTCATACACAGATGCTACCCAGCCATGTCCATCAACTTCTGAAATGGACCGTAATGGTGTATCACACTTTTTCTAAAAAGACCCTTTTTTAATTAAACGTTGAAAACTGTGATCCTAAAAAGTTATCCTTTTTTGGTTTTTGTGCGATCAGTGCTTGAAAAACACTCCTTTCTAAGGAAAACGTCGACGCCGGCATACAGCTGAAAAAGACACCCTTTCGCCGCTTTTTCTGGACATGGGTGCGTCGCCAGTCATGTTGTGAGCGACCCCCCTGGGTGGAAAAGGCGCTATATATATCCAATTATTATTATTATCATACTCAGTGATGATATCATTTTATAGAAGGTAAGATATCTGTACTGTTTTACTGTCTTAACAACTTGGCGGATTAAGAAGAGGCATATCTTTCTAAAACACTGTAAAGCCCTAATGTATTCAGACTCTGTTAACGATATCGTTTCATGGAAGAAACAACCGGAAGTAGAATGTATGGTAGTCAGATAGCTGTAAGTGACTCTTCTAGTTGAAGTGGTATGTGACCTTCAAACTCTTAATTGTGGTGGTAGTATTCACAACTCCTGAGCTCATCTTGCCCCAGGAAGCCAGCACTACATTCTGCAGTCTATACTTGCATGAATTTGAAGGAATATTGAATATTTAAAACTATATCTGTATTAAAAAATAATTATAAAAAAAAAATTTAAAAAAAAATTGAAGGGGAAAAGGCTTTAGGTGCTCAAATAAACTCTCAAATGTGGCAGCATGCATATCAGGAAAAAAATCCTTCATTCCTATGGAGATTTTATCAAGTATTCATATTAAGATTCTATAAAAGGTTGGATAGAACATCAAATATCTGGCAGTACTGAAAACAATAGGGGAAAAGAAGAAAAGAAGTAGAAATAGATGAAAAGCAGCTGAAAATGTGAATTCCCCAAAAATATTGTGATGCATTTTTATCAGTATAGATAAGTATCTGTCATTGCTGGTATCTTTACAAAAGTAGACATTTTAGTATAAAGATAGTGTTGTGATTGCTTTGTAATGGTAGTTGGTGATGCTAAACTAGAAATTGTGAGCTTTAGCTTGTTTTATGGTATATTCATGGTATTTGATTGATGAAATGTACTTTTTAATTTGTTTTATTACTGATCATATATTTTGATCAATTTTTGGTGAAAGGTTAATTTGCCACTGCGGAATTACGATCTATGCCAAGTTCATCCTGCTAGATGTATATTATGAAAAATGAAATTATTTTGTAATTGAATTAATGAAAAAAGATCATAATTAAGGAAACATTGACAGATATAGCACATAGAGAGAGAGAGAGATAGAGAGAGTGAGTAATTAAGTGAGTAACGAAGAACAAAATTGTAGTGCATATACACTGTACATGTGATTTGAAGACAAAATGAAGGCTGCAGTAGGCTAATTTTGTTCTCATAATATTTATTGTCCAATCTCATGCTGCATCTAAACTTGGATTGAAACAATTAAGATAATGTAGATATAATATATCATTTTGTTTCCTGTTATGACAATCTTGGTTATTATTACTCTATTTTTACACTTTTAAAATGTATGATATATTTATGCAGTGTATTTCGTTTTTAAGTGGTGCCTTTTATGTAAAATGCAACATATGTATTTCATAGCTATTATACATGGTTTGTACATAATACTATTTCAGTATTTATTACTTAGAAATCAAGTATGCCATTTGCACCTCTACTTTATCTACCAGTATTTCTTTTCTTTTACCATGAAAATTGGCTTTGTGTATTCATAATTCATAGGCATGAATTGCAATTTCTCAATATTTATAATTGTATTTCTTGCAATACAAAACTTAAAAAGAATGTTTAAATAGCTTAACTGTGCCTGAGCATTGTTTTTTATTCTGAACTGTTATATTTCTTACACAGGGAAGTTTCCTTGCACAACTTGTAGCATGTTGTAAAGTAGAAGTCATAGCAATATGATCTAAAATTGATCATATCATTTTTCTACTGCAATTAAATGAATGGATTTTCCACCCCCTGGATATATTAATATTGTATGTAATACTTATTGCCAAGTCAGGCAAGCAAATGTGTGTCAGGAGCCAAACACAATTACGTTGCAAGAATGGTGAGTCAATTTGGCTGTAGTTTCTCATCAGTCACAGTGACTGTCATCAAGTCTAACTATTCAGCTTGATCAGCAGCCTAATTCTTCGGTCCATCCATGAGTTTTTCTTCTAAGCCTGGACTGCGTCTGTCTATGGAGACTGTACTGTGCCATTTATCCCATCTTATAATTATTATCATCATTGCTGTTTATGAGGAGGCGCGATAGCTCAGTCGGTAGAGCAGTGGTCTTGTAATCCGGTGACCCGGGTTCGAAACCAAGTTGATGGGCTAGTGCCCTTTGGTAAGGCATTAATCCTTATTACCAGGTCCCTCGGAGAGGACCTAAAGCTGTCAGCCGTCTGGTTGCTTACTAACAAGCATTCATGCTTTCTTAGCAGTCGGGTAAAATAACCACCAGCACCACTCTGTGACTAGGATTTAGTCTTCTCTCCTCGTGGCTATGATAAGCTCAGTTTGGTTCAGGTCTAGTTCCTTGCCCTTAACATCTTTATCCATGCTTGGAACTGCACTTCTTCAAGAGAAGAATCTATGTTGGGGGAGTCGTAATGAGTTCACTTCGTTTTAGAGTATAAAGCCATGCTAAAAACGAAGGAAAGAAAGTGGAATCCACTCTCTAAAGAGTACCTTTGAGTGGATTTCCACTCCTATGCAGCAGGAGAGTAATTGCGGTACTTTAACAGCAAATGCTCATTAGAATGAGCTACTTCAAAAATACTATCTACGCATGGGCAAATAAAGGTCATTCTGTACAACACTGTATAACCCATCGAGCCGACTGCTCAATATGCGTTCATGAAGTTATCATTATTCATCATTTATGTATCAGCGGTACATTCTATATGATACAGAGGTGGAAGTATTCTTTTTTAAGATGGTAAACAATATGTTTTGGCAGTGATTATTCTGAAATGCACAAAGTAGGATGTCTACAAGTGTAAAAGGATATGTGGGTATTTTGGGGTCCTATTGTACAAGCGCCATCTCCAAAGTGGCTTATACTGTAAAAAGGATCAGCACTCTTTCAACTTATTATCATCTAGATAAAATTAGGGAGAGAGAGGAAAAGAGAGAGTGAGAGGGATGGGATGGCAGAAAAAGATTTGCTTATATAGTGTTATCCACAGTGCGTGCATAAACAGGCTTTGTTGGAATATAGGATTTGATTTTAAATTGCCATGACGCTAATCAATTATTTTTTCCACTCGCTTTTTTTTATCCCTTTGGCATTTGCAAGTATTTAAAAAAAAAATTATTTAGTACATCATGATAGGCAATAATTTTTTTTTTTAAAGGTGAAAACTTTGGTCTAGAAGCATACAAGCAGCCTGCACACACACACACACACCCACCCAGACTTCCATGTATATTTAACATATATTTATAATTGCAGCATTTCCCCTTGATTATAAAAACACATACAAAGAAAAGACAAATAAATATATTACTATTTCAACACACTACCGTAAACATTAAAAGAAAGAAATCTCCAATACCGGTAGGCCTTTTCAAGCAAATTAAGACTTAAAGATTTATACCCAATCATGTTTTTGTCTTATTTTGACTTTATTTTGACTTGTGTTTTGCTGAAGGTTGATAATGCAATAGAAGGAAAGGGGGAGAATAATTAACTAAATAACAACTGAAATTTCGTATAATTTACTATGTATTTAACTGTACACATGGATTTATAAAATGCAGTTATCTGAATTAGATGATCTGTGAGCTAGGAAAAAGAACTGAAGAAAAATACCAAAAGGATTGAAGAATGTTAACATCCTAACACATACTAAAAAATAATAATTCTGAAACAATGTATCTTTGTTTTATATGCCAATGTTGTGAGCAAAAGATCATTTATTAAGCAAAAAATATTATCATCAAACAAACTAGATATCAAATGAATATTAAAGTACATTGATATAAAATAACTAAAATCCCTGAGTTTCATGGGGCTCAGCCCCCTTGACCCCACGCCATTTAGTAACCTGCCAGTTTCATGAATAAGGTATCAAAATTTACGCTATGCGCTACCTGATCGTAAATACTTTAGCCTCCCCCACCCTCTTTGAAAAACATTCAGCGGGGCCTGCATGGAAGAGAATGGGATGATCCTGATGTTTTGTCTGCCTCCCAAACGTTTTTTGCTCATTACGTCACCGCTGGTCACCATTACGTACCAATATTTGGCTCGCATAATTTCAAATTTGGGCTCCCCTAAGAAATCCTGGATCCGCATCTGACTTGGACATTATTTGTATAGTATTACAACTATTAAGTTTGGGACCAAACAACAATATGTAAAATTTACCAAAAAAGAACCCTCACAAACTAGATGGACCTTCGACTGCACGCAGTCAAAAATGATGCCTCCGCCATGGAGCAATTTTACAAACCAAAACAGAAGCAATTTTTAAAATTGAAGGTTTGATTGCAATCCATTAAAAGGTTCTCAGAATATCGTGATTACAAGCTGTTTCATATACATGTTTGACCCTTTGATCTTTGACCTCATGACCCTTAAAATCTAATCAAATCATTGGCTCTGCAAGATACATGACCCAAGTTTGGCGGGAATCCATCAATGGATTCTTGAGATAACACGATCACGAGCTATTTTCGCATACATAATGAGCCCTGTGACCTTTGACCTTAGATCTTGTGACCCCAAAATCTGATCAGTTCATTGGCTCTGGAAGATACATGCATGACCCAAGTTTGGCGGGAATCCATCAATAGGTTCTTGAGATAACGCGATCACGAGAACGGGACATACATACGTACGTACGTACAACCCCCAAAATAACAGCTTTTACAATATTTTGTTATTATTTCAACTGAGTTATTGCACCTCAATTTCATTTGGGCTTAATCTATATTCCCCAAATGCAAAACATATTCCATATATAAAAGTACTTACTTTTCCAATAGAATCATACATACATAAAATAAGCTATAGCTTACATATAACCTGTAATACAATTAATTAATGAGGACCGACTGTCATGATAAGAGTTGCCTCAGTCTTGGATCAAAGTTGTCCTTCACACAGTCTAGTGGTGTCTGTCCTCTGTTGTCTTCCGCAGTCTTCAGACTAGGCTGGGCTTGGACCAGGACCTTGCAGATGTCTACATGGCCTCGTTCTGCAGCCTGGATTGGAAGACGGGGGAAAGAAGAAACCATGACAACCCTCCTTTAAAACTGCAAAATATCTAATGGGATTAGTAATCTCAATCTTGAACTGAAGCCTCACCCTGACCCGGGGGGTGTTTCATAAAGCTGTTCGTAGAGTTACGCATGACTTTACGAACGACTTGTATATGAAAAGTCAAATGGGAAGCTTAATCATTATTAACTGCATCAACTAAAGTTGAACTGTGCAGATGTAGATTAACATTCTTATTATAACAAATATTTTTAATGCAAAGTATATTTTTTGCCATAATTTAATTGAGGTTATTGGAAATATCAGGAAAAACTGGCACTTCATATACAAGTCGTTTGTAAAGTCATGCGTAACTTTACAAACAGTTTTATGGAACACCCCCCAGAACCATGGCCTTCATCCTAACCCTCGTTATATTGTATTGATAGGACTGGGTATTCTGCATTTGAGCAACATGTAAACTTATAAACCTGTGCCCGAAATAAATATAATTGACAACCAGTTCATACATATCAGTTCCATTGTGTGAAGGACATTCAATTCTTCATACAAACTATGAATTTGTTGGTCCAAAAAGCAAAAGCTTATCTATTTTATAGGTTGACATATTTAGTGATTCAAATTTAAAGATAAAGTTGAGTTCTGGTTATGCGATTGCATTGTGAAAAAAAAGGAATGGATCACAAAAAATTGACCATGTAGTATGTAAGTAATGGTGTGTATTGCAAGGTTCTGGAGCCATCAAAATCATAATGAATTTGGCTCAGTCTTGGTTAAGTAACAAGCCCTGTACACAAACAGATGTATATGGGACTACACAAATGGTGTCGGGGGCTACTAACCTTGATTTACTTATCTTTCTATGCTCATTACTCAGCCAGTATACATTTTCTACCAAAATTGTTTGGCAAATGACATTTATTTGTAATCTTGAACATTCAGTGTAATTTTCGTTTGATTCTGTGAGAATTCATTTTTCCTTTTTTACCAGAACTCAAGTTTATCTTTAAGTGAAATATGGCTTTATGACACCCAAGGGAGGTGGTTTGGGAGGACCGAAATAATTTGTGATCGATGCAAATAGATATGCCTTGACATATTCATTACCCTTGTTGGTACTCTTGTCAGGGAGGATTCACCTTCGGCATTTTTTTTGTGAAGTTTTGGTATTAGCACTATAAAGGGTGATATGCACTGATGAGATTCCAGTCCGAGCGTGTGACATCATCTTACCTTATGTAGAGCTGTCTTAGCATCGCTGTCTACCAGACCAGCATCAGCTTTGGCAAGGAGGAGTTGAGATACAATTTCAAGATGGCCGCCATATGCTGCTCTGTGTAGAGGACTTGCACGCCCTGATCGGGTTAGAACATTGGGATTGGCTCCATGCTGGAGTAATGTGGAAACAATGTCCCTGTGTCCGTTGCGGCAAGCGTAATGCTGTTATGAAGATATACATTGAGGTTATTGGAAAAATGAATGATGTGTGTCACCAAGATACACAACTTATCACGAGAAGAAGCTCCAACTAAACTTGCAAACGATCTAGAGTAGATTTTTCGTAATGGTTAATATTACAAATTCCACTTTTGGTAATGAACAATAGCCTTCCCCCTCTAATCAAAACCCAATACGGCAGGTCCTTAAATACTTCTCCTCATTATGCTCTCAAGCCCACCTCCTCCCAAAAATAGCAAATTGGAAATGTGAGGTTTTTTTCTATCTACTGAAACATTTTAATTCTTTTAAATATCAGATTAATGTTTAGTCTTGATGTATCCATAGAGGTCTACTATAGAATACCCAAAATGTATTGGCCCGAATTCACAAAGGAGGTTTGGATATAACCTATGGTTTAAACCCTCATTTATATAACCAATGGTTTAAAAACCCATGGTGCAAACTAAGCGTACCTTGCCTTGCGCGCGTCTAATATTGGACATCTCACTTGTGTTGCCCTTATTTTGCGCTTATTTTAAACCAAATGTAAACGAGGGTTTAAACCATGGGTTAAATCTAAATCTCCTTTGTGAATTCGGGCCTGTGTCCGGACAGGTTGTGTATCCGGACAGCTGATTTAAATTTTAAAACAGCAATTTTAAAAAGTTTTGCAAGCAATATTTTCAGGAAAAAATTTCTGATATTTAATGCTATTTGATGGATATTTTCCCTTAAATAATAATAATAAACAATAATAATAAACAATATTTATAAGGCACTTAATACTGGTGTCTCTTAAATCCTAAGGAACGAGAGAAAGCTTGCCTTTGTTCAAAGTCCAAACACCCAACTTCCCACTATACTAACATTACAATACAAGAACGTTCAATGAGTAGAGATCAAATTTACCAGAGCAGTGTACCCTGATTTATCCACAGTATTAACGTCGCATCCTGAAGAGAGTAACTTCTGAACACCTGCTAGGTCACCACTGAGGGCAGCATTCCAGATGCCTCTCTCCCAGTCCAGCTCGTCCAGGGTTTGTGTTAGGGAGGGTGTAGGGGAGGGTTTAGCACAGCACGCAGAGTCACCTTGATGGTGGTGTGTGTCACCCATGATCCATGAATCTGTTGACCCACGTTCCTGTCAAGAAAAAAAACAAGAAAACAAATCATTGTCCTATATCTTTCACTTGTAATCATTTGTATTGGAATGATGAAATCTAAAATTGCCTAGACCATAAACGCACAAAAGGCTTTGGCTTAACTTACCCCACCAAATAGGATTTATGTATGGTGGTGTGACTATATAGTTTGCGCGTGACCCAACTTCGCTATATCAAAAAAATCTGATATCACCAATGGAAAGAGGAACATAAATTTACCCAGAGACCAAATTTTCTTTGGGATTGGGTGCGAAATTATGAAAATATTGACAATAGATCGGCAAATTTTGCAGTTGTTTGTGTCCGTTCTGAAAAATTATTAACTTTGCAATAAAGGTCTGGAAATCTTCATTTTGAGAGCATATATCCTCGAAATTGTAAGTAAAAATTGGTACCAACTGATTGTATGATATCTTGCTTTGTAAATTATGAAATTAGGCCAAATAACAAAAATAACGTGTTTCTCGTCTGGACTTTAAAATAAAGGAGGAAGCAGGGCATTACTATTTACTATTTTGCATTTTTTTTGGCAATTTTTTTCCAACATGGCTGCCATGCTAATTATAGCTGGCCAAGCCTATTTATTCACAGATATTGTGCTGTGTGAGTATAATGATGCAATGTATGACAAAACAAATAATTTGTGTCACTTTAGAAGCTATTTAAACAAAATGTATAGACCTATCACAGTTTTTTTTTTTTTTTTTTTTGGGGGGGGGGGGGGTTTCTTCTGAATAATAAATAGTTTTAAAAAAGGAGGCAGTGGGTGGGAACGAGATACACTTCATTTTTATGAGTTTTTTTAGATCGCGATATCTCCGGAATCCTTTGACGATAAATTTTCTGGTTAATTGAATTTGTAGTAAAAAATGTTACTGTCCATTTGGTAATAATTGAAATAAATACATTTGTGTAGAAATCATAGATCAAATGCCACATTCGCTAATATTTTCAAAATCTCTGCGAACTTTGGTCACCCCGTCATACAAATATGTAGTATTATATAGTAACTATACCTCTCTAGCTTTAGAAATCTAATTGCAGCCGTATTATAAACTGTTACTGCGCATGAAGGAAGACGACGTCATCCATTGATATAATTACAGTTTCAACACGCGTAGCTAACTTTTAACAGAAAAATCCAGAAAAAAAACCCTTAAACGCATCATAGATCTACAGTCAATCAGGCGAGTGGAACCGATGCAATGTAGGCCTATAGACTCTAGACTATAGTTTAGGCAAAATTTTCAAAAATAAATGCATCGGATATGAATCCGCTAAAATTGAGTGGTCTATTTTGGGCAAAGTTTTGCGGCCATAAATGGCCCCAAGGTTTGCACAGGAGACCCTACAGTCGGCTTCTGTCTCTAAAGAGAGTAGACCGAATTTTCCGTCTCTTTCGTTCGTTAGCCTCTTATTGGGGTAGGGTCGGCTCTCTCTTTAGAGACGGAAACCGTCTATACACATTCCCTTGATAATGCCACGGCCATTTCAGGTCGTAGCGTTTTGCCCCCAAAATCCCCCATAATGTCATTTTACCTCATGCATTGATTATTTAAAATTAGGAGAAGGTTATACTACATCGGTTCCACTTACCAACTTGACTGAAATAATCTGTTTAATGGTCCCTTTTAAGGAAATTATGGGTAAAAATCGACATCCATGTTGAAATCTTGCAAGCCGTGTGAAACTGTCGCTGCGCACGGAGTCATCTAAATCAATCTCATCCCTTTTAGTCTACGCCGAAGGCAAAACGATTATGAAGGAAAAAACTTTGATAACGCCATTACGAACGTGTAGATGGCGCACAGTTTTTCCTTCATAATCGTTTTGCCTTCGGCGTAGACTAGAAAGGATGAGATTGATTTAGATGACTCCGTGCGCAGCGAGAGTTTAACACGGCTTGCAAGATTTCAACATGGATGTCGATTTTGACCCATAATTTCCTTAAAATTTCCCTTCCTTAAAAGGGACCATTAAACGGATTATTTCAGTCAAGTTGGTAAGTGGAACCGATGTAGTATAACCTTCTCCTAATTTTAAATAATCAATGCACGAGGTAAAATGACATTTTGGGGGATTTTGGGGGCAAAACGCTACGACCTGAAATGGCCGTGGCGTTATCAAGGGAATGTGTATAGACGGTTTCCGTCTCTAAAGACAGAGCCGACCCTACCCCAATAAGAGGCTAAAGAACGAAAGAGACGGAAAATTCGGTCTATAAAGAGAGGAGCCGACCCTCCCCACAATTAACACAAATGAAAGACAGAAATTTCGTATAACTTTTATAAGTCTTCGTTTTTAAAGGAAAAATACTCCAAAAAAGATAAGAAAAATGACACGAAACAGGTGAGAAACATAACGACTTTTACATCATGACCATTATGTGAGTAGTTGATGACAACTTAGTTGAATTTTGGTATGTTTTAGTGGGGTACCTCCACGCCAGAGTTACGGGTACGCGTACGGGTCAAAGTATGGTGGATATGAATTATAAATTAGCGCCCGCGGCCCAAGGCCAAGGTCTCTAGTATTATCAATTTTTCACTTTTCACGCAGGAACACATTCAAAATGATGTATCATACCTTATAACTGTTGGCTCTCTGTGGGCTTAACTCTTCAAGAATATCACGAAAAAGTTTCTGTTTAACTTTACATGATGAATTTTGCCGTAAATTTAGATCGTCCAATGGTAATGATGGAAAGTCACCATTTTCTTCGAATCTCTTTGGCTCGATGAATGTGTGTGCTGCCAGCTACGATTCTTTGGGAATTATAAATGTTGACGATGTTCGATGTGACGGTGTTTAAAAAAAATATATATTCATAAAGTTACAATAAAATCAACTATAAGTAGAAAGTTTTAAAGGCTTAGTTCTATCTGCATGCCACCTATTTTCCCCCTAAGAATTCGCCCTTTGTTGCTACGTCAGGAAGCTATTTTTAACCATTTTGGTAATTTTAGAAATATATAATGCTTAATATCAATCCGTTTTGTTATCATTCTTAATCGGATGTGGTACCTGTATTAAAGTCCTTGGTGCTATGTCGGGAACACATCCCATATTGACTCTTCAGATGACAGCCAGAGAAGAAAAAAAGATAATTCCCCCAATTATTGCGTGTTCAAGTGTTTATGTGACCTCCTAAATGTGTACAGGACGTGTTTGAAATATAATTACTAAGACTGAAATCAAATAATAATAATAATAATAATAATAATTCATGTATTTATTATCATTTTAAGATTTAATATGGAATAATCAATGAATATTAAATAATTTAGCTTCATATTTTGTAAAATGGAATCTGATATTATCTCTTCAACCACCATACTGCCATATATACAGTGGCTTACTCACATATTATCTCATTCTTTATGTATGCTTATCATAATGTTCATGTTTATCACTGTCTTGTAATATTTCATGTATATATTTGTATTGTAATACTCTGTAACCAGTGGAAAACAAATTTCCTGTAAAGGACAATAAATTCTTATACTTATACTTATACTTACTTACTTATAATTGATTACAAGGTTATACGAGAACTCGGGCTGTAATAAAGGGAAAGTCAGTAGTCTTTTGCTTTTACCTTTCAACTGAACACTGAAAAGTTCTTTTATTAATAGTGTAGCATGGTGGAATACACTGGGATTAAAGATGTGTGTGAACATGCGGAGTTGTGCTTGAACTTGAAAGTAGCCGAGTTAAAAGGATCATGAGTCCTAGGGGATATTTGATTGATAAATAAATGGCTTTGGGATAGACTATGTAGCTATATGTAGGTGAAGGGACAAGGGAAAAAGAGTAGAGCAATAGGTCGAGCAATAGGTCGGGTGGGGTTAAGAACGATAAAAATATTTTGGACAACAGATTTGTTTTTGATAGAATTTAGTTAGGTGTTTGTGAAAATGGTGAATGATAACAGTGTCGTTGTATCCGTAGTTAATTGACACTCTAGAGCCTGAGCTGTCACTGGTATCTCGAGAATATCCCAACGAGTGAATCCAGCATACCCACGCTAAAAAGTATAAGGACTTCCCCTTCATTTGACCAATCAGGAATAAAAACAGGTAAAAAGTTTGTGAGAGTTTTGGAATAGAGAGTTTGGACCAATGGAAGAAGTTTTAGCCCTGTCCATTAAGAAATCGACAGTGGTGGGAGATCAGGTGACCAAAAAGTATTATGGGATGGAAAAGCAAAGGAAATTAATAAGGAATTTGTTGGACTCGAGGTGCGAGCTAGATGGCTGAACGGTGTGTTAATTAAGTATAAAAAGACCCAAACCTCCCTTCCCGAAAATACTTGCATCCCTGGACCCCAAGCAGTTGCCACCCCTCTCCTTCCACCCTAAGTTTAATCCAGCCACCACAGACATCTGGAGATCCCCGACTTGCAACCAATTTAAAGCTTCGTCCACGGAATATTTTGAAAGTTGTTGAACTTCACATCTTCTGGTCACTGTGTGCTGACAATAATAGAAAGGGACTGAAACGACAAAGAGTAATACTGCATCTCGCCCTTCTCCAGTAAAAAGAACACTTCCAACCCAGAATAATAGAAAGAGACAAAGGAGAACGCTGATTTTGTGCTCGTATTTGAGAAAGTCAACGATTTCGACGTCACAAGGACCAGGACGAGCACACACCTTTAAGACCCTCCGACGCCCCCAGGACATCGAGAGGAAATTTCAAGTCTGCTACGCCCCGACACGAGTGCGACGAGTTGAGAGACCGGATTCAAGAAAGAGCTAAGTCAACCCGTTCTCCCCAATTAAAAAGGCCTATAAACTCTTAAAGACAATTAATTATCGATCGATCAAAGACTCTAAAAGCCCAAGTAATTTAAATAATCCTTTTCCTTTCCCCTTCCCCCTCCCACTAATAACTATATTTTAAGTGAGTGATTGTTGATGTGAATGCGTGGGTAAACGAGCTCAAGTAGTTAAGTAATTAGGTAAGGGATAAACACTGAAGAAACACGACACAAGAAATTGTAACCTTTTATAAAATAAACGACCAAATGAAATTGTAATTTAAACTGTTTAATTGTGTATTAATGTGTGTGGTGGTCTCGTGGGTTAACTAACACCCCCCACCTCGGCCGCGGTGAGATGATGCTCTCCGACTGGAGTTAACGGACCTAAACAAAAACAATCTCCCGAAAACATAGAACCGCCGCTGCCGAGGGGTCGGGGGCGTTAGAATAGAATTTAAAAAACTAGCAAAAGAGACAAAAGTACATGAATACAAAACAAGGATAAATATAGTACGATCAAAGAAAGCCAACACAGCATTCAACGATTGAAGGATCATTTTATTGAATATTATCCTTTCTCGCAGTCCATGGACTGAATAGCAATGGTTACAACAG